CAAAAAAAAAAACCCACCAAATTCTTAGCTGAGCATGGTGGCAAGGAAAAAGACAGACCTCCCCAAGCCTCAAAAGTCAATGTCCTACAGGAAGAAGAACAAAATATCGTGTGTGTCTGGCCTACCTGATGGGGCCTAAGGGCACTACAGTGTGCCTGAGCTACCTCCATAGCCTTAGACAACCGGTGTGTGGTGCCCTACATACATGGAGGCATGCCACTTCTGTCATTTAGGAAAAGCTGACTATCTGGTTTATATATGTGATACCAGTTTGAAATGTTGATGAGAAATTCAAATTCAAGACAAAAGCAAGGCTAGGGATGGGGCTGAGTGTGGAACACTTGCCTAACATTCGCAAGGCCCTGAGTTTAATCCTTAGCACTGCGCATGGCAGCAGCAAAGAACCTACAAGCGAAGGCTCTGTGAGGCGCACAATCTCTCTTTGGGGGTTTTCAGCTCGTGACAACATCCACTAGGAAATGGCAACATGGTTTTGGAAGCCCTGGGGAAGCTCAAGTCTAAAGGCTAAGTCGGTGGCCCTGTCTTCTCTTCCCTTTCTTAGTGACAGCATCCACTACCAGATGGTGTATTCCTACGGCTCCGGGATGGTGTGGGCCCTTGGCATCGTTCCCTTCAGCCATGTGAACATTGTCAAGTTTAATGTGGAGGATGGAGAGATTGTTCAGCAGGTACAGAGGGCATCTGGCTCCTGGTGGGTGGGAAGGAGTTGGTAGAGGCCTTCTTTGCATGGGGGTTCAAGACTTCGGCGGGGCAGCTGCAAAAGCTGCCTGTGTTCTGCTCCTGATGCCCGTCTGTTGCTGGCTTGTCCTCAGCATGAGTTTAAAGCACTCTGTTAACACACGGTGCTCTTTTGGGCTGGCTGGGAAGCTATTCTGATCTAGGCACTGTCCCTTTAAGTTCTTCTAAGGTGATTATTATTATTATTTTTTTTTAAAAAGATTTATTTATTTATTATGTATACAACATTCTGCCTCGATGTATGCCCGCATGCCAGAGGATGGCGCCAGATGTCAGTACAGATGGTTTTGAGCCACCATGTGGTTGCTGGGAATTGAACTCAGGACCTCTGGAAGAGCAGCCAGTGCTTTTAACCTCTGAGCCATCTCTCCAGCCCTATTATTATTTTTTTTAAAGATTTATTTATTTATTGTGTATACAACATTCTGCCTCCATGTATGCTCACACACCAGAAGAGGGTGCCAGATCTCATTACAGATGGTTGTGAGCCACCATGTGGTTGCTGGGAATTGAACTCATGACCTCTGGAAGAGCAGCCAGTGCTCTTAACCACTGAGCCACCTTTCCAGCCCCCAAAGGTGATTATTAAATGATTACAGGAAGCCACATCTGACACCCCTCTGGGCCATCAGGCATTTACTGTTATTGGGTGCATTTTCCCAGTGACCAAACACAAACTCCTGCTGAGTACTTGAGCTTTGGAGGTTGATGGAGGTGGGTGAGGACGGGAAGAGCCTCTCGAACCAGCCATGCTTTTGGCCAGCTGTGCATTTTGATCTTGGGATCCTTTGCGCATTCCAGCTGTGGTTCTATGGATCTGCTGAGAGGGCCCCTGTGATCCTCATGAGTCTGTCATGAACTTCTCCACAGGTCAGGGTTTGGACTCCATGGCTGCAGCGTCTCACTGGGTCCTGTGGTGTGGTCGATGATGCCGTCCTGGTGTGCCCTGACCCTAGCTCACATTCCCTCCACACTTTGGCCCTGGAGACAGAGTGGGAACTGCGGCAGATCCCGCTGCCGGTGAGAGGCTGCACTCCTGGTCTGAGGGGTCCCCTCTGTGGCGCCAGGAGCTTACATGGTTGCCCTGTGAGGTTACTGCTGCTTTCCTGAGCTGTGACAGCCATGGGGAGGGTGTAGGCCTCTGGCTGAGCTGTCTTCAGAGTATAGGGCGTTGTCTCCTTTTGGGAACCTGAGCAGGAGCTTCTGGAGCTATCTGTCCTAGTCTAGAACTGCTCCCTGGCAAGGCTTGACAGAGGTCCTGGTTTGATGGTCTGGGAGGGGTAAGCATCCCACTTTTCTTCTTGCTTCTCCTCTCCACCCAGTCTCCTGACTTGGAATTTGGAAGTGGATTCCAGCCCCGAGTGCTGCCCACACAGCCTAGCCCAATGGCTCCTTCTCGGTCCCAGTTCTTCCTACAGCTGTCCCCTGGCCACTACGCTCTGCTGAACTACTACAACGGTTCTGTGATACTGCTCACAAACTTTCCCCAGGTAACCGCAGCAGTGTGCTTGCTGGGACCAGAAGGTCTCCCAGGACAAAGCTGGGAGGAGGCAGAACTGGGAATCCAGACACATTTGCCTTACATCCCATTGTCTGGAAACTGATCCCTAACGTTCCTTACAGGCCACTCTGGTGAGCTTCGCCACCACTGGAGAGAAGACGGTGGCTGCTGTCATGACCTGTCGCACTGAAGTGAGTACCATACGTGCATGACAGCTCTCTCTGCGGGGCCCCTCGCGGTCAGAAGTCAGAGTCTGTTCACCTGTGCACAGGGGTAGGAGGCTGCAGAAAGATGAACTCTTTCCACAGTCTCTTTCTCACTAGGAATGGCATCCTATTGTGGCTCCCCTCCTCTCCCTGCAGACTTAGGGTTCATAGGCCTGTGGGGGTGGGGCATGAGAGGTAAGATTTGCCTTCTGACTGCTGAGGAGACAGAGTGTCTGGGAAGTAACCCTTTGGCTGAGTGTCTTCACATCTACCTCTAGCAGAAACCTGGGAGTGCTGGGGACAGGAATACAGCGAGCTTTTCTGAGACATCTAGGACACAGGTAGGATGTGGCATTGGGCGGGCAGGGCGTGTTACTGGGTGGGGTGGCAGACAGGGGGACCCAGGAGGCCACCCAAGGAAGCCCAGGTCAACTGAGGCTTGCAGGTCCTCTTGAGTTCCCAGCTTCAGGTGGTCTAAGTACTGTCCTTTAAGTGGCACATCTTGTCCTTTCTCGTGGCAAGATGAGGAGGTAGACTCCTGGGATCTGTCCTCCTTATTTCCTTCTCTGAACCTCAGCTTCGCCATTCCCCTGGATTTCCATAGCTGGCAAAGCCAGGTGGCATTTTATGGTACACTTGGTGGCAGTGAAGGTCCTAACTATAGGCACAGTCTTGGTTGTGGCCTCATGCCTGGGGCTTTTCCCTTCTTTCCCCATCCACAGTGCCAATCTGGGACCACTCTGCCTCACTGTACACACCGGCTGCCTTCAAAAATGTACATGGCAATTGTACACACTTAGGGCCTGCCGAGATGTACATGGTAGTTGTACACACTGGCTCCCTTTACAAGCTCGCATAGTGGTTGTATACAGATGGCTTTCTTATTTTCTTGTTTTTTGTCTTTTGAGATAGTGTTTCTTTATATAGCCTTTATTGTCCTGGAACTCACTCTGTAGATCAGGTTAGCCTCAAACTCAGAGATCAGCCTGCCTCTGTCTCAAGTGTTGCGATTAAAGCTGTGTGCTACCACACCTGGCTTCTGGCTCCTTTCTGGGGTGCACACTATAGTTGTGATCTTGTTTATTCAGTGAGCAACCTTGTTTCCACCGTAGGATTTGGCGCTCTTCTCACTATTCACGATTCCCTTCTGACCTAGTCCTTCTCTCGGGGATTTGTGCTTGGACATGCTGTAGGGGACTTGATTGTTGACCTGTGCTGTGTGTACCTCTAGGATTCTCTGGCTTGCTTCAACCAAACCTACACCATTAACCTCTACTTAGTGGAGACAGGTCGGCGGCTGCTAGACACTGCAATTTCTTTCAGCCTGGAGCAGAAGGGCACTCGTCCTGAGCGGGTAAGCGACAGACAGCTTTGGCTTTCTTACTCTGTTCTGTGGGCTTCATGTCTTTGGGGCTAGTTGTTGCCCTGGATTAGGCTTTAAGAACAAGACTCCTAGTTCCTCCAGAGCCATTATCTGTTTATAAATAACAGCAAAACTGTTGCTGCTATTGTTGCTTTAGATTTATTTGTTATTATTTTATATATCCACCCATTCATCCATCCATCCATCCATCTATCCATACATACATACATACATTCATCCATGTGTTTGTTTGTTTATTTATTTGTTTTTTGTAACAGCCCTAGCTGTCCTAAAACTAGCTCTCTAGTAGACCAGGCTGGCCTCAAACTCACAGAGATCCGCCTGCCTCTGCCTCCTGAGTACTGGGATAAAAGATGTGCTCCACCACCACACGGCTTAGATTATTATTTTATGTGTATGAGTGTTTTGCTTGCATGTGTGTATGTGCACCACATGCGTACATGGAACATTTGATCCCCTGATCCTGGAGTTACAGATAGTTGTGAGCTGCCATGTTGGTGCCCTCTTCAGGAATAGTAAGCTCTCTGACCCTCCAGCCCTGCTGCTGTTGTTTTGCCCTGAGTGTGCGAAGCCCTTTTTGTTTTTGTGTTAATCCCTATGGTATCTTGGCAGTCTTGTGGATTGGTTATTACTGACCTGGTTTGTAAATGTGCCCATGACCTACAGTATTTCAAATCATGGAGCTAGCAAGACATGTTTCTGGGGTTCAGACTCCAGACTGACTTTCCACATGTACCCACCCACTGTCCTTTGGGGATATTGAATCGTGTCCCTCAGCTTCTGGGATGCTCCTGGCCTGGCCTCCCACTCACCATGTGGGGTGCAACTGGGGCATGAAGGGATAGCAGTCCCATCAAGTACTTGCTGCCCTTCATAGACAGACCAGAGAGAGCCTTAGCTCATTGTTGCATTGACTCTGAAGAATATGTGCTTTCTTGCTGGTGGCCAGATGATCATTGTATTGTCTAGACATCATGTCATGCTGTGGCCTGAACTCCCAACCCTTTGAATCTTGGGGTCCAATGCCTTGGAGCCATCCGGCTTCTTACTGTCCTGTTTATAGTTGTACATCCAGGTATTCTTGAAGAAAGATGATTCAGTGGGCTACCGGGCCTTGGTGCAGACACAGGACCATCTGCAGCTGTTCCTGCAGCAGCTAGGTGAGTGCCCTGTACAGCCATTGTGTTTCTACTTGCTCTGGATTCCAGTCGTGTGCAGTAGAGATGTGTGTGTTTTGTGTGTGTGTGTATGTGTGTATGTGTGTGTAAGTGTGGGGCGGGGCTGGGGCGGGGGCGTGCACAGGCATGGGAAAGGTTCAAGAACAGCGTACCCTGAGAATTTTCTCAGTTATTTTTTTTTTTTAAATATTTATTTAGTATGTATACAATATTCTCTCTGCCTGCCTGCAGGCCAGAGGAGGGCACCAGACCCCATTATAGATGGTTGTGAGCCACCGTGTGGTTGCTGGGAATTGAACTCAGGACCTTTGGAAGAGCAGGCAATGCTCTTAACTACTGAGCCATCTCTCCAGCCCCTCCCCCCCTTTTTAAATATTTATTTATTTATTATGTATACAATATTCTGTCTGTGTGTCTGTCGCAGTTCTTTAGGGCCATGAAATGAGATACAAAATCTTTCTCGCTTGACTCTTGACCCCAGTTCATGAGATCTTTTGCATAAGACTCGAACTCTGAGATACCTTTAAGAGTCTCCTCAGGGCTAGGTAGCCAGGCTGAGCTTTCACAAACTGGTTTCTTTTAGCTGGGAAGGTGGTGTTGTGGAGCCGAGAGGAGTCCCTGGCAGAAGTGGTGTGCCTGGAGATGGTGGACCTCCCCCTGACCGGGGCACAGGCTGAACTGGAAGGAGAATTTGGCAAGAAGGCAGGTATGATCCTAGGGAGGCTACACAGGGAGGGTTAGCTGGGTTTATGAATCTAACTGTGCCCCCAGCTTCTGGTTCAGACAGATGTTTTGAAGGAGTCCCGCATCTAGTCTTCAGTGCATCAGTAGCCCAGTGGTTTATGCAGCTACTGTTTCACTGAGTCCCTCTAGAGACAACAATGTCTTCACTTTATAGTTAGTTCCAAGTGTCATTGCCTGGGGTGCTAAAAATTGTCAGGCTCCATGTCAGACACTTCTACCCATTGTCCCAAATGCAACAGCCACATGTGTCTAGAGAGAGCTGACTGGACATAGCCCTGTGTTCTCTGAGTCAGCGGTGGCTCCATTGATGGGCATCTGATGAACATGATTCATTCCTCTCCAGTCTATTCCTGTGTGTCTGTCCCGCCGTGTTCTCCCTCTCCCAGCTCCCCCAGTCCACTTTGCCCACTATCTAGTAGGCCACTGTTGAGAATTCTGGGTCAGGTACACTGCTAGGTGTTATATGTTTTCTTAATCTGAGAATTAATTTGACTTTACTATCTATTTCTGCTGCTGGACCCAGCGATTCAAGGTAAATGCTGCTTTTTGCTGCCCATTGCGCCTTGCTTGCCCACATGACTAGCGTTTGGTCAATTTTCTAACTTGCATTAGTGAGACACACACCCTGTATGTGTGGACTGCTCTGCTTGTGGCTTGCTTCTCTGCCTCTCCTTGAGTTGAGGTTGGTGGAAATGAACAAAGATAATACTCACAGAGATCTGCCTGCTTCTGCTTCCTGAGTGCTGGAATTAAAGGCGTGTGCCACCACTGCCTGACTAAAGATAATACTCTGAGCACTTCTCATGTACCAGGCACCATACCCAATCCAAATGGGTGTCATTTGATCTGTTCTTTGTAACAAGCCTCTGAATTGCATGTCATGTAATAGATGAGGGACCAGAAGCACAAAGAGTAAGCATTTTTCTCAGTGTCACACAGCCTGGATTTAATTTGGGCCTGTGAGACTCCCAAGACCCTCCTTACCATGGTAACCAAGGTATCATGCACCTGTCACATCTCTAATGAGGGACACTTTCAGGGAGATGCCTCACCAATGGAGTCAGGGACAAGGGAGGATGATGGCCTTAGGAATAGATTGCAGGAAGGGATGCTGGGAGCAGGTTAACAAAGAAGAATGAAGCACTGGGAGATGGAGGCACCACTCATGCATGCACCTGCTCCCACTGCTCCTGAGACCCTGAGGGGTCTCTGGCTTTGCTGTGCACCCAGATGTCTTCCCCTGGTCATCCCAGCATGACTACATCCTACATGGCTGATTCCTTACCCTTAGTCTCCTATTACAAGATTTAAGGCAGGTGAAGTCCTAAGAACCAGGTAAGGAGGTTCCAGAAGCTTGTGCATGGCTGTACCAGAGTGTGGGACGGCTGGCATCTTACACAGACTGCACCTTGAACTTGTGGCCTGGAACGCGAATGACTGGAAGGTTCTGTAGGAGAGGGAGAAGTCCCTCCTGGGAAGCACACATCTTGCTGGACTCCTAGTCTGATGGGAGTGCCTTCCTTCTCCCCAACCCCAGACGGCTTGCTGGGGATGTTCCTGAAACGCCTGTCGTCTCAGCTCATCCTGCTCCAGGCCTGGACTTCCCATCTCTGGAAGATGTTCTACGACGCTCGCAAGCCCCGAAGCCAGATTAAGAATGAGATCAACATTGACACATTGGCCAGAGATGAGTTCAACCTGCAGAAGATGATAGTGATGGTAACAGCTTCAGGCAAGGTGAGCACATGAGCCGTAGGCAGTAAACCTCGGGTGCAGGCAGTGGCAGCAGGCTTGCTTTGTTCCAGTTTGCAAGGATCGAATCAATTCTTCAGTTTCTTTCTAGGTGTAAGCCAAGGGTTCATTTATCTTGCAGCTCTTTGGCATCGAGAGCAGCTCTGGCACCATTCTGTGGAAACAGTATCTGCCCAATGTCAAGCCGGACTCCTCCTTTAAGCTGTTGGTCCAGAGGACTACTGCTCATTTTCCCCACCCGCCTCAGTGCACGCTGCTGGTGAAGGACAAGGTGAGGCCAGGCATGCTGCCTGGAGCCTCTGTGTGTTGCCTTTTGCGTGTTTCACAGTTGAAATTTCTCCCATGCCTTGATCATTCCATGAGAAGCTCTTGGGTTGGAAATCTTGTTTCTGCCATTTTCTGGCCTGGGTGGAGGGACCCTCCAGCTCTGAGGTGGAACTGGTTAGGAGCCAGATCCTCCTTCAGCCAGTGCTTTCCCTTCCAGCGAGGCTGTTCCTGATAGCTGAGTGGCTGTTTTCTCTCTGAGAGGAAACAGGGCACAAAGCTACACTGTGGTTTCTGCCTCTAGGATTTTTGAATGGATTTTCATGGACCCCTTCTAGCTGTATTGTGAGGTGGGGTTTGGAAGATCCTCTTTTGAATCCAGCAATCTTAAATTGCTGAATTATGCTTGACTTGTTGTTTTGGGGGCAGGGTCTCACTATGTAGCCCTGACTGACTTGAAAGCAGCTATATAGACTAAGCTAGCCTGGAACTTGCAGAGATCTGAAGGTGCTGGATTACAGGCGTGCACTGCTACCTTGACCTGGTCTTGACTTAGATTTGCTCTTTTTCATGCTACTGCTTAGCTAGATTTGGAGCCAGCATCAGTCCAGCCTTTTCCCTTTTCACATCAGCCTAGGGAACCAGTCATCTTTGACCAAGAGTTTACTCTCCACTAAGATACCAGAGAGCAGGGAGTTCAGCTGATGTCTCAACATTGCTGGGTTACCTGTAGGACGTTTCTTCCTTCTGTGTTTGGATCTGATTGTTTTCTGCCCATTGTAGGAAACAGGAATGAGCTCTCTGTTTGTCTTCAACCCCATTTTTGGCAAGTGGAGCCAGGTGGCTCCCCCAGTGCTGAAGCGCCCCATCTTGCAGTCCTTACTTCTCCCAGTCATGGATCAAGACTACGCGAAGGTGCTGCTGTTGGTGGACGATGAATACAAGGTGCTTTGTCTTGGGTGGGTGGAGTCTTCTGTGTGGAGCTGGGTTTGGGATGGGTTGTCAGACATGCACTGGGACAGAGGTGGCCCACTTACCAGATAGCACATGTTCGGGGTGTCAGGGCCACCCTTAGCAACATGACTACCCTTGTGAGCACCCAAGTTCATAAGGCACACGCCACTCATTATACATGGCCAGTTTTGTTTTGTTTTGTTTTTTAGTTGAATTTTGTGTTTATATGTGCACATCAGTGCAGGTATCTGTAGAGGCCAGAAGCATCAGATCACCCTGAAGCTGGAGCTATAGGTGGTTGTAAGTCACCTGATATGCATTCTAAGACTTGAGCTCATGGCCTCTGGAAGAACAGTGTATATGCTCTTAACCACTGAGCTAACTCTCCAGTCCCTAACACTGAGCTTCTTTTGTTTGTTTGGCTTTTGGTTTTTGATTTTCGAGGCAGGGTTTCTCTGTGTAGTTCTGGCTGTCCTGGAACTTGCTCTGTATACCAGGTTGGCCTCTAACTCAAAGAGATCCTCCTTTCTCTGCCTCCAAGTGCTGGAATTAAAGGTGTGTGCCACCACTGCCCAGCAACACTGAAGTTCTTAACAGAGCCATATTTAAGCCTTAAATAGATCCAGTGACTGGTTTTATGGTTCACTGTTTTATGCTTAAAAGCTTTCTTTAGTGGGTAAACACTAGTGGTTCTTGAGAAATGGGCTTCAAGGTTTCTGAACTTACATTTAACACTTTTGGGCTATCTGGGTGTTTTCAAGGTCACAGCTTTTCCAGCTACTCGAAATGTCTTGCGACAGCTGCATGAACTTGCCCCCTCCATCTTCTTCTACTTGGTGGATGCAGAGCAGGGGCGGCTTAGTGGATACCGGCTTCGGAAGGTAGGGAGGAAGCAGCTGACTGTCCTTGGGAGGTGCTGTGGGTCTTTCCTGTTGTTTGGTTAAACAGTGGCCCTGGTGCCCGATTCAAAGGCACACATTTCATACTGGGTTTATACTGGGTTGTTGTTTTAACTTTAGCACAGGGACTGTGCCTTAATCTACTGCTATTTCAGCCAGCAATTACGACAGCCTGGCCACACAGGCTGCAGCCTGGTGGAAATCCTGTTCCTATGGGCACTGGTTCTCCCACTGAGGCTAAAGGCAGCCTTAAGTAAATTTCTATCATTCTATTTATAAATAAATAGATTCAAAAGCTGGGGTGAAACTCCTCTAGCTTGGAGAAGTTGAGTAACACCCAGCTAACTGTCTTTCCTTGCTGCTGTCTCTGAAAGAGAGCATGCAACCAGGGTTCATGATTCAGATAGTTGTTTGCCCCTGGACCATTTCTCCAGCCCCTATTAATATAATTTTTATTAAAAATATCAGAGGGGCCAGAGAGATGACTCAGTGATGGAGAACACTGGCCACTCTTCCAGAGGACCTGGATTGTTACCACCACCCACATGGCAGCACCGCCAACTGTGTCTCTAGCCCCAGGGGAATCCAATACTTTTCTGACCTCCTGTGCTGCACAAACATAAATGCAGGCAAAACACCCTCATATATACACATCCCTGTATCCCATTTCCAGTTGTCCTTGCTACCTGTTCGCTGTGTGGGCACATGCATCAGTGTGTCTCATGACCCCTCTGGGGTCCTTCTTTCTCCATCTTCGCTGTGCTGGAATTACAGTGCAGCCACCACCAGACTTCCTTTATCTGGGCATGGGAATCAAACTCAGCAATCATGTCACTGACTTTTCTATCCGTCTAGCCTAAGCCAGGTCTGTTCCTGGTCTTTCTAGTACACAGACCCTGAGGTACTGCACTGCAGGCTGGGTCAGCTGTGGGATGCCTCTTACTGTTTCTCTGGTCCTCTAGTGCACAGGCCTCATGCACCATTATGTACTGCAGGCTGGGTCAGCTGTGGGATGCCTCTGACTGTGTCTCTGGCCCAGGCCTGTCCCCTGATCACATGTGCTCTTGGCTGCATCTCTGATCCTGTGATCTCCTAATCACACGTGCTCTTGTTCTTCCCTAGGATCTCACTACGGAACTGAGTTGGGAGCTCACCATTCCCCCAGAAGTGCAGCGGGTCGTCAAGGTGAAGGGGAAGCGCAGCAGCGAGCACGTGCACTCCCAGGGCCGGGTGATGGGGGATCGAAGTGTGCTCTATAAGGTATGATGCAGCAGCCTGACAATGAGGAAGGCCGGCTTTTAATATGTATAATTTTTAGATTTATTATTTTTTTTGTGAGACAGAGTCTCATATTGTAGCCCTGGTTGTCTGTCCTGAAACTTTGTAGACCAGGTTATCCTTGAACTCACAGAGATCACCCCGCCTTTGGGTGTTGGGATTAAAGGCGTGCACTAACAAGCCCTGTTTATTATTTTGTTGCCTATTTACTTTGTATTTATGTGAATGGGGCATGTACTGTGGCATGTGTGTGGAGGTCAGAGGACAACTTGCGGGAGTTGGCTGTCTCCTTTCACCATGTGGGCCCTGGGGTAGGAACTCAGTTGATGGGAGGCTTGGTGGCAACTGTCTTTACTTGCTAAGGCATTTTGCTGGCCCAAGTAGTAAGGCTTTAGGGAAAGTAAGTGTTGGAGTTCTGGTCAAGCCATTGATTCCTTTGTGTACTGATTTTGTCTGTGAAGTGCGTGTGTCCCGTAGATGTACTCAGGGCTTCTGCCATGCTAGGAAAAGTACTCTGCCGTCCAGCTATGTGCCCAGCCTAAACAAATATACCTTCCTCCTCTGGTTGTGGGTGTCATCTCCCAGTGCTTGCTGTGTGACCTCCCGGCTAGATGCTAGTTTTATTAATAGTACAGGTATGACTATGGTCTTCTGGGGCTAAAGGTTAATCAGTCCATCAGAAATTCACTGAGGTGATTTGTGAGGCTACAAACTACCTTATAGGAGGGAAGGTACACTCTTAATTCCATCACTCAGAAGGCTGAAGTGGGGGGATTATAAATTTAAGGCCAGCTTAGACTATACAGTGACATTGTTTCTCAAAAGAAAGCTGTGGTGGTGAGCTTGACGGCGCAGCAAAGACACTTGCAGCTGGGTTTGCTCCTCAGAGCTATGTTGTGGGGGGTGCCTGTATCATAAGGTTTCAGAGAGGGTTAAGAGACATGCAAGACATGCATTGGGCCCCAGTCCTTAGAATATGCAAAGCAAGTTTGCTCCACAATACTGATTCCTTTACCAAGCTGTTGAGCTCCATATTGGCCTCAGGCCCCAGGGCTCACCGGAGAGCCAAGTACATGACATGCTATCACAGTTCCTAAAGTTTGTCATTGTGGTTTCTCTCCCTAGAGTCTGAACCCCAACCTGTTGGCTGTGGTGACAGAGAGCACAGATGTTCACCATGAGCGCACCTTTATTGGCATCTTCCTCATTGATGGTGTCACTGGGCGCATCATCCACTCCTCCGTGCAGAAGAAGGCCAAGGGCCCTGTTCACCTCGTGCATTCAGAGAACTGGGTGGTGGTAAGGAGTCACTGCCAGGGCGCAGAGCAGCTCAGGAGGCCCCTGACTCTTACGTTCTTCCCAGAAACAGCAACCACTGTGCTTTCTCAAGACCTCAGGCCCCTGGAAAGCAGCACAGGGTCCAGATGGGGTGGGACCTGGGGCCATATCTGACTGCTTGGCCTTGCTCTGCTCTTCCCTCTCCTGTGTAGAACCTGGAACTAATCTGTGAGCTCTTTGGATGCATTGTAAAGTAGGGACAGTAGCAGTCTCTTCTGGGCTAGCTCAGAACACTGCACTTCATAAGCTTCTAGAAGGTGGCTGCTGTTACTATGACTCCAGATAACCCTGGCAGTTCCTGTATCATGGACAACTTTGGACAGCCTAGATTGCTACAAGGAGGAAGAGCAGGGGACAACTGGGTCTTTTCCCTTAGTCTGCAGCTGCTGTGAATGGCATCTGTAGTGTAACCTTCACTTTCCGGTTGATACAGCACTAAACCCAAACTGCCTCCCCTTCTCCCCACAGTACCAGTATTGGAACTCTAAGGCGCGGCGCAATGAGCTAACTGCCCTGGAGCTCTACGAGGGCACGGAGCAGTATAATGCCACTGCCTTCAGCTCCCTAGACCGTCCCCAGCTGCCCCAAGTCCTCCAGCAGTCCTACATCTTCCCCTCTTCAATCAGTGCCATGGAGGCTACCATCACTGAGCGGGGCATCACCAGCCGGCACTTGCTCAGTGAGTGTTGGGAGGAGGGCTTCACACTGTAGTGGGGATGCACTGCCAGTAGGGAGATTGGGCTCACACTGTAGTGGGGATGCAGTGTCAGCAGGGGGACTGGTTCACACTGTAGTGGGGATGCACTGCCAGCAGGGGGACTGGTTCACACTGTAGTGGGGATGCAGTGTCAGCAGGGAGAGTGAGTTCACACTGTAGTGGGGATGCACTGCCAGCAGGGATATTTGGTTCTCTTTCTCTTTGCTTAGTTCAAATTTGACAGTCTTTGCTCAGTACTCGATGCTCATGAACCATTTCCTTTCTTTGGTTCTTTCTTGCATCTCAGAAAGCCATCCCTGATGTCTGTTTATTTTAGCTGAAAATATGTTCTTAGATTAGCATACAAAATAATGTGTCAATATTCTTTGTTCTTATTCATGCTCTTCCCCTCTGCTGGTCTCTTCCCACCTTCTACAAAGTCCCTCTTCTACTCTGTGTAGTGTGGCGTTCCCTAGACTCTCTTTCTCTTGACCCCCACTATCTCTTCTTCCACATGGTCCTCTTCCTACTTTTTATGACCTTAGCGCACACACAGAAACTAAGTCCTTCTGTGTATGGAGCCTGTCCTGGACCTAGCTCTTGTAGATCAGGCTGGCCTCAAATTCACAGAGATCCATCTGCTTCTGCTTCCCAAGTGCTGGGATTAAAGGCATGCGCCACCACCACCCGGTTCTGTGTCTGACTTTTTATGTCATTCTTTGCTGTTGTTTGAGACAGGATTTTACATGGCCCAAGGTAGCTTTGAACTCCTAATCCTCCTGCCTCCATCTCTTGTATGTTCAGCATCCTGATTTTTTTTTTGTTTTTGAGACAGAGTCTCTCTATAAAACCCTGGCTGTCCCAGAGCTTACTATGTAGACCAGGTTGGCCTCTAATCCCAGAGATTCTCTCTCTGCCTTTCAGGTGCTGGAATTCAAGGTGTTCATCACCATGCCTAGCTCTGATGTGATTTTTTTTTTTTTAAACTTTAAAAAGAAATTGTGTATATGGGTGTTTGCACACATCTGTGTACCACATGTGCCTGGTGCTCAGGAAAGCCAGAATAGGGCACTGAATTCACTGGATCCGGAGTTAGATACAGGTAGTTAAAAGTAGTTGTAGCCACCGTGTGGGAATTGAGAATTGGACCCTGGTCCTCTGGAAGGACGGCCGGTGCTCTTAACCACTGAGCCATCTTTCCCTATATAGCCCCCACCCCATGTCATTCTTAACACAGCTTGTAAAGACTTGAGTAGAAACCAGAGACTTACTTATTTGGTAGAGTCTAAGATTAGGACTCAGTAATAGTTTAGAGTTTATTTAAGACATTTGGGACTCTTAGCTTTGACTGGCACTGGGTGTTACTTGCCAGCTCTGGGTATCATGGGACCTTTGATCACCATTATAAAACTTATGTTGTCTAATGCTTGGTCTTCTACCTTCCTGGCTGCATTACCCAGCAGCCCACATGGCCTCAGGTTAGCTAGAATATGTGAGGAAATCAGTGTCTTCAGAGCCAGCGCCTTCATTTGTACCCATGTGATGGTTTCATTTTGGTTTTGAATTTTTTGGGGTGTGTGTGTAGGCGTTTGAGACAGTGTTTCTCTGTAGCTTTGGAGCCTGTTCTGGAACTAGCTCTTGTAGACCAGGCTGGCCTTGAACTCACAAAGATCCACCTGCCTCTGCCTCCCGAGTGCCAGGATTAAAGGTGTTTTTTTTTAATGGGACCTTGACAACCTATGTTTCTCTTTGTTTATTTTAAACTCTTAATTGTAAACTAACCAGCCCTCATTCAGGGTCAGGTAAATGTGAACCGTCGTTTCTTCCTGTACAGTTGGGCTGCCTTCTGGAGCAATCCTTTCTCTTCCCAAGGCCTTGCTGGATCCCCGGCGTCCTGAGATCCCAACAGAACAAAGCAGGTGAGACTGTTGTGGGCAGAAGGCCCTGACTGTCAGGACTTTAATCCCACTGATAATATTAGTTCTCTGCCCGCCATGCTAGGGTCTCAGGTGAACAAATGACCATGAGCCCTGCCTCCTGGAGCTGGTGTCTGGGTGGGAAGTGACATTAAGTAGCCAGCAAACTGAATGGTGTTAATCACTGGTAGAGAGGAAGCGCATACAGGACAGCCGCAAGGATGTGTGGGAGAATTTGAGATCAGGCCCGGGAAATCCCTGGGAAAAGGTGATCTGAAGGTGGCTGGCATAGGCTTGCTGTATGGTATCTGAGGGAGAATGTTTCAGGTAGAGGAAGCAGCACCAAGGCCCTCAAGTCCTGTCTGTTGAGTCTGAAGGCTGTTGAATGGGAGCAGTGAAGGGTGGAGACCTAGGAAGGGAAGAAGATGAGGAAGGGTCCGATTGGAAAGGGAGGCCTGGAGCTGGTTGATTGTTCCCACTAGCGTGAACAATGTCATCTGGGGCTGTCTCCTCCCTATATTTTGAAGTTTTTTCACTTAGGGACGCCCAGAGGGCTGGGCAGTGGGAGAACAGAGGAGTATGGCTTGGAGTAAGAGAGGGGTGGAGCTAGAAGAAGGGTGACATGTTTCCTGCAGATGAGCTGAATTGAGGCCCAGGGTGGCCTGGAAATCCCTATAGCTCAAGCTGCCCTTGAACTTGAGGCAGTCCTTCTGTCTCAGCTTTCTAAGTGCTGGGATTTCTGGGTATACAACTCCATGCCTGGCTTGTGTTATATGTTCTTATCAAATTGATGCTTAACCAAATTCTCCAGCCAGCCTTCCGTATAGCCCTTCACCGTTCCTTTAGCTGCTGCATCTGTGACAACCTAACTCAGGTCTTCCTCAAAGGAGATTCATGATTTGATGTGTGTCCTGGAGCCTTCCCAGCTCCCAGGAATGACAGCCAAGAAGGAGATCCCTGTCTCACAGGAGCTTTTAGAGTCCCCGTCCCCCTCCTGTGTTTTGCAGAGAGGAGAACCTGATCCCTTATTCTCCGGATGTCCAGATCCACGCAGAGCGGTTCATAAACTATAACCAGACAGTCTCTCGGATGCGAGGCATCTACACTGCACCGTCAGGCCTGGAGTCCACTTGTCTGGTGAGTGTCCCCGTGTGGCATCTGCAGTGTGGCTCTGTGCCCTAAGGATCCCATCTCCTTCCTGACTGACTCTGAGGTGCTGGTGACTCACTGGCTACCTTTCCTTCCCAGTTCTCATTCTGTCTGTCTTTCAGGTCGTGGCCTACGGTTTGGACATTTACCAAACTCGAGTTTACCCATCCAAGCAGTTCGATGTCCTGAAGGATGACTATGACTATGTACTAATCAGCAGTGTCCTTTTTGCCCTGGTTTTTGCCACCATGATCACAAAGAGGCTGGCACAGGTGAAACTCCTCAATCGAGCCTGGCGGTAAAACATGAGCATTCTGCCAGAGTGGAGAGCCTCGGGGAAGCAGTCAGTCCAGGAGCTATGGCTGTGGATTGGTGGATCGGTGACGCTGGATTAGGTTCTCATCTCACTTGAGTCTGGTGGAAAAGGATGACCTTCATGTTGAGCTGCTGGGATACAGTGACGCACAGACCTTGTGGGACAGACACCCACCTCAGCCAGGCTCTCCATGCGTCTGATCCACTGCTCTGTTTTCTTGATCGGCCCATCCACCTGGGGTTTTTTGCTTTTGTTTTTTCCTTTTATGAGGCCTCTGGTTTTTCTCTTCGGAGGCTGTTTAAATTGACTTTGGTTGGCCTTCTGTGTCTCCAGCCTTACTAGAAATCCTCTGACAACTTCTCCCTCTTTTGCTTCCAAGCCTGATGGGTCAGCTCAGCTCTGCCTTAAAGGGTCACTTGGCTGCTTGACCTTGACGGGGCCGAGCAAGCCATTCTTAGCTTAAGTCAGGACTGATCCCACCCAATGGCTTCTCTCTGATATCACAGAACGTGAGGGATCCGTATGTTGAGTCAGAACTAATTTTAACTAAACTTTTTGTTCCATGCTGTCATTTGTATGGTTGGCCACTGTTTGTTTCAGCCTATCAATGCCAAGTACAGAACAGTCATTTGGCTTCTCACACATAGCCTGTGCTTTTCTCTTGAGCTATAGCAAGGCTGAAGCCTTTTTTCATTTTTTTTAATTAAATTTAAATATTTGTGGTTTTTTGAGACAAGGTTTCTCTGTGTATCCCTGGGCTATCTTGGAATTTGCTCTGTAGACCAGTCTGGCCTTGAACTTACAAAGATTTGCCTTCCTCTTCCTCCTGAGTGCTGGCATTAAAGGTGTGTGCCACCAACCGCCCAGCCAGCACTAAAGCTTTATTTAAAGCTATTAAATTATCTGAGTCTTGATGAGATTTTGAGGTCCCAGCATCTCATTGCTCCTGCAGGCCCCAGACACCCTATAGCCCTGTTAGGAAAAAAAGGGCCTTTATTAAGGAAAAACCTTATTTATTGTTGAGGTGGAGGTTTGCCCTATAGCTTAGGCTGGCCTCAAACTTGCAGTCCTCCTGCCTGTCTTCTCAGTGTTGGGATTATAGATGTTTGCCATCATATTGGTAGTGTGCAAATTTTAAATCTCATTGGTATAATTTCCTGTGTGGCATTAGGCATAGAATCCAGGGTCTCATGCTAGGCTGGTTCTTTGCACTGAGTGCTCCATAAGGTGAGCCATGTGGGCTATTATTTTTCTTAAGTAGTTTTTAAATCTTATTAAGTTTTAAGGGGGGCCTCCAAGGAGGATGCTGGGACAAACCCAGGGCACTCTACTTCTACTACTGAGTTATAGCCCCAGTACCTTTTTACTTATTTTTTGAGACACGGTCTTACTATTTTGCCCTTGCTGGCCTGGAACTAGCTATGTGTACTAGGGCTGGGCTTCTATGTGGGATGTGTGTGTACTACTGGCTGGCTGGGTTTCTGTGTGGGGTGTGTGTGCACTCCTGTCTGGATTCGTGTGTGGGATGCATGTGCATTCCTGAATGGGCCTATGTGGGGTGTGTGTATACTCCTGTCTGGGCTTGTGTGGGGGGTGTGTGCACTCCTGTCTGGGTTGTGTGTGGGGTGTGTGTATACTCCTGTCTGGGCTCTTGTGTGGGATGTGTGTGCACTCTTGTCTGGGCTTGTGTGTGTATGTGTGCACTCCTGTCTGGATTCGTGTGGGGGGTGTATATGCACTCCTGTCTGGCTCGTGTGTGGGGTGTGTGTGCACTCCTGAATGGTCATGTGGGTGTGTGTGTGCACTCCTGAATGGTCATGTGGGGGGGGTGCACTCCTGTCTGGGCTCCTGTGTGGGGTGTGTGTGCACTTCTGTCTGGGTTCCTGTGTGGGGTGTGTGCACTCTTATCTGGACTTGTGTGTGTGTATGTGTGCACTCCTCTCTGGATTCGTGTGTGGGGTGTATATGCACTCCTGTCTGGCTCGTGTGTGAATGTGTGTACACTCCTGTCTGGGTTCCTGTGTGGGGTGTGTGCACTCCTGTCTGGGCTCCTGTGTGGGGTGTGTGCACTCCTGTCTGGGCTCCTGTGTGGGGTGTGTGCACTCTTGTCAGGGCTCCTGTGTACTACACATGAAAGAATCCTAAATTTTCCCTGTTTGTGAACCTGGTACTGATTGTTCTTTTTGAAGAAGGGAAGGCAATGCAGTTGACCATGCTCCCTGGAATAAAGCAATGATCAGTGATCTGGCCTCAGCTCTGTTATGTGTCTTTAGAGTTTACTTTGAAGATACTTTTGCATTAAAATGGGGGGGGACCAAAGCTAGATGTGGAGGCACACCCCTATAATAGGGCACTTGGACATCTTCAGCTATATATCAGCGTAGGCTATGAGACCTTGTCTTTTTTTTTTTTTTTTTAAAGGAGTGGGGCGTGGGGAGATGGCACAGTGCTTAAGAGTATCTGCTGCTTTTTCAGAGGACCCGAGTTCAGTTTGCATTACCTGTACTGGGTGCCTCAGAAGCACCTGTAACTACACCTCCAGGAGATCCAATATCCTCTCCTGGCCTCTGTGAGCATAAGGCTATCATGCCAACTTCCTTGTGGGTGGTAACCAGTTTCCTCTGTTTGTAAATTGTCCAGTTGGTGTAAGGGGTGAGCATCTGACACTTACAACTAGAGGCCCTGTCCTCACTGGCTTTGTGAAATTCACCCAGGGAAAGATAGTGATACCCATTACATTTTTCTGCTTTAGCTTTTGTTTCATGATGAGGGCTCACCATGCATCTCTGGCAGGCCTGGAGCACACAGACATGCTTGGATTAAAGACATATGCCACTATGCACTCACTTTGAGACAGACTGGCGTGAATTTTGTGTAAGATGGCTAAGTGACATCATCAGTTCTTATCACATTGTCATGTTTTTATTTTAGGATTCATTTTGAGTGTTTTCCCTGAATCTATGTGATGCAGACTGGTGTCCATGGAGGCCAGAACAGGTTGCTGGATCCCTTAGAACTGGACTTATGGATGATTGTGAGCCACCATGGGGGTTCCTGGGAACTGAACTGAGTCCTCTGGGAAGAGCAGCCAGTGCTATTACTGGCTGAGCCTCATGTCCAGCCCCATATACTGCCTGCTGTGTTTCCATAGTACAGTTAGACTGCAAGATTCTAGTTTTTCTCTACTTAAGTGCCAGAATTGTAAAGTAGCTAAAGGTCAGGAAGTGACCCACCCTTCATAGAATTCCCAGTAGTTCATCTTAAACTTTTTTTTAAAATGCTTTTTTTTTAAAAGATTTACTTAATTATGTATACAGTGGTTTACCTGCATGTATGCAGCAGGCCAGAAGAGGGCACCAGATTTCATTGTAGATGGTTGTGAGCCACCATGTGGTTGCTGGGAATCGCCTGGCCTGGTTTGTTTATTTATTTATTTTAAAAGATTTATTTATTTATTATATATACAACATTCTGCCTCCATGTATGCCTGCATGCCAGAAGAGGGCACCAGATCTCATTGCAGATGGTTTTGAGCCACCATGTGGTTGCTGGGAATTGAACTCATGACCTCTGGAAGAACAGCCAGTGCTCTTAACCACTAAGCCATCTTTACAGCCCTGTTCATTTATTTATTATTTTGAGACAGAGTTTCTCTGTGTATCCTTGGCTGTCCTAGAAGTCACTCTGTAGACCAGGCTGGCCTCAAGTTCAGAGATCCTGTTTTTCATTTTTAATTTTTTGTTTTGTTTTTGATACAGTGTCTCTCTGTGTAGCCCTGGCTGTCTTGGAACTCACTGCATAGACCAGGCTGCCCTTGAATTTAACAAAGCTCTGCCTGCCTCTGCCTTTTGAGTTCTGAGATTAAAGTGTGTTTCACCATGCATGTTCTTATATTTATCTTGATTTGATGTGTATGTGTGTGCAACATGTGCATGTTTGGTTCCCAAAGATCCAGGAGAGGGATCAGACCCCTGGAACTGGAGTTAAAGACAGTTGTGAGCTGTATTGTGGGTTTTGGGACCTGAACCTGGGTCTTTTTGCAAGAGCAGCCTTGCACTTTTAACCCCTAAGCCATATCTTCAGTTTCTCCCCTTGATTAATTTCTGTGGGTGAGGTGTTGAGTGACTCCAGCTCAAGAAGCTGTAACCAAGATGTTGGTCACTACCAGGTGTCTGAAGGCTGGGCTGGCTGGAGATGGTCTTCTCACGTGGGTGTCAAGTTGGTGCTAGCTGTGACTTAAAGGTTCCCTGGACAGTGGGACTTTCATTGGAAGTGTCCTAGACAAAGTCCAGGGGCTGCTTTTGTGCCCTTCCAACATGGCTGCTTATCTCAGGACAAACAATGCAAGAGGCAGGGTTTCTCTGTGTAGCCTTGGTTGTCCTGGAACCTGCTTTGTAAACCAAGCTGTCCTTGAATTCAGAAATCTGTGCGCCTCCGCCTCCTGAGTGCTGGGATTAAAGTCTCGCACCACTACTGCCAGCTTTTAAATTTTACTGAAAAGATTTTCAAAGGACTTATTTTATGTGCATGAATGTTTTGTCTGTATATATGTGTGTATGCCATTTTCATGACCTATGCCCTCAGATCAGAAGGCATCAGATCCCTTGGAATTGGACTTAGAATGGTTGTGGGTGCTGAGAACTGAACCTGGGCCCTCTGAAAGAGCCATTTCTTCAGCTCCCTGAAAATTGATTTTTCTTGACAGGCACTGTTGGCTCACACTTTTAATCCCAGCACTTGGGAGGCAGAGGCAGGTGGATCTCTGGTTTGAGGCCAGCCTGGTCTACAGATTGAGTTCTAGGACAACTGGGCCTACATAGTGAAACCCTGTCTTGAAAAAAAAATGTTTTTATTTATGTATGACGTGTCCCACTAGGAACTCTAGGTCCAGGGGAAGGGCAGAAGAGGATGTTAGATTCCCTGGAGCTAGAGTTACTGGTGAGTATAGATGTTGGGAATTCAATCTGGGGTCTCTGGAAGAGCAGCTTGTACTAAGTGCTGAACTCTCTCTCTAGTGCCTTCGATTTGAAGTTCTCAGATACTTCCCTAGCCTCTCAGGCTTAAAAGACATTACTTTTCAGTTTTAATTCTTAAAATATTACTCGTCAGTAGTTCCTATCTTATTTTTCAGGTCAGAATATTGATGAAACTTGTGCTTCATCTAAACTGCTTTTCAGTGTTTGATATCTAAATGTATATTTTTGAGACAGAGTTGCTATTTAGATCAGACTGGCCTTGAATTTATGTTAATCTTCTGCCTCCCCAGCATTGCCACTACAAAGCATTTTAAAAAGATTTATGAGCATATGTGTGTTTGGGGGGGGGGGGGTTACGTGCACGTGGGAATGCAGATTCCTATAGAGTCCAGGAGAGGGCATCAGATCCCCTGGAACTGGAATCTTAGGGAGCAGCTAGACCTGGGTGCTGAGAATGGAATTCTGCTAAGCCTTGTCTTCAGCCCCTCAATTCTAAATTTAGAACACAGATGTTATCCCAGGTCTTTGAGACAATACAAGAACAAATCTCCACTACGGAAATGTGTTTGAAAAGGAAGATGTTTATTCCTAGTGCCTTCTTGTTACCCAAAAGTCAGAAATATTTGACTTGCCTTTACTTCCAATGACCAGATGTGGCTTAGCACACCTATAATTTCTCAGTATTTGGGAGGTTGAAAGAAGAGTGTTGTGTTTTAGGCCAGCCTGGGCTACAGCGGAACGCCCGAAAAAAATAACCCCTCACCTTCGGGGTTATAAACCGACGTGGAGACCCACACCTGTAATTCCACCGGAGGTGGAGATAAAGGATTGCTCAGGTCCGAGGCCAACCTGTACTAAATAGGGAGCCCATGGCTCCGGAGGTAAAGCTAGCAGTCTGGAGCCTCAGGGAAGAAGGCTGCGACCACATTTCAAAAGATCAACAACCTCTTCTCATGATTATTACCGAAGGGTCCCAAACACACAAGCGCTAGAACGGCTGCTCGTGTGGTACACTGGGCAGAGGAAGCGGTTAACAGCGAGCAGGCTTTGGTCTCTTGTCGTCCCTGACCGGCCCAGGATGGCGCCATTCCGCCTGCTCGCACATTTCTTCCGAATGCAAGTCGCAAAACTCATTTTTTTCTTAAACTGGAAACCATATTTCCCCTTAGAACAGCGCCCGCGCAGTAGTTGATGCTCCTGCGAGCATGCGCAGTGGTGCCCGCTCTTCTAGCGCACGCGCACAGGGCATCTCTCCCAGGGCTCCCCCTGAAGCGCTCAGTGCTGCGCAGGCGCATTGCCTCGGGTCTTGCCCTGAGAAGTCAGAGGTGGCACAGCACCTTACGTTTTTGTTGCGCGACCCGCGGCGCCCTGTCTGACGCGCACGATCGCGTCACTTCCGCCCCCTCCCGGGAGGCGGCGCTGGGCCGGTGGCAAGCCCCCGGAGGGAGCCGCAGTAGTACGACGGAAGATGGCGACGAGCGGCGGCGACGAGGCGGCGGCAGCGGCTCCAGTGCCCGGAGCCCCGGCGACCGGGCAGGACACGACCCCGGGCTGGGAGGTGGCGGTGCGGCCCCTACTGTCCGCGTCCTACTCCGCCTTTGAGATGAAGGAGTTGCCGCAGCTGGTGGCCTCAGTCATCGAGAGGTACCGGGCGGCGGCGCCGACGGGCAGCACGGTGGGGGGGGAGGGGAGAACCTGCGGGGTCGTGAGTCCCTGCTGCCCCGCAGCCTCCCGCCGGGAATCCACCCCACGCATTCGGGGCTGCCGGGCGCTGAAGACTCGAGCTCCCAGGTTTCCTCCCGTGGCTAGCATAAACCATTCCTGACTCGATTTCCCCTCCAGAGCAAAAGTTTTATGGCTGCCCTTGCTGGAGGGCGTGGCCTCCAGCATTTGCGAACTGGTTTTTGAGGTGCAAGGTGCTTCTTGGCGGGTGTCTCCGGGCTGCCCCTCTGTGTTGAGGTCAGGGCGTGGATGAGTTTGCATTTCTCCCTGCCAGCGGAGCCCGAGATTTACTTTGGAGATCTACCACATAGTTTAATAACGGGCTTTCTTTGGTGCTCTGATCACTGGGGGGCACGTGCTGTTTCTGTGACTGAAGCCTCTAGTTATCACTGAATACTTTAGTTTTACTTTGCATCTCTCGTACTTTACACCGTGACTGCGTGTGTCAGAGAGCCGAGTCCTTCTCTTTCTCAATAAAATACGTTCATTCTCTTATGGGACTGCTCGTTGTCTTGCTGTTATATGCTACTACCTTTTTATACAGATCGTCGGATTGCAGGAGTCGTATTTCTTCATGGCAAGGGGGCGATCTTAGTATCTGCCTTTTCTGTGATGAGTTTAATAGTAGACTCAAGCTTTTAAAGCCCGTTTGCTTACTTTCGTTTTCCTAACCAAACCTTGCGCGGTAACTCCCTGAAATTGCTAAGCGGGTCATTTTAGCTTGTTGGTCAACAGAGTATATCTAAATGTTATTTGGAAAGTTAGAAACCGCTGTGTGTTACTCAAGAGAGGCTCATGGTTTGACGCATTAATTATCACAGTTATTGTCAGAATTGTCACAGTAATGGTGATGCTTTGGATGAAGGTTCCTTAACAATTTATAATAAAACAGTGATTGAGTCTGCTAACTTAAGATTTAACAGGTAGAATTTCTTACTTAACTATGTTTAATAATGTTCTGAAGTTGTAAACAAGTACCAAAAAGTATTACTCTCAAATTATGTAGCCTCTTTTTATTTTACTGGTCTTTCTTTTTTTAAAAATCCATGTGTACGTGTATATCCTGTGTATGTGGATGCCATTGGAGGCAAGAAGAGGTCTCCAGATTCCCTGGAGATGGCGTTATGGGCAGTTATGAGCCACCTGACGCTGGTGCTGGGCCCTGAGCTTGGGTCCTGGAAGAGCAGGAAGTGCTCTTAACCACTGGGCCATCTCTCTACCCCCAACCTACTATTTTATAATCTAATCGAATTATTTTTATGTGTGTGTGCTAATGGAGACCACAGGACAAGTTTTAGGAGTTGATTCTCTTCTTCCATCTTGGTTTCCAGGGATTGAACTCAGGTTTCCAGATATGGATGCTAGACATTCTTCCCCATCTCCAGCCAACCATGCAGACTCCTATTTTACTGTCTTAAGTGTTTAAATCACCACTATTTTCCTGAATCATACTCACCACTTACAATCAACAATGTTCGCTTCCTGTTAGAGGATTTTCTTTTGTATTTATGGGTGTGAACTGAGTTTGTAATGCCATTTGTTGGCATTCATGTATATCCCATATGCGTGGTCCTTGCCTTTTAAACTTAGAGCAGCCCCTTGCAACTTGCTGAATCCAAACACGGAACTAGATTTGAACTTTGCTAAGTGCTAGTTACCCTTCTACATTCTTCATCATCTGAGAGAACCAAGAACTGTGTTTGTAGACATGAAAAAACCTCTTTATGGTGTTAGGAAAAGTGGTGTGTATTTAGTAATACTGAGTTTTATTGGAAGTCAGGAGTTTTGAACTCCATGTTCTGGTTTTTATAGCTTAGTGAAGTTTGAAGTCCTGTTCTGTCTTCTTGGGAGAAATTAGATCGTACAAAAAGAGTTAAACCTCATAAGTTCCTTATGCTATAAAACAGTGTTGTGTTGAGGGTAGAGCACAATCAGTGGCCTTTGCTGAAGGCTCAGGTAGTAACTGCAGGTCTGTGGGCTGTGTGGACAGTTCACTTCTGCCATCTTAGACGAAGGCAGCCATGTGTGATATTATCCAATTTTGACCAAACGTGATGTGTTTAACTTCTTACAGGCCTTAAATGTACACATCACATCCAGACATTAAAAGATAATAAATCCACTCACCTGGTCAACTACCTGGGCCCGAGTTTGCTGACCTCTGTCTTAGAGCACACTAATTATACCCTGTTAACCAATTTCTCAAATGTTTTCTTTCCAGAAAAATGCAGTAAGGGACTCAGGAATGTGGAACCATTTGTTGCCTAGGGCTTTAGGCCACTGAGTATAGTTCAGCCCAGGTTTCTGCTGGGGTGGGCATTGTTTCTGGCTGTCGTAGGTTTAGGGGCCAAGTTTGCTGTTGTGCTTGTGGGACGACTGTTGCCTTGTTTCTCCCATGTTTACAGCTGGTCTCCTTTCCCCCTTGCCTCCAGGAACCCCCTGTTTTTCTGTGGCAGTGTGCTGGCCTCTGCATCCTTTTTTGATGTTCTGGCTTCGTCACTGCAGTCCTTATTCCCTGTCTGGCAGCCGTTCCCTCTTTGATTGCCTCTTGTGGAGCTGCTAGGGCTGATATTGGCCCTGAGAGATTCCTCTCAATGTCTCCATTTTATCTCTTGTCTCAAGTTAAGCTTTATAATTGGAATTGACCTTTTGAGGACAGAATACATTGAAAACTCTTAGGGTCTGATCTTAACTGTGTGATCAAATTGCTTGATGTTAAGATGATGCTGTGAAACAAAGGGCAGTAGATTAGCATGGACGAACTATACTGGGTACCCTCAAAAGTGTCCTTAGATCTTTGAAAGAAAGTGATATCTTAGTTTATTTAGTTGAGTGCAGGTGGCTTCTGTTGTCCATAGCCTGCAGGTCTTTTAGTACAGACTGAAAATCTCTTAAGTGTTGAGTGCAGCCCTCTGTGTTCTGTGGCCAAGAGCATTTCTTTCAGAACTCTATCAGACATGGTTGGGAGCATAGCTGATATTGAGTATACATAGATTAAAAAAAACAACCACCCCTCCCCTCCAGTGTCTCTGGCTTCTTTCATTATAAGCATCTTGAAAAACAAATTTGTCTTCCAGGTATTTCTTGGAATTTAGAACAGAGCTGCTACCTGGGGCAGGGAGGCTGTTAGAACACTCTATCAGGTAGTGCAGATCCTTCCTGGAAGTCTTGGAGAGAGACAGTGCTGCACTGACTGGTGTCTTTTGTCTTTATGTGCTAGTGTGACATAGTTGACAGTTGAGCCACAGGAGGGAGAACCCATCACCAAAAGAGTGTGCTTGGAGGGTAGTCCTGGTGTCTCATTGGCACAGTCACCACGCGTCAGTCAAGCACAGAAGAAAAATTGGTCAGAAAACTCACAGTTCTTGGGTTAAATGAATAGCTGTATGTGTAGCTATCTGCCTGTGTGTACACTAGTGAATGCACTTGTGTATGTGTGTGTTTGTGTGCGCATCCTGAAGTAATGTGAAAGAAATAACTCGATGGATTTTGTGTGCAGAAGTTGAAGTTGCTAAGGGGTAGGGAATTGTTGCACTTCCACAGTCTATGAAAGAGACTTACAGTGTGTTATCTAAGGGGAAAGTGGAGGGAACCCTAGTCTTTTGTTATGTCCCTCCTCAGATCCCCCACTCTTTCTAAAATAAGCTAGATATTTCCAGATGCTAGCTAGTTCTTTCTTCTTCCTTCCTTCCTTTTTTTTTTTTTTTTTAATAACATCAGATATATTCTCTGTCTTGGCTGCCTTCTGTTCTTCTCTTTCCACTGACTAGGACAGAAAACCCTCATCGTCTTTGTCTAACAATATAGGTGCAGTGGACACATTGCAAAGTTTGTTAGTGGTGGGTGCTTCAAGAAAGCTGACATGCCTTCAAGGCTCACCACTTTCCTTGTGATGTCTGTGCTCGGTTTCCTTGCTCTCTCTCCCACTGACCCTTCTGCCCTTTGTTCCTCTTTGGTTTTAGCATCTGCTGGGATCTCTGTGTTTATAGGTTTTCTGGGCGAATGGGTGACAATAAATTGTTATTTGGTGACATTTCTCCAAAAGCAAGAGATAGAATTATACCTATTTTTCTTTCTAGCCTTTTAAAAGGTCTTATTCCCGACCTTATCCCTAGCTACCCTAAGCATATTATTTTTATTTAAAAAATTATTGTGTGTGCATGTATGTATGTGGCACTTGTGCTCTGGCACACATTTGGAAGTCAGAGGACAACTTGTATGTGGATTCCTGGGATCAGACTCAGGTTGCCAGGCTTTTTGTAGCAAGTGCCCTTAACCACTGAGCTGTCTTGCTAGTCTACCATAAACAAATTGTAAGTGGAGCTGAATATAGTGCCATCTTTTTCTTTACCAATACCTATCTTCCTCCCTAAGATACATATTTGTTGCATTTTTGGAGTAAGGTTGCTGTATATTTGTAAGAGAGGGGGTTGAATTTCTGATATATCATAGTGGCATCTGTATGGCCCTGGGGTAAGACAGACAGACAGACAGACAGACAGACAGACAGACACACAGCTAGGAATGTATGTAGCTCACTTAAGAACATCCACGTAGCCCTGGGTTCAAATCCCCAGCAGTACCCAAATCAGACTTGTTTTCTGCCTGGCAACATATACTTGGCACATGCCTGTAATTCCAGCACCTGGGAAGTGGAGGCAGAAGGAGCAGACATTCGGTGTCATTCATTCTCAGATATTTATTGAGTTCCATGCCAGCCAGGGGTAATTTAGACCAGTGGTCCTCAGCCCATGGGTTGCGACCCTTTGGGTTATTAAAGGACCCTTTCAGAGGGGTTGCCTACGACCGTCAGAAGACATAGATATGTAAATTATGATTCATAACAGTAGAAAAATTACAGTAATAAGGTAGCAACAAAAAAAAACTTTATGGTTGGAGGTCACACAGTGTGAGGAACTGTATCAAAGGGTTGCAGCATTAGGAAGGTTGAGAACCACTGCATTATTAGATAATGTCTCAAAAAACCAAAGAGGGGACAGGAACAGCAACCACTCACCAGCTCTAACTCCACACCTCTGACTGAGCCAGGCAACTAAATAAGTTTACTTATTCCAGTGGGTGCATGTGTGTTTATCTGTTAATAACTTCATTTTATTACCAGAATGGGAATGAACGTGCAGAATAATTTCATCCTTGGAGTGGGTAGTTTTTCTCTAAGACTTGGTAAACTTGTTAGCTGAAAAGAGTGGAGGTAAACAGATCTGAACTTTTCAAACTAACAGCAAAGGACAGTGAGTCAGCAGACTACATGGAATTGAGAGTAGGAACACTCTAGAAGCCAGAAGGGCCGGGCGGTGGTGGCGCATGCACGCCTTTAATCCCAGCACAATGGGAGGCAGAGGCAGGCGGATCTCTGCCAGCCTGGTCTATAAGAGCTAGTTCAGGACAGGCACCAAAGCTACAGAGAAACCTTGTCTCAAAAAACTGAAAAAAGAAAAAAGAAGAAGCAGCCGGAAGGTAGACAAGAGAATTCAAGTGTGTTGGTGAATGGAAGGGTGTAGTGTGGAGCCTCAGAGAGGGAGCTAGCTACTTGGAGCTAGCTTTCTGTTTCCCTTGTCTTTACATACCATGATAAACAGAGGAGTGTGACTCTATGATCAGGAAGGTCCGGGCTCACCCTAGGTGCTCCAGGACTACTCTTCTTATAAGGGTCTAATCTTTGCTACACGCTGATTTTAATCCTCAGACAGCAAAGCACTCGCAGTGCCAGACTACAGAGAGTGTTTTGAAGTGATCCGTCACTGACGTTGGCACTTTCCAAACACAGACCTGGCATTTCAGCTCTTGTATTCATTTGGCAGGAAGATAAGCCTGCTGGTGAATGGATCAACTCTGTTTACATTTCTCTTGCTGGGTGGATACTTTTTGCTAGGGATTAATTCACTGAGGAAACAGATTTAACCATCTCTCTGCTCTTTGCATCTAATAAGATACATTTTGTTCTTTTCTTTGCCTGCCTTAGTTCATGGTTTGTGCCTTAGCTTCTCATTTGATAAAGTGACTTAAATGTATCTAGCCTTTAGAGTGCGTTGGGCTCCATATATTCGCAGAAGAGGACAATTCCTGAGCTAAACGCAGTGATGAGGTTTGAAAAGGGACAAGCTATTCTGTTGCCACCTAGTGTTAGCCTCCTTGAAGGGGACTTGGAGGAGGCTGTTGCTCAGGCACTGGGTGTTGGCTTTAGGGGACTTCTTGCTGTGAGCTGTTGATTTTTTTCTTCCAAGTCCCTGCGCTCTGTGTTGTAGTTGGTCTTCAGAATGGATTACTTTCATCTGCTTCTGTTGCTAATATTGTGAGTGCCCTAGCCTGACCTCTTTTGATCGTCAACAATTAAGGTGTTTTCTAATGGGTAATATAGAATAAATTGGTAATGTAATTTGGGCTGTGTGTGTATGTTCTAATGCTAGGGGTCAGGGTTTTGCTATTGCCATAGCCTCAGCCTTCTGTTATATTTTCACTTGTGTCTCCTTACTTCTGTTTTGTGTGTGCTTGTGGGGAGTGTTGGGGATTGAACACATGGCCCCATACGTTCTTCTACTGAGTCACATCTCCAGCTTCCTTTTAACTCTATTTCTGAGACAGGGTTTCACTATGTAGACGTGACTGGTCTAGAGCTTGCTATATAGATCAGACTGGCCTCTGCTCACAGAAATCTGCTTGCCTCTGTTTCCTGATGCTGGGATTAAAGATGGGCTCTGTCACGCCCTGCTCCAACTCCCCCCCCCCTTAAACAATTTTTGAATTGATAAATTGTTTCTTGCCAGGTGATAGTGACACATGCATTTAATCCCAGCACTTGGGGAGGCAGAGGCAGGTGGCTCTCTGTGAGGTCATTCTGGTCTACAGAGTGAGTTCCAGGGCAGCCAGGGATGTACAGAGAAACCATGTTTCAAAAAAAGAAAAAAAGAAAAAGAAAATATTTTTTCTTCATTAGCCTCTTCTTACTAAGTCTGATTTCTTAAACTGGATATTCTCTAAGCTTTTTTGTTGTTTGTTTTTATGGTGCTGAGGCCTTGTGTCCCAGCACCATCCCCAGCCCACACATTGAATATAGGAATAAGTAGCCATTTCCTTTACTTCCTACCAAGTAGGTTGCTGAAAGGACAGAATAAGGCAATTCTTAGAGGGATGTGGGGCACGTGATGGGTATGGATTGTTGGTGACATTGTCTTCCTTGCAGTGAGTCAGAAATCCTGCACCACGAGAAGCAGTATGAGCCATTCTACTCATCCTTTGTTGCACTGTCCACACACTACATCACCACGGTCTGTAGCCTCAGTGAGTATGCCTGCCCTGTTACCCGGTGAGGGCTTGTGGGGTGGGGGTGGGGGGTAGTCTCTCCTTGAACGCTTAGCTAATGAAGTTTTGTTTGAGCAACTCCCAGGCTGTTCAGCTGTGAATGGGAGCAGCTGTTGATATTCCCACTTTCCTACCCCAGGAAGGAGTGCAGAGACCTTTCCTGGGCCTGCCACAGGATCTGGAAAAGTGCTGGCTTTGTCACCTGCCTCATAGCCATGAAGCCAGGCCCATTTTTCTTCTTAATCAAAAGAACTTTAAAAAAAAAAGTTTTCTGTCATTTCCATTTTATGTTATTCTGTGCTTGCTTTCCCTGTTTATTTTATTTTTTTAGGTTTATTTTTATTTTTAATTATGTGTATGAGTGCATGTCCTTCTGTGGGGATGTGCACGAGTGCAATTGTTCTTGAAGGTCAGAAGAGGGTGTTGGAACCTCTGCAATTGGAGTTACAGGTGTTTGTGAGCTGCCTGTTAGGAGTGTTGGGAATCAAACTTGGGTCCTCTGCAAGAGCACCACAATTGTTCACTGCTAAGCTGTCTCTCCAGCCTCTTCTTATATATAATATTAGTGCTGCCTGGATGCACACAGGTGTGGATCCATTCACTGGAGCCTGCCGGAGGCCACCCCCCTAAAGAAAAAAATGACTCTCCTTCATCATTTATCAGTAATCCTTCAGATGGGACCTGTTAGCCCCTCCCCCATTCCTTTCTGTATTCATTGATGAGACTTATGGCCCAGGCTGGCTTAGAGCTCACCAGGCAGCCCAAGCTGGCCTTGAACTGGCCTGGAGTCACAGCATTGTTAAACTCATATATACATGTACCTGCTAGCGAACTGATTTATTGAGGGCGATGCTGGTAGGCATGACTGGGTTAGTGCCCCTAGGAGGCTTCTGCTCCCTGGATTTTGTGTGAACATGAATCTCTTGTGTTCTTTGGTATGGGAAGAGATTTGACCTTTGTTCCTTATTTGCAATTACTGCCCTTGCAGAGGTCCAGGTTTAGTTACCAGCATCCATGTGGTAGCTCACAATCATACCTAACTTCAGTTCCAGGGTGGGTTTGACACCATTTTCTGTCCTCCACGGGCGTTAGGCATGTACATGATGCATATACATATGTACAGGCAAAACACTCCAAAACAAAATAAATAAGCCTAAAAATATGCTGGGATGGTATTTCCCTTACAAAGCGGCCTAAGTATTAGATGAGCTGACACATTTGAAGTGCAGGAAGTGTGGTGTGTTTCTTGTTAAAGTCATCTTAATATCTACTAAATACTAGTTAGCTTTTGTCATCCGGGGAGATTGCTGCTAAGAATGCAGAACCTGTGAGCTCAGTGCTTGTTCTGCTGCTGTGTTGCATGTGAGGCTGACCTGTTGCCAATTAAGTGACTGTTTTTGCTTTCTCAGTTCCCCGGAACCAGCTTCAGTCGGTGGCAGCGGCCTGTAAAGTCCTCATTGAGTTTTCTCTCCTTCGTCTGGAGAACCCGGACGAGGCATGTGCTGTGTCCCAGGTGAGAGGAGAGGGTCCATTTGTGGCCCTTATTTTAAAACCAGCTGTAAGTATGGGAACTGGATGAATGGTGTCAGACTAAGGTGGGTAAACCTTTTCTGAGGTTGATCAGATAGTTGTTTGTGGGCCATACTGTGTCTCTTACAGCTTGCCAGCAGTCTATGCTGCAAACACAGGAGTGGAAATGAATATGCTATATCCTGCTAGCTGTAGACAGGCTAGAGTCTCCCAAGGATGGAAAGTTTCTGTATGTGTAAGCAGGTAGCAGTGAAAAGGGTGTGCTGTTTGACAAGTTGGCAGGCTTGGAAGAAAAGGGACCAGGTCTTACCACACTCTGGCTATGGCTGATTGTTGCCATGCAGGAATGGAGGCATCAAGCTAGCCTGTTGTAGATAATTGAGACTCATAAGGAATCTAAGTTTGTTTTAAGGCCTTCTGTTTTTACAAAAGTTAGCCACAGCTGTAGTTGAAAACAGAAAACAGTTATACAATCTGTGAGAATAAGACATTTGCAAACTGATTAGCTCTCAATGACCTCAGTTTGAGATCTCTGCCTGTGTATTTTTCACTGAAGTTATGTTTTTTTCTCTCCTCCCCCTTCTGGGGGCCCCCAGGACTGTGGTACATTCCCAGCCCTTCACACGGCAATTATTTGTGTGCACCTAACTCAGACCCTGCACTAGTTAGACTCCCCAAAGTACAGAATCGTCTAAAAGACATGTGGCTATGTTTTGTTTTCAGAAACACTTGATTCTGCTGATCAAAGGCCTGTGCACTGGCTGTAGCCGACTAGACAGAACAGAAATTATCACCTTCACAGCAATGATGAAGTCCGCCAAGCTTCCACAAACAGTGAAGACGCTTTCAGATGGTTTGTGCCTGACACCCCTACTTACATGACCCCCTCTGTGGCCACTGTTGCCTTCTGTTGGCATTCTCCTCATCTTTCCCCCGCTTTTCGTTTCTGAATTTTGTAGTGGAAGATCAGAAAGAGCTGGCGTCTCCAGTAAGCCCTGAGCTAAGGCAGAAGGAGGTACAGATGAATTTTTTGAACCAGCTCACCTCAGTTTTTAACCCTAGAACCGTACCATCTCCTCCCATTAGTCCACAGGCTCTGGTGAGTTCTTTACCCAAATATCCTCATTTTCATGGAATATGTTAAGATGATAGAACTGAGAAAAGATTATATTTTACTTAAAAGATACAGCCCCATTCCCCCTCCCCCCCTAAAAAAGGCCAGTGGGTGGTGGCATACCCCTTTAACCCCAGCACTTGGGAGGCAGAGGTAGGGGGTTCTCTGAGTTTGAGGTCAGTCTGGTCTACAGAGCAAGTTCCAGGTCATCCAGGGCTGCACAAAGAAACCCTATCTTGAAAACAAAACAAGATACAGTATACCATTTTGATCAGGAAGGGAGCATACAGGTGATGATAGAACCATAAAACTTTATTGTCTGGTGACCTTGTAGACATCTTGGTTTGTGTAAGTTTACTCAGGTACTTGTCCAATGACAGAATCATGCAATGAGGCATTTCTTAGACTATATTCCCACCGTTAAGTGACGGGCTTTGGTGGAAGAATATACAAAACAAATCATACCAAATGATTTGCCTCTCCTCTTCCTTTGTGTGGTTTGGACCGTTTGCGGGTCATTCTCTTGTGCTTTCCTCAGTGTGAATGCCACAGAAACATGTGCAGATTTCCTCACAAGGCTCCACTCTGGTGAAAACATACAGTTCATGAGCTGTTTATGTCTCAACTTCGCTTGTATTTTCTCCTGGGTCAGCAGTTTCTCACTTGTAGCTGAATGTCCAAGCATTTCCAAGGAGCAGCCTTGTTGTACCCAGCAGGGTCCCTGGCAGCAGGCAAGTGGTCATGCTAGGGCTTGTGTTTCTCTTCAGGTGGAAGGAGAAAATGATGAGCAGCCATCCACAGATCAAGCCTCTGCTGTCAAGACCAAGAACGTGTTCATAGCTCAGAATGTGGCTAGCCTTCAAGAGCTTGGTAGGAGCCCGTCTACTGTTAGAAAGCTGATCTATATGCTTACGCAAACATCTTGCCTGTGCTTCTTCCATGTGGAGAAGAACCAGGCTTCAGACAGAAGCCCATATTGGACAGTGTGTCTTTTTGTTAATCCAGGTGGCTCAGAGAAGCTGCTCCGAGTGTGCCTGAACCTGCCGTATTTCCTGCGCTACATCAATCGGTTCCAGGATGCAGTGGTAGCCAATTCCTTCTTCATCATGCCTGCAACAGTAGCTGATGCCACTGCTGTTCGCAATGGGTAAGTTGCTCCTTGACCTTGTACTTCATTCTAATCCTAAGGGATAGAGCTGGCTCGTCTTTACCCTTGCTGGTTTTCTTTATTAGACTATAGAAGCAAGGTCCTAGGACTGTTGCTGATCCTCCTCTGTTGTGTTCCAGTTTTCACTCACTAGTGATTGATGTAACCATGGCCTTGGATACCCTTTCTCTACCTGTGTTGGAACCCCTCAATCCTTCACGTCTGCAAGATGTGACAGTTCTCAGCCTCAGCTGTCTGTACGCGGGTAAGAAGTTATGTCTGCTATAATTTTCTTTAGTCAAACATGGATTTGATTTGAAGAAGTCATAAAAACCCTGAGAACTCCATTCTGAGACTATCTAATATCACATGTAAGGCCAAGGGAAACCGTTACGGGCATTGCAGTGACCCTGCTGTTTAACTGCTGGCCTCAATGTGTGTGTGTGTGAACGTGTGTGAATGTGTGTGAACGTGTGCATGTACAGGTGTGTGTGTCTGTGCACATATGTGTGAGTGCATGTGGAGACCAGAGATCAACTTTGGGTGTTGTTCTTTAGTGGCTGTCCACCTTCTTTTTATTTTTTATTTTTTTAATTAATTTATTTATTTCCACCTTCTTTTTTGAGACAGGGTCTCTTTTTTTTAAACTTTTTTTTTTTTTTTTTTGAATTTTTTCGAGACAGGGTTTCTCTGTAGTTTTTGGTTCCTGTCCTGGAACCATCTCTTGTAGACCAGGCTGGCCTTGAACTCAGTCCGCCTGCCTCTGCTCCTGAGTGCTGGGATTAAAGGTGTGCGCCACCACCCTCAAGCTTTAAACATTTTTTTAAATTGATATTTATTGAGCTCTACATTTTTCTCTGTTTCCCTCCCTTCTCTCCCCTCCCCTCTCTTCCCCTCTTTAATCCTCCCTCAAGGTTCCCATGCTCCCAATTTACTCAGGAGATCTGAGACAGGGTCTCTTACTGACTGAGAGCTCACCAAATAGGCTGGTCATCAAATCTCTGGGAGCCACCTGTTGACCTCCTCATTGCTGAGATTACAAGCATGCCCCACTTATGCCTGGCTTTTTAAAATGGGTTCAAGGGCTGGAACTCAGCTCACAAGGAACAATGGAGAACAGAGGGCTAAGTGGAATAACATAAAGCAGAATGCAAGGGTACAGATCAAGGAGAGGTTGAGTCTTGCTGTGAGATTGATTTGAGGATAGCTTCTTGGGAAAGCTGGCGCCTGTGTAGATGAAGAGTGTTCTTTGTGTTTTCATACAGCCCCTTTCCTACTGTTAATCAGGTTCCTTCAGAAGTGGAGCCTGACAGCTGGTGGTGTGAGTGTGTGTTCATTCCTGTGCACTTGCTGTTGGTGAGCACATTGTAGAGGCCAGTCAGTGTCAGGTGTCTTCCTTTTTTGCTCTCTGCTTACTTATTTATTTACTTATTTATTGGTTTTCCCAGGCAGGGTTTCCTCTCTGCACCATGTTCATATCTGGTGCATGGATCTCCTAGAACTGGAGTTACAGGCAATTATGAGCAACACTTGGGTGCTGGGTATTGAACCTGAGTTCTCTGGAGGAACAGCCAGTGCTTTTAACCATTAAACCATTTCTCCAGTCCCCTATCTTTTTTTTTTTTTTGTCCCCTCAAAAATTTAGATTTATTCATTTATTATTTATGTGTATGTGTGTCTCCCGAGTGCTGGAAATAACGTGCACTGGCACACCTGGCCTTAGATTTTCTTTTAAAGGTGTTTGGAATGAGCAGGCACTACACAGTTTTCACATGCTTCCTTTGAGACTCATGGTACCCTACTGATAATCCATCCATTTGTTGTCACCAGTAAGCCACTATTGACATAGGTGTGTAGCACGAATTCTAATCGGTCTTAATAATAAAAACCCAGAGTCAGATATTAGGGGCCTAGAGCTGAAAGATCAGAGAAGCAGAGCAGCCAGCCCCTAGTTCTTACCTTTACAAAATCCTCAGACTGAATGGGGTATCCTGTCTGTACAAGTCCTCAGACTGAATGCTCAGACTAACTGCAGTGAGCTCCTGTCTCTTCCCACCTTATATTCCTCTCTCCGCCCAGCCATATCCCTTCCTCTCTCCACCTCCCAAGTACTGGGATTAAATGTATGAGCCAGCATTGCCTGGCTCTGTTTCTCTTTTAGACTAGATCAATCTTGCGTAGCCCAGTTAAGCCTTGAACTCACAAAGATCCATCTGCCTTTGCCTCCCGAGTGCTGGGATTAAAGGTGTGCACCACCACTGCCTTGCCTTTATCGCTAACTAGTGGCTGATTTCCAAGCAAGCCTTATTTGTTAGATCACAAATAAAATATGGCCACACATGTGAACTAATCCATAGTTCTATGTGTGTGTGTTTGGGGGTTGTATGAGTATGTTCCTATGTGTGCACACAGGTGTGCTCATCTGAGCCTGTGTCTTTAGGGGCTTGAGGTTATAATAATCAAGTGTGTCTTCCTCTATCTTTTTGTATATTTTTTGAGATAGCATCTCCCAGTAAACCCAGAACTCCTTGTTTGCATAAACAAGGCCAGTGAACTCCCAGGATCTTTCTGTCTCCATCTTCCCTAGTTTTGGGGTTACAGACATGCACTGTGTGCCAGGTTTCTATGGGTGTTGGGGATCTTTATTCAGGTCCTCATTCTTGCATAGCCAGGGTTGGCCCAACCGAGCTATCTCCTACTCTCCGTAGGCCTCTTTTTGTGTGGTGTGATTCTGGATTTTCATAAATGTATAATATCATGTTTTACTGTTATCACAGCAAGCAGAATAGTCACTGCCCCAGATATCCCCTCTGCTGCTCCTTTTATCTTGTATTCCTCCCCACCCTTCACTAACCATTGGACTTCTTACTGTCCCTGTAGTGTTAGCCTTTCAGAATGTTGTGTCATCAGTGTCGTATAGGTTGGAGCCTTTTCACACTGGCTTCTTTTACTTAGCAGCGGCCGTGAAGGTTCTTCCATGGCCTTTCTGTGTAGTGCATCCAATTTAGAGAGAGGGAAGGAGGGAGGGAAGAAGGTAGGTTGAGAGAGAGAGATACGTTGGGGATTAAATCTATGACCTCACTCATGCTAGGCTTAAGTGTTATACTTTTGAGTTTATACATGCAACCTTCTTTTTATTTTTTGAGACATGGCAGCCAAGTTGCCTATGCTGGCCTTGAATTCACTCTGTAACCCAGGCATGACTTGAGCCTCAGACTCCTGCATGTTGTGGTTATAAGTGTGTACAACCATGCCTGGCTTTGTCTGTTCATCTTGAAGGATATCTTGCTTGATTCCATTTGTTGGTGGTTACAAATAGAGAGCGTTATTAAATGTTCATGTGCAGATTCCTGTGTGGTGTGGGGTTTTCTCATTTGGGTGAGTAGCTAGGAGCATGGCGGCTGGATTATGTGGCAGGACTGCATTTACACTCGACCTTTGGAGTTCTTTGAGGAATCGAATAATGGAATTGTTTGTGGCTAGCATGTTCCATCTTTGTATCTTGGATTTGAGGCCGTTCTCCAAGATTGTAATCTGTGCCTGTTCTTTTCCAGGTGTGAGTGTAGCCACCTGCATGGCCATTCTTCATGTGGGTAGTGCCCAGCAAGTGCGGACAGGGTCCACAAGCTCCAAAGAAGACGACTATGAAAGTGATGCTGCCACTATTGTCCAGAAATGTGTAAGTCAAGTGTCTGGTGACATGGAAACCTTGACTGTTAACATGTGGGAGTGTGGCTTCTTTTCTTGATGGAGGAAAAGGCTTAGGGTCTCCACACTCCTTCCCTGGACAGTGTTTCTAAGATGGATTCAGCCAAGGTATTCTGCATATTTGCATCCATAAATGCTCCCCTTTCTGTGTTGTGTTGGTCTTGTTGTAAACACAGTAAGTTTGTGGCAGCCATAAGCCTTGGGAAGGATTGACATTTACTCAGTGAACTGTTTTGGGTTTATTGGGTGCTGATATATTTTCAGGTAGGACGTAGCAAACAAGGTTTTGCTGTAAGTACATAAAAGGAATTAGTTGGGATGGGAAGCTGGCTGATGCAGGGCTGGGCATATGGGAACACCTAAGAAGGTGTTGTGCACTGAGAGAGATACAGGTAGTTCCCCATGAGGTCAGAAACTGATGGTGGTAGGTCACCGAGTGACCTGATGACAGTTATACTTCTTCCAGTAAACTGGCTCAGGTTGTAAGGTTTAGATTTGTGATGATGACCTGAGCTGCTCAGATTGTATGTCTGTTTGTTCCTGGGCAGCTTGAGATCTACGACATGATCGGACAGGCAATCAGCAGCTCCCGCCGTGCTGGTGGTGAGGTAAGAAAGAGGCTTGTGTGCTGTGCTTACCTTCTGTCAGGTCTGATTTTCCCCTCTGATGTTTGGTTTTGTCCTTTCTCACCAGCATTTCCAGAACTTCCAGCTGTTGGGCGCCTGGTGTCTGCTGAATAGCCTCTTCCTCATACTGAATCTCAGCCCCACTGCCCTGGCTGACAAGGGGAAAGAGAAGGACCCATTGGCTGCTCTCCGAGTCAGAGACATCCTTTCTCGTACAAAAGAGGGAGTAGGCTCTCCCAAACTGGGGCCTGGCAAAGGGTATGTGTCTGCCTCTGGCTCCACTTCTGGATGCTGTGCTCTGTTCCTAGTTCACAGGGCTCATGAGCTGCTGACCCCACATCAGAGCTTGTGTGTTTGCTTTGGTGCTGTAGATTGTAGCCAGGGTCTGTGCGTGCTGTGCACACCTTGTCCCAAGGGTTCAAGTTAGCCTCTTGCTCTAGCATCTAGATAGGTTAGTTCGTTTTGATCCCATTGCCTCATTTTTGAGAGACAGAAAGATTATATGATGTGTGTATTTAGTTTCCAACAAGATCATATCAAAAGATGAGATATGTGGTGGTGGTGGCACATGCCTTTAATTTCAGAACTTGGGAAGTGGGGGACAGAAGCAGGCTGACCTCTGTGAGTTTGAAGCCGACCTGCTCTACAGTGTGAATTCCAGGACAGCAAGGTCTACATATGACCTTGTCTTGGGCAGGTGGGGGGTGGAGGGGAGGTGAGTGGCACTTTCTGGGAAGGAGATAAGGAGATAACAGTGAATGTTACCTGTTGCTCAGGTGGTTCCTTCAATTGAGACATTGCTGGATTTTATTTATTCTTTTAATTCCTTTTTTCTTTTTAATTTATTTTATGTGTATATTACTTTTAAGATTTATATATGTGAATGTTTTGCCTGCATACATATATAAATACTGTATGCATGTCTATTAACCACAGAAGTCAAAAGAAGGCATCAGATCTTGTGGAACTGGAGTTAGGGATGGTTGTGATTCACCGTGTGGGTGCTGGGAGATCTTCTGCAAAAGCAACAAGTGCTCTTAAGTGCTGAGCTATCTCTCTGTATTTGTATGGGTGTTTTGCCTATGTGTATGTGCCTGGAGCCCAGAAGAAGGCTTCATATCCCCTTGATCTGGAGCCACAGATGTTATATAAGTTAAAAGCCATAAGTTATAACATGTGGGTGCTGGGTATAACCTGGCTCCTCTGTAAGAGCAATCAGTGCTCTTATTTGCTGAGCTACCTATCCTGCTCTGCTCCTCTTTGTTCTTTTTTTTCCCTCTGAGACAGGGTCTCTGATAGCCCATCCAGCTTCACACTTGTGGTGTAACTGATGACCTCGAGCTCCTGGTTCTTCTGCTTACGCTCCCAAGTACTGGGCTTCATAGGAGTCTGTCATCACACCCATTTTGGATTTTATTCTCTAAGTGGAGAAATAACAGCGGTACTAGCAAGTCCATTTTAGATTGTCATAAGTCTTGTGAAAAAAAGAGGCCTGAGCAAGAGGTTAGCAGGAGTTGTGCTGTGTTTGGAAAGGAATTGTTTAGGTCGATGTGGAAGTAGGTTAAGCATTAGCTTCAGCAGACTCAGTGTGACATAAAAAGTGTTTGGCCTGGAGCTAAAGAGCTAGAGGCTTGTGCAGTCATGCGGACCTGCGTTCAGTTCCTAGAACTCGAGTACCTTATAACTGCAGCACAGGAGAGGTAGAGATGGGAAGATCACTCGGGCTTACTGGGTATTGCCCTGAGGAACAGCATCCAAGGTTGACCATTAAAGGTTTGGCCTTTATGCACATTGGTGTGTGCATGTACACACACACATTTTGCATGAGCATCTGGGTTGTATAGTGCATTGAAATAGGGACTATTGGGTTAGAAGCAGATTGGAGAAAGAGAGGAGTAAGATTTTTCTTTTGTTTGTGGTGAGTTTAGCTGGTGGCTAGGACTTTGTTAATGAGCTGCAGTGCTAGGGTGATTTTTATGTGTATAGTACTCAGTGGAAACGTTTGTAGATCCTTTAAAGGGGTCTGGGATGCCAGAATGGCAAGATAACAGCCATTTCTGAGGTTGTGCTTCATTGCTAAAGATCTTAAGGTCTGTGTTCTGTTTTCATTTGTGTAGGCATCAGGGATTTGGAGTGCTCTCAGTGATCCTGGCAAACCATGCCATCAAGCTGCTGACATCTCTGTTTCAGGACCTGCAGGTGGAGGCGCTCCACAAGGTGAGGTGGCTCTTCTTTGGAGTCTGCAGATTGGTTTGAGGTTTACTCGGCATGCTGGCTGGAGCCATCAGTGAGGGTTCTTTTTTAACAGTGTAATGCACCTCTGGTTTTGTTGTCTTCAGGGCTGGGAGACAGATGGTCCCCCCGCAGTCCTAAGCATTATGGCCCAAAGCACCTCCACACAAAGGATTCAACGGCTGATTGACTCTGTCCCGCTGACTAACCTGCTCTTGACTTTACTTTCAACTTCATACAGAAAGGTGGGTGAAAATCAAGCTACTCATAAGTTGGAGTGAGGTTGACAAGAGCGTGGTGTTTATCAATGCAGACTGTGGTGATAGTTCTGGAAAGGAACCGTCCCTAGAACTCCTCTCTCCTCCCTTCTTGCCTCCCTTTCTGGGCTTGCATTCCTGCACTCAAGTGATCCTCCTGCTTCAGGCTCCGTGGATTACAGGCACATGTCACTGTACCCAGCTTGACAAAGACAATAGTCCTTGTAGCTTTGGAAACAGTTATTGAATGCCAGTGTTAGATCTATGTTGACCCTTGGTGACTTGAGGTGACAGTTCTGGAGCAGAAGCGTGGTGGACACTCCAGGAATGCTCCTTTACATCCCTTGGCCATGTCTCTGGTTGAGTGCTTATGTAAGATAAAGCAGCTAGAGTCCTGCGTGGGGAGCATTTGGGGAAACCTGATTTGAAAAGCAACTGAGACATGGAGACGCTTGTAGGTCGTCAAGGAGATGAAATTGTTCAGCTCTTTTCTGGATTCATCTTTTCTGCAACCTTGTGGTTTCCCTAGGCATGTGTCCTGCAGCGGCAGAGGAAGGGCTCCATGAGCAGTGATGCCAGCGCCTCCACCGACTCCAACACATACTATGAGGATGACTTCAGTAGCACAGAGGAGGACAGCAGCCAAGGTAGTCAGAGATAGCCCTCTAGTTGCTGTGCTTCTCTGTCTCACCTTCCTGGTTGCCTTTGCATTTATGTGTTTTCAGAGATGACATGCTCGAGGGGCAGGGAGTGCTGGGAAAGTGCTTGCCTAGAACGTGTGATGGATTGGGTTAGCGTCCCAGCCTGGTAAACCAGGTGTGGTGCACTTACCTGTTATCCCAGCACTAGGAAGGCAGGAAGAGGGGTATATGTTCAAGGTCATTATGACTGCTTTAGTGAATTAGAGGCCTGCCTGGGCTACTTGAGACCTTTTTCAAAAATAATAAGTTGAGTGTATTATACTAAATGGTAAATCTTGCTTTCAGCTAAGCCCATGCAGCTTTTCATTTCTGTCAGAATGAAAATACATCTCAGTTGCTCATGTTTCCTCCTTTGTTGGCCCATGCTGGGATTTCTGCTCTCCCTGTGCAGGACAAAAGGCCATGTGGCAGGGATTTGGTTTTACCATGGGTTTGTAGCTTAGGGATGAATAGGTCAGAACTGAAGACTTAGTAGAGAAGATAATTCTCCACTTCCCTTCCATGGTCAAGTTTGTGGGACAGTATGGCACATCTTGGGCATGCAGCTGGTGAGACTTGGTTGCTCTTGTAAATGTTTGGCTTCTTTTCAGGCAGGTAGATAAGAGGAAATGGTTTCTCTTCTGTTGTTGGACTCCTTAAAAAAAAAATCAGTTTCACTACACCATAACTAATGTATAATAAGATGGAAACACTATCCACTTAGTCGTCTTGAAAGATTGACAGGAGCAGTCCCCATCCTTGGCATCAGCATGCTGTGGGGTCTTTTGGCTTGAGCACTTTTAAAAAACAGGTTCACACATACAGAGATGGTTATTTTTGTGACTTTTCTCTTTTCAGATGATGACAGCGAGCCTATTTTGGGGCAGTGGTTTGAGGAGACCATCTCTCCCAGTAAAGAGAAAACTGCACCTCCACCCCCTCCACCGCCCCCTCCCCTGGAAAGCTCTCCTCGGGTTAAAAGCCCCAGTAAACAGGCCTCTGGTGAGAAGGGCAACATCTTGGCCAGTCGCAAAGATCCTGAGTTGGTAAGAGTAGATTCTGAGGTTCGGACCGTGGGAGGAAGGGAGATTACTTGAGTGGTTGAGCTGAGAAGTGGACCATCTGAGCTAAAGCAGTTCTAAGTTGGATAGCTTTGGTACCTAGATCTTCCCCTGTGCAGGACTTTGAGGGAGTAATTATATATCACGGAAGAGCTTGCTTCCAGTACTGATGGTTATTAGTACAGTCTTCTTTTTTTGGCTTAGATAGAGGTTGATTTGAAGCTTATTTTTTCCTCTGAATGGTTCTGGGCCAGAATCTGAATGTGTTGGGGGGTGATTTGCATCCATCCCAAAGGGCGTTGTGAAGGTGGTTTCAAAGCCTGTAGCATAGGTTTGCTGCATCATAAATGCTTACTTATTGATCCAGCCAATATTGATTATCTTTTGTGTTTCAGCCTTTATCCTGATAATTTATCAGTAAATGGGTCATTTGCAATTCTTTCATGTAGCCTTAAGTACCTTCCTATTTCAAGGTTATGAGCATAAAACATTTATGTAATCATTTAATGATTAGTCTTTTTTAAAAATATTTATTTATTTATTATTTATACAATATTCTGTCTGTGTGTATGCCTGTAGGCCAGAAGAGGGCACCAGACCTCATTACAGATGGTTGTGAGCCACCATGTGGTTGCTGGGAATTGAACTCAGGACCTTTGGAAGAGCAGGGAATGCTCTCAACCTCTGAGCCATCTCTCCAGCCCATGATTAGTCTTTATAATAATGACAAATCAGTGTAATAATAGAGAAAGGGGAGTGTAATAATCATTGATGTATGTAGGGGTCAGTCTCCAGTATGTTATTGGTAATGTCTTGAGTTGGACAGGGGTGGGCTCTGGAGGACAAAGGGGAACTAGTGGGTTCGCTCAGAAAGCAGGTGTTTTCTGAGGTCTCCATCAAGTGGGTGACCATTCTGTGCAGCTGGTTTTCATTGTGGATATAGTTCTACTGTAAGAATTAAGTGATAGACTTCATTTTTGGCATGGAGGTTTCTGGGCTTGACTTTAAGGTTGATTGAAGTTTGTACCACATGACCCTGAACTGAATTGTTTTCTGTTCCTTTTAGTTCTTAGGTCTGGCTTCCAACATTCTGAACTTTATCACATCTTCCATGCTGAACTCTCGGAACAATTTCATCCGGAACTATCTGAGTGTGTCTCTTTCAGAGCACCATATGGCCACCCTGGCAAGCATCATTAAGGAGGTGGACAAAGATGGACTCAAGGGTCAGTGGAGAGGCTGGGTGTTGTTGTAGGGCACTTATGGCTCCAAGTTCCTGAGTAACTGTATCCCTTTGTCCTAAGGGTCATCAGATGAGGACTTCGCTGCTGCTCTCTATCACTTCAACCACTCCCTGGTAACTTCTGACCTACAGTCCCCGAACTTGCAGGTTGGTGTCTACTGTGGCTGCCTAGGCGGGAATGCCTCACACCTTCTCTGTGACATGGTGGCTCTCATCATTGAAGGGTTCTTTGTTCTTACTCTCTGCTGGGCAGGGTTTTGCTTGGGTGTTCTGTGTGCCCCTGTGCAGTGGTTAGGATCTCTGGAAGAAAAAGATATTCTTTTCCCCATGTCATGAAGTTTAAAGAAAGGAAGCAAACAACTAAACAAGCTCCCAGTACTTCTCATAGTAGACCAGTAGACAGAACTCACTAAAAATTGTTTACAAAGTAAGAGTGGCAGATGCTCACCGGTCTGATGGGGAATATAAAGTCCAAGGCACTTTAAAGCGGCCATCAGGTCACAGGAAACATGTTTGCTCTCCCTTACAAACCTTTCACCCAAACTGAGTTCAAGACCTTCACGAACATGTAACTGCATGAGTCCCTCCCTACTGAAATGGATGGTGGTTTGAACCCTAAGTCTCAAGGTCCTCATTTCTTTAGTTTCACATTACAGTGAGGATTGCTGTAGCCCTTATTTACATGCTGTGTGCTACCTATCAGGTTTACGCTGTACCGCTTGACGCATCTGTTTCCACTGAAGTCCATTTGATTTGTGTCCAGGCTTATTGCATTCCAAGTGTTGCTGTGATCTTTCTTATCATGTTCCCTGTTGTGGGTGGAGGAGTGTCGGTCTCTTGGGGCTGTCACTATGAGAGTCAGCACATCAGGCCACACTGCACGGGACCTACAGTTCTCACTCCCACACAAGGAGTCAGATCGTGTGGATGCACATCCTTCTCTCACATTTGGCAATATCATGTTTTAATAATAACTTAGTTGTCTTTTTTATTTTATTTTTTAAAAGAAAAGCTGGCTCTTTGGACTGGAGGGGGAGTGGGAGTGGGGAGAGGGGGAGGGAAATGGGAGGAGGGGAGGAGGTGGAAATTTTTTATTTTATTATTTATTATGTATACAATATTCTGTCTGTGTGTATGCCTGAAGGCCAGAAGAGGGCACCAGACCTCATTACAGATGGTTGTGAGCCATCATGTGGTTGCTGGGAATTGAACTCAGGACCTTTGGATCAGAGCAGGCAATACTCTTAACCGCTGAGCCATCTCTCCAGCCCCGGAAATTTTTAATTAAAAAAAAAAAAAAAAAAGCTGGGCAGTGGTGGCACATCCCTTTAAATTTTACATACCAATCCCACTCCCTCCCTTCCTCCCATTTCCTCCATCTTCCCTCCCCCTCCACACCCTCCCCCCCCCATGTAATCCTCAGAGAGGGTAAGGCACATTGCTTTGAGGAAGGATCAAGGCCCTCCTACTATATCTAGACTGAACAAGGTATCCGTCCAAAGAGAAGGGGTTCCAAAAAAAAAAAAAACTAGTACAAGCAGTAGGGATAAATCTTGGTGCCACTGCCGGTGGCCCCCGCAGTCTGCCCCAGCCATTCAACTGTCACCTATGTTCAGAAGGTCTAGTTTGGTCCTATACTGGTTTCTTCCCTGTCCAGCCAGAGTTGGTAAGCTCCCATTAGTTCAGGTAAGCTGTTTCAGTGGGTGTCCCCATCATGGTCTTGACCTCTTTGCTCATATTCTCACTCCTCCCACTCTTTGACTGAACTTTGGGAGCTCAGCCTGGTGCTCCGCTGTGGGTCTTTGCCCCTGTTTCCATCAGTTGCTGGATGAAGGTTCTATGGTGATGTTTAACATAGTCATCAGTCTGACTACAGGGCAAAGCCAGGTCGGACACCTTCTCTACTATTGTTTAGGGTCTTAGCTGGGGTCATCCTGTGGATTCCTGGGAATTATTTTTCTCTAGCTATGACTGACTTGGGACTGTAGCCTAACCTGGCCTTAAACTCTTGGCGGTCCTCCTGTATCAGCCTAGGATTGCAGGTGTGTATCTTTCCTAATGTTTAATGTCCACAGGAATTCCCGAGGAGATAGTTTAAAGTGTGCATCCTGGGTCAGCGGTACAGCTCAGCGGTGCAGCTCAGTGGTACAGCATGTGCCTGGTCATGCAGGCCCTGACTTTGATTCTAGCACCACAGACAAAAGGATCATTTCTTTTGGATACCCTTCCCAGTGCCTTTATTCAGTGATCTCCACATTTGACCGGAAACTATTCTGAAAGTTTTTCTTTTACTGTTAATTATTTCAGTGCCTATTGCTCAGAAGGCTGAGGCAAGAGGATTGCAAATCCAAGGCTACCCCTGGCAACATAATGAAACTTTAATCTCAAAAAATCCAAACAAAAGTGATTTCAGCAGATGTATTTTAGGGGCTTGTCAATTTTTCCCAAAGGGATAAATCTTGCAAGCCATTGGAAAAAAGTTAAATTCTCAGAATCCCAAACTGTTGGCAGAATCTCCAAAGTTTTCTTCTGTAGTTTGAGAAGATGGTTATGAAATGTGTTAATACCTGCCTATTGTTAAGGGAAATATTTTATTTTGGCAGGAAGGAAATGAGAGTTGAGTGAATTGTTAAGAGAGTGGCCTCTGTAGCAACTTCCTATACTGTCTGAAGCTGGTCCTGCACAGTGCTCAGCTCTTTTTCCCAGTTGGAGTTTGTTTAGGGAAGCTTCAGTGTTCATAACCTTGTTTTACCTAACTTGTCTAGAGAACAGAGACAAAATACTTTTCTCTGGACTAGAGTCCCTAGGCCTCTTGTAGTGATGTTGCCCTCTGCATTTGAGAGGGAACTGCTAATGTGTGTGTGCAGACTTGTAACATCATGACACAGGGAATTCCCAACCTCTTTTCATCCCTGTCTGTTTGGGGGCTGTCAGTTCACTAGGAAGTGTTTGCATTGCTGTTAGTGCAGTGCTTGGCCTGGAGTAACTGCCTGGTACTTGGAACAGCCCTTGAGATCCATGGTGTTGGACTGATGCTGAATTCCAAGGAGTTGTGTTATTAGGGATCTTGAAAGATAGAATTTAGTTTGTCAGAAATTTCTTCTAGTTGTCAGATGGTAGTGGTTCATACATTTTAATCCCAGTACTCAGGAGGCAGAGGCAGGTGGATCTCTGAGTTCAAGCCTAACCTGGTTTACAGAGTAATTTCCAGGATAGCCAGGGCTACACAGTGAAACTGTGTCTCGAAAAACCAGAAAAAAAGGGGGAAAAAAAGAAAAAAAGAAAAAGTAATTTCTTCTATCATGATTTGTGCCTTTCACAGCCGTATGGCAAATGAGCCATCTGGGTTGTGTTCCGATGGCACCTGCTCACTGTGTTCGCGCTTAGTTCCTTGGGAACAGTACTCAGCTGGAAGCAAGGACAGCTGTAATTCTTCTTTCTCAGGGATCATGGGCTTCTGGTCCACCAAAGGGAAGGAAGTAGAAGGAGTGAGCAGGGCTGGATGGCTTGTGAGTCCACTGAGATAACTCTTTGGGGAGACAGTGTTCCAGCTCCATTCTGTTCCAGAATGAGAGCAGGATATAAAGGCAGGGGACAATGGTGGGCATCACCTAATTTGCATTAAACAGCATGCTTCTATCATAAAGTCCTTAGTGCAAGTCCTAGTTACTTATGGAAGGGGAAGTTGGGGTGCTCTATCAGGGAACTTTGCCAAGGGTTATACTAGGGATAAGTCAGGCCAGGCTTAGGGACAGCTTTCAGATAAGGTCAGGCCTCCAGGCCTAGAGACCTTCTCCAAATAAGGGCAGGTAGAAAGCAAGAAGTCTTGCTGGGGATGGGTCCTCCATGTTGCAAATTCTGGGAGAGCCTCCAGGCCATGGCAGACTGTAACTGATGACCAGCAGGGCCTCCCAACAGATGGCCCTATTGAGTAACACACACTGGCTTCTCACAGGCAGCATTTTTTCTACTTAACACAAGTTGTCAACCCCAGTGGATGTTACTTGTCTGAGGTAACTAGCTTAAATGAAGTCCACTTAGCCAGGTGTGCTGGCACATACCTTTAATTCCAGCACTTAGGAGGTGGGTTTCTGTGAGTTCAGGGCCAGCCAGGGCTACCCAGAGAGATGCTGTTTAAAAACAAACAAAAGAAAACAAACAAACCCAGTCCACCCCGCTCTGACGTGTTGAGTTTCTTCTAAAGGCACCAACTCTCCCTTTCCAGCCATTTTGAAAACTGCTTTGATTCCACTGTCTCCAAGCACTTCTTCTTTCCAAAGCCTGCGTAGACACTAATTAAACTGCAGGTGTGATTGGGGTTTGTCCTGTTTTTCTCATTTGGTAGACAACATGATTTTTCTCCAGATTTCTTTTTTTATAATATTTATTTATATGTATACAATATTCTGTCTGTGTGTTACGTCTGCAGGCCAGAAGAGGTCACCAGACCTCATTACAGATGGTTGTGAGCCACCATGTGGTTGCTGGGAATCGAACTCAGGACCTTTGGAAGAGCAAGCAATGCTCTTAACTGCTGAACCATCTCTCCAACCTCCTCTCCAGATTTCTTTTAGCCGTATACTGACAAGTCCTTTTGTTATTCATTATTCATAAAAGGAGCTTTGGTGATTGAACAACCTTTTGACTTGTTCTGTGTCTCTCTCTCTTTTTTCCAGAATACACTACTACAGCAGCTAGGAGTTGCTCCTTTCTCCGAGGGCCCTTGGCCCCTGTACATTCACCCCCAAGGCCTCTCTGTGCTCTCTCGTCTCCTGCTTATCTGGCAACATAAAGCTGGAGCACAAGGTGACCCTGATGTCCCAGAATGCCTGAAAGTGTGGGACAGGTAAGACCGTAACAGAAGGTCTGTGGGTGATTGAGTGCTGTGTGCAGGGGTTTCACTGGTTGGTTGGCATTCTGACTGGGAGAAGCTGCTCTCTGTCTGTATAGGAGGGTGGAGAAGTGATGGGGAGTGTGGAGGATGTTCTGTTAAACAGTGTGGTCTGAGAAAAGACACTTCCAATAGCCATGGGAGATTTGGTTACAATTGCCATTCAGAGCCTGGATTCCAAAGATGACCAGTGTCCTGAAGGAGAAAGGCCTCAGGTGCTTCCCACACAAGCGCATTTAGAGTGGCTGCTGCAGTTTTGGATACATTTTAAAGAACTTGTTTCCTTGGGGGAAGCTCAGCTTAATCACCCAAATCCTCCTCAGATAGACCTGTTTTTTTGCCATTTTTTTTGTTTGTTTGTTTGTTTTCATGGTTAGGCTTCAAAGCTGTTGGTTTCCTAAAAGGCTTTGCTCTTCTATCCCCTAGCCCAGGATCAAATAGCTGTAATGTTGGATTTGCAAGATCATAGCCCTCTTTGAATGCCAGAGGCTCACTGTGTTCTTTATGGCATTCTGGGAGCTGGGATGAAGGAAGGGCACCCATATTAAAGTACAGATCTCTTTCCTAAAAGCCAAAGAACATGCAGACAATGGACTGTGCTCATTCCTTTTTTTTTTTTTAAATTATTAAAGGCTCTTCTGACAAGTTCCCAAATATTATAATATTCTCTTCCCCACTCCCCTTCTGCCACCCCTCCTCCTGCCTGGCTTAGAACTCTGTAGGTGTGCGCTTGTGCATACATGGCAGTCAGTCCCATGTGCCACATCATTCTTGGAGAGGTCAGAGGTCAACTTGTGGAGTTGATTCTCTCTTACCATGTGAGACCTGGGGTGGGAACAAGGGGTGGCAGGCGTGGTGGTGAGCATCTTAACCCCACTGAGCCACCTTGTTGGTCCCACATCTGACTGTTTGGCTTCTCTGCACCAGCTTTTCTCTTCTTTAATTTGTTCTCCTTCCAGCACTGGGTGCTGTGATCTTGGGGCTTTTCTGTGTTTTCTCCACCAGACATGCTCCCCCTTTTTTTGTGCCAGGTTTTTGTCTACAATGAAGCAGAGTGCACTGCAGGGGGTGATGCCCAGTGAGACAGAGGACCTGAATGTTGAGCACCTGCAGCTGCTGCTCCTCATCTTCCACAGCTTCTCTGAGAAGGGCCGCAGGACCATCTTCACCATGTTGGTGCAGAGCATCCAGGAGCTGAGTGTGAACATGGAGGTTCAGATGCGCTCCGTGCCTTTAACCCTGGCGCGCCTCCTTTTGATCTTCGACTACCTGCTTCATCAGTACTCCAAAGCCCCTGTGTATCTGTTTGAGCAGGTGAAGACCTGTACCATCTCCTCTCTCTCCTTCTGAGAGCTCTATTATTTTTTTTTTTACGATTTATTTATTTATTATGTATACAGTGTTCTGTCTGTGTGTATGCTTGCTGGCCAGAAGAGGGTACCAGATCTCATTACAGATGGCTGTGAGCCACCATGAGGTTGCTGGGAATTGAACTCAGGATCTCTGGAATAGCAGTCAGTGCTCTTAACCTCTGAGCCATCTCTTCAGCCCAGAGCTCCATTCTTTGTAGGCAGTAAGGTTTTATTTGTGGCTCTGAAGGCTTTATGGGGTAGGGCTAGCTACGTCTTTAGGTTTAGACTTGCTGTTTAGCCTGACATGATAACTGGCGGCTACTTGATGGGTTTGTTGACTAGTGGGTGTCCTTGTTCACTCAGGATTCTTCTTTCTCAACCAACCTACTTGCTTGTGTAGCTACAATGCCCTCAACTTTGGCTCCACATGTGCGTTAGTGTCTGGGGAAGGGTCTCACAGTAAATGCTGTAGTTGTAGCCTTTTTTAACAACACCAAAGAGGATGAGACGGGGGGTCAGAGATTCTGTGCTTGGCAGTTTTCAAATTAATTCCTGGAGCAGTCTTCCCCACGATGCATTATCAGAAATTACTTTCCAAAAGAAATCATAGAAAAATCTTCCAATTTTCATTTTCATTTGATGCTAACAAGTTTTGGTATAACTAGATCTGTTTTTTGTCCTTGGTGTGAAAAGCAGGTAGTGACTGTATATCCTTTACTCGAATGTCTGTATTTCAAAGGTGCAGCACAACCTGCTGAGTCCCCCTTTTGGGTGGGCAAGTGGATCCCAAGACAGCAGCAGCCGCCGGGCCAACACTCCTCTGTATCATGGGTTCAAGGAAGTAGAAGAAAACTGGTCCAAACATTTTTCATCAGGTCAGAAATAAGATTGTCAGCAAGAGGGTGATGACTTCTGGTCCTTGTTGGTGGCACTGAATCTGTAGCTCAGTGACTCCTGGAGGAGCTGTGGCCCTGGGTCTCAGTCTCCCCCTTGAGGGTTGGTCCATCACCTGCCAGTTCAGGAAAATTGTAGAAATTGACTTTCATATGCTTCACACTTGATTAACAAGTTCATCATTTTCCAGATGCAGCCCCACAACCCAGGTTCTACTGCGTCCTGTCCCCAGAGGCTTCTGAGGAGGATTTGCACCGACTTGATTCTATGGTACTGGGAATTTTCTTTTATTCTTTTCTTTCTTTCTTATTCCTTCTTCTGGATTTTTCTTTTTTCTTTTCTTTATTTCTTCTTATTCTCTGGAATTTTTTTCTTTTCCTTTTTTTGCCTTTTTTCTTCTCTTCCTCATCCTCTTTTTAAAGAGTTAGGGTCTTTTCTTATGCTCTTAAACTAACTTTGAAAGCCTGAGGGAGGTCAAGCAATCATCCTGACTCAACTTCCAAAGTAGCTGGGGTTATAAGGTCTGGCCTGCCCCTCCCCGCCCTGACCCGCCCCGCCCCACCCGCCCCGCCCCGCCCCGCCCTGCCCTGCCCTGCTCAAGAATTTTTTTTTTTTTAAATATTTATTTATTTATTTGTTATGTATACAATAGTCTCTCTGTGTATATGCCTGCAGGCCAGAAGAGGGCACCAGACCTTATTACAGATGGTTGTTAGCCACCATGTGGTTGCTGGGAATTGAACTCAGAACCTTTGGAAGAGCAGGCAATGCTCTTAACCACTGAGCCACCTCTCCAGCCCAAGAATTTTTTTTTTTTAAAGATTTTATTACATATACAATACAGTGTTCTGCCGCCATGTATGCCTGCATGCCAGAAGAGGGCACCAGACCTCATTACAGATGTGGTTGCTGGGCATTGAACTCAGAACCCCTGGAAGAACAGTCAGTGTCCTTAACCTCTGAGCCATCTTTCCAGCCCCCCTGCTCAAGAATTTTAAAGCCATTTTTACCTGTGGGTCAGATGCTTTCCACTCTCCCACACTGAGTGCTCTTTACTACACACACACACACACACACACACACACACACACACACACACACACGTCAGCATTTGACTGTCTTAAAGGAAAACTTCAGAAATTTAACAAATCATTCAACAAAATGGTTACCTTGCTCTCTCATTCTAAAGCCTGCAGCTGTGTGCTTGTATCAATATACAAACTTAAGTGTGAGGCCCAGAACTGGTAGTCTGCTGCAAGGAGAAACCAATTAAGATTAAGTTGATTGGATGTTTTTACAGCCAGGAGACTAAGTGATCATGTGAGGCCAGGAGGAGAAAATGTTTCAATTTGAAGAAAAAAGTGTTGGGGGGGGGGGCCCCCCCCCTCTCCCTCTTCATCCCACTGGCTTGGAACTCAGAGATCCCCCTACCTCATCTCCCTGAGTGCTGGAATCAAAGGTGTGCAACAACACCTAGACCTAAATTGTTTTTGGTCTTTCTTGGTCTCTTTCTTGGTCTTAGGCATGTGAAGTTCTTTTCTCCAAGCTTGTCAAGTACGATGAACTTTACACCTCACTGACAGCCCTGCTTGCAGCTGGCTCTCAGTTTGATACAGTCAGGAGAAAGGAGAATAAGAATGTGACTGCCCTGGTAAGACTGTGGACCCTGGGAGGGGCTGGGTCTGCGTGTGATGATGGATCATTTTGGCCTGAAGCTCCTTTCTGGGCCTAAGCTATTATTCGTCATTTGTTTGCAAAACCGACTGTTTCTGTAGCATTTTTACGAAGTTTGCATGTTTTTGTCAGCTGTAATTTTATGTTTTGGCTAATGTTGAGTGGAATGTAACTGAGGCTTGGTGACTGCCTACATGTCAATGGCTGGGTGTTGTGTCATGTTAGAAGGCTAACACATGAGCTTTTTTGCCTGTTAGTGCATGTTTCTAGACGCCTTAAAACAGGTCTGCACAGTTCCACGCTGTTTATTAAAGGGCTGTCTGATTGCAGCCCTGCCCAGCCCCTGTCCTCTCCCTTGGTTAGATGATAAAGTAGGGGGTGCCAGGGCTGTTGGAGAGTATCCTTGTAGCTTCTCAGTGTAGAGAACAGAGCAGACTGTCATAGTGTATCTGCCTGTTTGGTGTAATGCTCTGAGGCCTCTCAGTTCACACTGGGCACCCAGTTCTGTGTGCTGAGATGCTCTGAGGGCCCAGTTCACACTAAGCAGTTCTGTGTGCTGAGATGCTCAGGGCCCTCTCAGTTCACAATGGCACACAGTTCTGATTGAAAGACTATCTTTTCTAACAGTTGTTCTGTTAGGGAGATCTTGAGCATGTCACAATGCTTCCACTGCTTTGTTCACCTCCTCAGGAGGCCTGCGCCCTGCAGTATTACTTCTTGATACTCTGGAGGATCTTGGGAATTTTGCCACCTTCAAAGATTTACATGAACCAGTTGGCCACTAACTTACCTGAGATGAGTGAATGTGACATCTTACACACTCTGCGATGGTCATCTCGCCTCCGGATCAGCTCCTATGTCAGCTGGATAAAGGTACCACAGGGGAGCTCAGGGCTGTGAGGGAGTTCCACAGGCTACTTGCTTCACACTGTGGGGACTTGTGAAGTTAATGAAAGCTTTTGGATTTCCAGGTTATTTTCCTAAACATTCTTTCTTGTTGTCCAAATAGGATCACCTTATCAAACAGGGCATGAAGCCCGAGCAGGCTGGCTCTGTCATAGAGCTGACCTCCACCAAGTGTAGCTCAGTGAAGTACGACGTTGAGATTGTGGAAGAGTACTTCGCCCGACAGGTGTGCTATTATTCTAACCCTAACGACAGAACTAGGCTCTGCTATAGTCTTTCGTTTTGCTATAGCTAATTAATATCCTGGGTCTTTTTAAAGATCTCATCATTCTGCTCCATTGACTGCACCACCGTCCTGCAGTTGCATGAGATCCCTAGTCTGCAGTCCATCTACACCCTGGATGCGGCTATCTCAAAGGTCCAGGTCTCTCTGGATGAGCACTTTTCTAAGATGGCTGCAGAGACTGACCCTCATAAGTCATCTGAGATCACCAAGAACCTTCTTCCAGCTACGCTGCAACTCATTGACACCTATGCCTCGTTCACTAGGTATGGAGACTCACACTCACTCTGAGAGATCCCTGGGGTCTCGGCTTGTACCCCTCCTTGTGTGCCAGCTTTGTGTTTTCCCTGTAGTACAGAGTGTAAAGGGGTGACCAAGAGGCAAAGTCCCAGGATATTGAATTTTTATAATTCCATGAAGGACTTCTAAGCTGCAGAGAATAGGAGTTTTTCTGAGTGCCACCATTCCAGTTCTCAGTGAGAATGAAGCACTCCCAGGGCTTCCAATTTACTGTACCAGATGTAGGAGCAATTACTAACTCTGTTTTGAAATTATCTCACTGTGTTGTTTATTCCCGACCTTGTGGCAGTCTTCCTGTCTTAGCCTCCTGTTGCTGGACTTAGAGGCCTGAGAGGCTGAGAGGCTGAGAGACAAATATTACTAAATGGGTTGGAGGGTATTTCAAAACCTTTCTCTTTCTTCAGCAAACCTTGCAAACTACATGTCCTATAGAATTTGCTCAGCAAATGATGTTTAAAAGGTTTAAAATTCTTTTTCAAAGTCCTCCCCCCTCCATCCTGGTCTAGGAAGGTGAACATCCAAACTGGCTAGGCTCCCACAAAGCCTTTTAGAAAATGAAGTAGGCAGGGAACCCTGACTGCTCTTCAGACTGGAGAGGGAGGGGGAGAGGAGTGGGGGGAGGGGGAGAAGAGTGGGAGGAGGGGGAGGGAAAAGGGAGACGGGAAGGGAAATGGGAGGCAGGGAGGAGGCGGAAATTTTTTTTTTTCAATTAAAAAAAAATTCTTTTTTAATATATACAAAGTGGAGATCGCTCACAAATTGAGACTTCTAGTTTTTCTTAAATTAGAACTGGGAGATTCTGTCCTCAGTACTGGGAGTGAAAAGAGGGAACAGTCAGGCATGGTAGCCCATGCCTGCAGTCCTAGCATTTAGGAGGCAGATACACAAATAATTGACTCAGCTACATGAGACACTGCAAAGCGTGGATGGCCCTGCTCTTTGGGAACCTAGGCTTTGCTCCGCCTCCTGGGCCAGTGTTTCCAAAACTGAGCTGCTGGTGGATTTTCCCTGGCAAATAAGCTGGGAAATGTTAGGTAAATTAAAGCTGAACAGGGTTTTGTTTTTTGTTGCTGTTTTTGTTACTTTTATTGATTTGGTTTTTCAAGACAAGGTTTCTTTGTGTAGTCCTGGTTGTCCTAGAGCTCACTTGTAGATTAAGCTGGCCTTGAACTCCAAGAGATCCACCTGTCTCTGCCTCCTGAGTGCTAGGCTTAAAAGGTGTGAACCACCACCACTTGACTTATTTTTTAAAATATATCCTCAGAGTATGTATATGTGTGTGTGTGTTCGCGTGTGCACATATATGTATGTATAGGTTGCTGGTCTTCCAAGATGGGGGATGGAGGATAGGAGTGAGTGTTCAGTGCCCTTCAGATTTGCTTGTCATAGGAACTTTTCTGAGGGTGGACTGTTCTTTGGGAAGCACTTGCCCTTGGCCCATGGAGGGGCCGGCACTGTCACCTGTCTTTGAATAGACTGGGAACAGAGATGCTGGTTCCTGAGCTTTAAGGTTAGTTTCTTCTGAGCATGGCAGGACTCAGCTCCCCCACCCTCTTCTTCCTCTTTTCCCTTCAGAGCCTATTTGCTCCAGAACCTTAACGAAGAGGGATCCACTGAGAAGCCCTCCCAGGAGAAGCTGCACGGCTTTGCAGCTGTTTTGGCTATTGGCTCTAGCAGGTGCAAGGCAAACACACTGGGTAAGTGAGCACGTGTTTTGCTGGCCTTTACCACTTAACTGGAGCCACCTTGAGTGTCAGCCATTTCCCTAGGTGTATCTGATTGCACCTTCCCAATAACTCTGTGAAGTTAAGTTTCTCCAGTTTACTTACAGGGAAACTGAGGTTTAGGAGAGCTTCATTTGTCATGACTCTTATGCAAAGAGTGAAGCCAAAATCTTAAACCAGGCTGCTTGCTTTTACTGTGCTCCTCCGTGGCGTTCTTTTACTTGCAGAGTTTAGTAACAGGAACTGACGACTGCATCAGGCCTACAGTCTCTCACTGCCCTAGGAATGATCTGGCAAAAAATAGGGCAGAAAATCTGAGTTCTTGAGCAGAATTGGAGTTCAGCTCAGACATTCCCCTTTACAGTTTACAACTGTCTGTGTGTCCTCAGTGTCACATTTAAATACTCTTAATTTTTTGGAGTCTTACTTAGTTCTGCTTCAATAAATGTTGTTCATGTGGCTTCAAGATCCCTGCCCTCAGGATTTGGGGGGGGGGCTTCAAAGCAATACTTACTCTGAGACTGGGGATGCAGGTGGGCAGATTTGATGGTGATTGGAGCCTGACTTGCTGAAATGCATCCCCTCCTTTGTTTTCAGTTGTCATCTTTACCCTTGAGATTAGAAAGTGGCTGATGGGAAATGAAAGCCTTACCATTGCAATTGTTAGCTTCAGAGTAATTAACTGGTTCTTGGGCGTAGTACAGAATGGTTCTGACAGTGGGGACTGCTTTAAATGCTCCATCATTCCTTCTTTCTTGTGATGATTGCTCAGATTGCTCATCTGTACTGTCACCTCCAGGTCCAACGTTGGTGCAGAATTTACCGTCATCAGTGCAGACTGTCTGTGAGTCCTGGAATAATATCAACACTAATGAGTTTCCCAACATTGGATCCTGGGTGAGTCCCTCTGGGTTCCAGGGCTTAATCAAAGCACTAAGCCACTCTGTGTGTCCTTATTCTTTAGTTGACTACTGGGAAATGATCTCATGGTAATACACTTTCCTATAGTAAATCCGTAGTGTGATTTCCCAGATGTTCTCATGTGACCCCTTTGCCTAGCAATCCATGTTACCACAACACAGACCACTGTGTTTCTCTGAGCCATGGCTGCACCACCTGTTAATCCTGCTTAAGTGTGATGTGTTGTCACATGTTGTGTTGCACGAGTTCTCAGTGGTGACTGTTTTCTTGCCCGTGTCAGGTGCTGATCTCTGCAGTGAGTTGATGAAGGCCGAGTTGTCTCAGTGGCTGCTCCCAAATAACCATTCAGAGACTTATTATTGTAAAAGCTTGTCCCATAGCTCAGGCTTGTTACTAGCTATCGCTTAAATTTTAAATTTCTTACCTATTCTCTGCCATGTGGCAATACCTTCTTTCAACACTGTGTGTTCATCTTGCTTCCCTCTGCTTCTGCTCGTGACTCCCAAGACTCTTCCCTTCTTCCCATCATTCTCTGTGCCCTGAAAATCCTGCTTAGCTATCGGCCACTCAGCTTTTATTAACAATGAGAGCAACACATATTTACAGTGTACAAAGAGTGGTCCACAGCAAGTTGATGCCGCAGATCTTAGGCTTTCTGGGCTGTTGAGTGCTGTTGGCGTTCTCATTGTGTCTGTGCCACTCAGACTACCTCTGTGGACAGTTATTCTTTTCTTTAACGGCTGTGGAGGAACAAGGGATGACTCATCTTCCTCTTTTGGTTTTGAAACTGTGGACTTAGGGCAGTTACTGTCCTTGTAATGGAGATGAGATGCCTTGCAACCTTGCAAAGTCCAGATCCTCCCTAGTTGTTCCAGACAAGCAGGAGTTTTACTGTTCCATGCTCAGATCAGTTGGAGGGAGTACTGGGTGTTTGCTCTGTTTAACTATTGACCTTGTTCTAAATAAAATTTAACTGCCTCCTCCCCTCTGCCCAGCATCCTCAGGAAGAGCACTGTTTACAAACCTAGTGAGGCCTTAGCTTATGGTAGATTTTGTTTTGTTTTGCTTTGGCTTTTTGTAAATCTGCCAGTGAATTTTGTTCAGGGTAGACAATCCATTTATTACTCCTAATTCTCTTCTTTCAGCGCAATGCATTTGCCAATGACACCATCCCATCTGAGAGTTACATCAGTGCTGTGCAGGCTGCTCATCTGGGGACTCTTTGTGGCCAGAGTCTACCCCTGGCAGCTTCCCTGAAGCATACCCTCCTCTCCCTGGTCAGGTTGACTGGGGATCTGATAGTGTGAGTACTAGAGCCTGGAGCCCAGCCCGCCTTCCCCCAAACATGTTCATGATGTGGGTGCTGTTTGTGGCTGAAAGAGTACAGTACAGTTGAGGCAGTAGTGATATTCCTACATCATGTTTGCTAGAATCAAAGAGTAGGGCAGGCTACCAGAAGGACAGTTTGTCTTCCTATACTTTGGTCAAAGGAGAATACATTGCATTGCCTTCACAATGGTCACCTGACAGCTCTTCTAGAGTATTCAAGGATGGATTGCTATCTCTGGTTTTAGTTTTTTTTATGCCTAATACACAAATGTATCTTATTAATTTGCTGTTTTAATAAATGAATTTTGCTTTGTTTTGATTTTTGAGACAGTGTTTCTCAGTGTAGCTCTGGCTGTCCTGGAACTCATTTTGTTGACTAGGCTGGTCTTGAACTCAGAGATCTGCCTGCCTCTGCCTCCTGAGTGCTGGCATTAAAGGCATGTGCTGTTACACAGAAAAACCCTGTCTCGGAACACACCCTGCCTCCCAAAACAATAGAAAAAGAAAAATGTAAAGAAACAGCTATCAAGGAGGGACAAGACTAAACTAAGGCTTGCCCCAACCTTGCAGCATTTTAGGACATGTTTCTTAACTTGCTTCCGCCTCCCTGACTCTAGCTGGTCGGATGAGATGAACCCAGCACAGGTCATCCGGACCCTACTACCCCTTCTCTTGGAGTCGAGCACAGAGAGTGTGGCTGAGATCAGCAGTAACTCCTTGGAGCGCATCTTGGGACCTGCGGAGTCTGATGAGTTCCTGGCTCGTGTGTATGAGAAGCTGATCACCGGGTGTTACAGCATTCTGGCCAACCATTCAGATCCCAGCAGGTAAGCAGTTGAAAGAGCGCTGCTGCAGCTGGTGGTGAGATGTGCCACTTCTGCCCCGTGCCATGCTGGTGACAGGTACCTCCGTGGTCCTGTGCTTCTGGGCGTTTGTGAAGAGGTGCTGGAATCCTCTATAAATTAGGAACAGTTGAGAGAATGGAATGTCAGATGTTCATATTGGAAGTATTGAAGAAGTGAGAGTAGGTGTGGTGTGATACAGAGGTACCAGAGTCATGTTTTGTGACTGTCTGTCTGAAATGGATGGTCTGGAGAAAGTAGGTCTGACCTGCCTCTCTAGTCTGTGCTGTGGGGATGTGCTGTACCCGCACCAGGAGCTGTGGTTTTTTGTCAAGTCGTTTCCTTTCTTTTCCTTCCCAGATTCTCATTCACCCCCCTCCTGTTGTGCAGCCAGGTTGCTTTGAACTTGGGTTCCTCTTGCCTCAGCCTTCAAAGTGCTGGCATTACTAGTGTGTATTTTTTGCATATGTATATGCATCTCCACACTTACGTGGATATGGGCGGGGCCCAAGGCTGACCCTGGGAATCTTACTTGGTCATTCTTAGGGTTTCAGTTTTGGCTAGTCAGCTAGGTCACTCCTGGGAATCCTGTCTTTGCCTCCAGTGTATGGGTCCACAACACCTGCCTGGCATCTGTGTGGGTGCTGGGGATCTGAATTCTGGCCTTCATTCTTGTGTGACAAATAGCTCACATACAGAGTCTCTCCCTAGTCTCTTTTTGTTTTTTTTAAAACATGAGGAACTTAAGGTGATTTAGCCCTGCAGAAGTGACTCATGCAGACTGTCTCCCTCCTCTGGGAACAGTCATGGACTGACTGTGGCTCACTCCTAACTTTAGTTGCCTTTCCTCTTTGGATTTTTGTTTGCACTTTTCATGTTATGAGAGTAGATCGTCACTGGAATTCAGACTGGCCTGGAAATTGATACTCTTGCCTTCTGAGTGCTGGGATTGCACACATGTGAACCCACATCTGGCTTATCTCTCATTTTTATTTTCCCAGGAAAGAAGGTAGTAAAATAAAATTGAGGTCTTGCTGTTCTTGGATTAAACATTTATTGAATACCTACTATGTGCCAGTGTTGATGCTAGGCTTCCACAAGTCTAGTCATTCATTATGTTCTTCAGAGTCAGCTGGGAGGGTTCTGAATAGTGTTCTTGCTCCTCAGTGGGCTGGATGAGTCCATCCTGGAGGAATGTTTGCAGTATCTGGAAAAGCAGCTGGAGAGCAGCCAGGCCCGGAAAGCCATGGAGGAGTTCTTCTCTGATGGGTAAGCACTGTCTCCCTTAACTCCGTGTTCAAGGACTCCTGAAAGCAGGGGGCTGTGGTATAGACAGCTATACCAACTCAGATGTCCCAGGGATCAGAAGGCCTGCTTGGGTGTGTTTGTCTCCGGGGGAGAACTTGGGTTGCTGACTGCCTCCTTGAGTTTGTTGATGAAGACCTGTATTCCATGGGCACCTTGTATGGTTGATCACAGTGACCATTTTCCCCCAGGGAATGAGACTGAAGCAGAAGCAGGTTCTTTTTATATGAGTCTTAATGTGGGTCTCTCATTTCCCCTCGTGCCTTGCAGTGGGGAACTTGTGCAGATCATGATGGCCACAGCCAATGAGGACCTCTCTGCTAAATTCTGTAACCGCGTCTTGAAATTCTTCACCAAACTCTTCCAGCTGAGTGAGTGACAGCTTTTGGTAATCTTCTTATGGGAACTTTGATGTCTGGCTAATACTGTGCCGGGCTTCTGCCTGATATTAGCCACAGCATGACAGTGCTAACAAGTGTAGAGAATCCTTCAGAGAAAGTTGGGAAAGGTGCTGAAACTCTTGAGACCTTTCTTCCTCTTCTTGCCCCTTCCTAGAGGCCCCTGCCCTCTTTACTGACGGAAGCCTCTTGTCCTGTTTTAGCTGAGAAGAGCCCTAACCCAAGCCTCCTTCATCTCTGTGGCTCTCTTGCCCAGCTGGCCTGCGTGGAGCCGGTGCGCCTGCAGGCCTGGCTCACCCGCATGACAACATCACCCCCAAAGGATTCTGACCAGCTGGAGATCATTCAGGAGAACCGGCAGTTGCTGCAGTTGCTGACCACATACATCGTGTGGGAAAACAGGTAGGAAGTGTGTGCGCTGGCTTTAGAACGCAGAACTTTGCCTTGCCTTTGGGCATTTCACATCTCTCCTGCCCACTCGAGGAATCTAACATAGCTTCTTGAGTTTTCCTATGGAGAAACTCCTGGGCTGACTTAGCCTGTCAATTGCAACCTCAGTAGATGTTTTGTGCTCTAGTAGTTCAAATCCAGTTCCAAGATTGGTGTGTTTACTTAATGTATTTAATACCTAATTTATAATATTAATAGATTTTAGTAATTAAATTTGTACTTTGATGGTTTCATGCCTGTTTATAATGCTTTCTGATCACACACCCTCCCACCCCCACCCCCACCCCCCCATTGCTTTTAGGTGTGATCTCTCTAGCTCTGGAACTCACTATGTAGACCAGGCTGGTCTTGAACTCACAGAGATCTGCCTGCCTCTTAAGAAGATTTTTTAGTATTTTATTTTATTGCATAAGTGTGAATATGAGAGTGAGTGTTTACCTTTATGATGTTTGTATATCACTTTGGTGCCCGTGCCTGTGGGAGCCAGAAGAGGGTGCTGGGGCCCCTGGACAAGAGTGAGAGGTGGTTGTGAGCTGCCGTATGGGTGCTGGTTATCTAACCCAGGTCCTCTGGGATAGTAGCCAGTGCTCTGACTGCTGAGCTGTCTGTCCAGCGCTCCCATAGCTTCCCTTATCTCTCACCCCTGTCACCTACCCCCACAGCCCCTTTCCCACATTCATGACTTTGTAGTTTGTGGCCCACTGAATTTACCCAGGCACCGCTATGTAACCATAAGCTTTGAACTGTCCATTGAAACCTGATATTTTAATTGCTCTTAAAAATGAAAGACTAGCTGGGCGGTGGTGGCGCACGCCTTTAATCCCAGCACTTGGGAGGCAGAGGCAGGCAGATCCCTATGAGTTCAAGCCAGCCTGGTCTACAAGAGCTTGTTCCAGGACAGGCTTGATAGCTACAATGAAACCCTGTCTCGAAAAACCAAAAAAGAAAAAAAAGGAAAAGATAGTGGGGAAAGATCTGGTATCTGGTATTCACTGCTTTGCTGGGTACGTAGGAAGCTTCACGCCTGTGTTTATGACTTTTGTTTTTCATTTGGAAATGAGAAGCCTGGACCAAGTTATTCAATTATCCAGCAGACATTTATTGCCACTCTTTGTACCAGGTGCTGAGGGAGGAGGTAGAAGTCACAGAAGGTGAACCAGCCACAAATGCTGGCCCCAGAGAGCATAACACAGGGGGGAATCGTAACTCAGAACTTTGTAGTTATCTGTACTAGATTTTCTTTCCTACCAGAGGCTTCCACATCCAACTGAGGATAGCTGTCTGTCTAGACAGCACAGTACTTCTAAGTATTCTGAGACTTAGCCAATTTCAAAATCAAAACCACAATGAGCAATAAGGGAGTACAGGGGTTTGAGGATGAAACTGGAAGTGTCCCAGGAGCCTTGAAGATAAGGGGGTTGTTTTGCCTGAACCCCCCTGGAGGAAGGAACATTTAAACTGAGTCTAGAACGCTTGGATGGAGGTAGGTGTGGGCAAGGGCAGTCAGCCTGTCAGCCTCATGTATAAATACAGCATGAAGCAAGCACAGCGGCATGTTTGATACCGGGCACACTTGGTTTAGATCTCTTCTACAACAGCCATCTTACCCCATAGGTCAGATTCTGATGCGGCTGGTGCAAGAGAAGGCCCCTGCTTGTGTGCTGGAGCTGGGCACCTACTGCGGATACTCTACACTGTTTATTGCGCGGGCTTTGCCCCCTGGGAGTCGCCNCTCTCTCTCTCTCTCTCACACACACACACACACACACACACACCTTTGAGACTGTGTCTCACTATGTAGCCTAGGCAGTCTCAAACACAAATACTTGTCTGAACTTCCTCAGTGCTGGGACTATAGGTACATGTACTATGCCTAGCTGTCTTCATTATTTTTAGTGGAGTTTCCTGGTTCTTTGTCACAAGTCCTGGAGAAACAATACTGAATGCACTGTTTGTCCTAAGACCAGCCAATCCCAAGCCATGTTCTCGGTGCTTTGTGAACAGATTCCTGTACTTGACAGTATCTCAGATTGATTAGAGGTGGTCCTTCCACTGGTGCCTTAGATGATTGTGTGTCTTCTTTCTTTGCTTTGGGACAGCAAGAAGTACCTGTCTCAGAAGAATGTGGTTGAGAAACTGAATGCCAATGTAATGCATGGAAAGGTAAGGAAAGTGAGGAATGCTGAGGGCAGGGAGCCAGGAAAGAGCTTCTTATCTTCGGTCAGATAGAAGTCTCCCTCTGGAGCTCTTACAGATCTTGGCCTGCAGGAAGTGACTCTTGACTGGTAAAGTGTACCTGCTGACTGCATGCCTTCGGGCCTCTTGCAGGTCTCAGGAAGTGATGCTCTGAGAAGGACTCAGCAGAGTCCTTCTAAGCACAGGGACTTGTTGCCACCTGAGATGCTCCTGTGTTGCTGCCTTGGGTCAGTGTTACTTGGGTGGGTGAGGGGTGGCATTCTAAGCCCTAGTCCAGATGCTGCAGCTGATCAGTGTGCCTGCAGAGCTCTGGACTGTGCAGAGGGGCTTGAGGATGACAAAAGTCTTAGGTTAAGTACTTTGCTTGGTTCCCACCCATGAAACCTAGCAGGGTGGCTATATTCAATTCAGGGCAGGGCTCTGAACCCCAGTAAGTTTCTCCCTCCTTAGCTACTAATTATTGTCCTTTTGGCACTGAGTTGTCAGAGTAAAGAGGCTCCTGGGAATTTAGAAATCTGAGTCTGATATCTGACTTGGTGGTTGTAGGTGTATTAATGCTTTAAAATTTATTTTATGTTATTGTATTTTTAATTGGGGGAGGGTTGAAGTGGAGTCTCTGTTGTAGTTCTGGCTCTCCTGGAACTTGATATATTCAGGCAGGCCTTGAACTCAGAGATCCACCTACCTCTGCTTCCCTTGTGCTGGGATTAAAGTCCTGCACCACCATGCCTGCCTTTCTATTTTTAATTGTGAGAGAGAGGGGATGGTGCCTACAGAGACTAGAAAATGGTGTTAGATTCCCCTGGAGCTGGAGTTGAGGGCTACCTAAAGTCCTCTGTAAGCAGCTTGTGCTCTTCACTACTGAGTGTCTCCCCACCCTCTGTCTACTGGACTTTTAAGAGAAACACAAAGCTAACTGCTATGGTTTGCTTCTCTTTTGGTCTTTGGAGCTGTTTCTTTCTGCAGCATTTAAAACCTGTTACAGCTTGCATGAATGATAATGTTAACAGCAGGAGAATGCTGATGAGACTCTTAGAAGCCTGTCTTGTCTTGAGGGGCCTTAGTTTCCTTATTTACTTCATTCTCCCAGTCCCAGATGTACTTTATCTTGTAAGATAAATTGAGAACTGAAGCTTCTGCGGGTTTCTCTTGCAGCATGTGATGGTCTTGGAGTGCACGTGTCATATTATGTCTTACTTGGCTGATGTCACAAATGCCCTGAGTCAGAGTAATGGCCAAGGACCCAGTCACCTCTCCGTGGATGGGGAAGAGCGTGTCATTGAGGTGGATTCAGACTGGGTAGAAGAGTTAGCAGTGGAGGAGGAAGATTCCCAGGCTGAGGACTCCGTAAGTGCTAAGTAGGGAAAGGAGTGGCTGTCTAGCATATTTAAGCCTTCTTGCCCACATGCCTAGTGCAGGACTCTGCTCTTGTGCTTTTTTGGGCCTGCAGAGCAGATATGCCAAGCCAGTCTCTTGGTGAAGTTGTTTTTAAATGAGTTATACCTTTCTTCTCTCTGGAGCTACTTGTTCTGCTTCACCCAAGTTTGGGGTGGGGGGGTGCATTCTTCATGGTGGGGGGAACCTTCTAAAGCATTAAGGGTTTTTATTATCTGCCCCCCCCCAAAGCAATTAGAAGATTGCACTTGAAATTGCAGGAGGCTCTCCGATAACTGGCTCTTTCAAACCAGGGCAGGTTCTCACTAGTCATGGGTATATCTTTCCATGGGATATTGGAGGACGTGCTTTTATGGGTCCCTATATGCAGAGTTATGTGTCTGACTAAAAAGACATATTGATCTTTTAAGGATGAAGATTCTCTCTGCAATAAACTCTGCACCTTCACCATCACGCAGAAGGAATTTATGAACCAGCATTGGTGAGTTCTTTTAAAGTGAGGCCAGCTGGGCCTCCAGTGCTGGGACCTGTGACTTACTGCTGGTTTCTGTTCTTTGTAGGTACCACTGTCATACCTGTAAGATGGTGGATGGGGTGGGTGTGTGCACGGTGTGTGCGAAGGTGTGCCACAAGGATCATGAGATTTCCTATGCCAAGTATGGTTCTTTTTTCTGTGACTGTGGAGCCAAAGAAGATGGCAGCTGCTTGGTGAGAGATGGAGCCTTCACAGTGTCATATGGGCAACTTGTTAGTAACACAGGAGTGTCTAAAGCAGAAAATTCCCATATTAGCTCTGTGTGGCCAAGAATTTGTTCTCATCCTGTTATGAGTGATGTATCCATTTGTGGCCCAAGTAATTAGTGCATTAAAAGCAGCAACCACCTTGTATAGTCAAGGCCCGATGCTCTGAGTGGGCAGCGAAGATGGGCATTTAGTAAGCCCCTTGGATCTGGGCTTGGAAATCACATATATAGCTGCCTCTGCTTCCAATATCTTAGCAGTATTTCATCTGGCTGTGGCAAGAATTTAGGGGCACTCCCATTTTCTGTCCCTAGGCACTGGTGAAGCGAACTCCTAGCAGTGGCATGAGCTCTACCATGAAGGAGTCGGCATTTCAGAGTGAACCTAGGGTTTCGGAGAGTTTGGTGCGCCATGCCAGCACCTCACCAGCTGACAAGGCCAAGGTCACCATCAGTGATGGGAAGGTTACTGATGAAGAGAAGCCCAAGAAGAGCAGCCTGTGCCGCACAGTTGAGGGGTGCCGTGAAGAGTTGCAGAATCAGGTGGGGCCTCCTGATGGGCACTATTGCTCTGGACAGAGTTTAGCCAGACTGAGTCAGTAGTTTGTGAGGCTCTCCTGGCAGCCCAGTTTCTTCTTTCTCGTTCTTGAAGTGCGCATGCAAGGAGTGTCTGTTGTCCCTCTCTGGGGAAGGATTTGCAGCAATGATATTCTAGAACATGCTTTCTTGACCAGGGGTTCTCATCTGGGCCCAGAATTCGGGAAACCATTGAGTGTTTTTTCTATTTTTCCCATTCTGTATGGATAGGAGAGAGGTGTTTATATGTGCTGGGTGTCTTGAATGACATAGGGTGCCTGTGGGACCCTGACTTAGACCCTCTCAGCAGTAGCTCATTGACTGTAGTCAGAGCTAGGATTCTGGAGAAGGGAAACTGTCAAGATTATTGCATGTGACCTGTGATTTTTCTTTCTTTTTTTTTTTTTTCATTTGTGTATTTCGATTTCTCTCAGGCCAATTTCTCCTTCGCTCCTCTCGTGTTAGACATGCTCAATTTCCTCATGGATGCCATTCAGACCAACTTTCAGCAGGCTTCAGCCGTGGGGAGCAGCAGCCGAGCACAGCAGGCCCTTAGTGAGCTGCATACAGTGGACAAGGTTGTGGAGATGACGGACCAGCTGATGGTGAGTGTGTGGGGTTGCATGGTTTGCTTACTACAACCTGTGCGCCACAGCATCCCAGTATGTGGCAGAGCAACTGGAAGAGATTTAGAATTAGTTGGTCCCAGGTCATGCATAACCTAGAATCAGAGGTCACCTCCTTCCTTAGCTGTACTCTGAGCAGTGTAGTAACCCACAGATGAGTTATATCTGGCACGAATCTGGGTATTTAGGAAGTAAGTCCTCTTTTTATTAAAGCTTCCAAATGTATGAACTCCTAAGATGCGAGGAGCTCCATTCTGGGGGCACTGGAACAGAAGTCCTTTGTAGATAACTAAAAGCCTCTTGACTGTGTCTTCCTTCCTAAGGCTCGGTAGCTTTGTCCTTTTCTGACCTCTAGCCTTGAGTTAAAGATAGCTTGCCTTTAGTTACTCTTTCAACTTCGGGTGCAGCCTGTCAGTTGTCTGCTTTAGAACTATTTGCCTAGCTTCGCACGGCAAACTGCTGACCTGCAGGGTAAGTAGAGGCAGTTCCCAAAGAGGCAAGAATAGACACCAGGAATGAGGTCATGAGAGGATTCAGAAGGGGCCTATTGGAGAGAGAGTTGTCCCCAGGAATACAAACGTGGACATATGGTGGTACTTCATTGATGCCGATCCTCTTAGAGCAGAGGATGTAAGGTTGTGAATATTGACATCCAGAGCTAAAGACATAAGTTAAAGACCCATCAAGTTGCCAACTTCACTTTCACCAAGTGAAATGCATGAAAGAAAAAATATATCACTACCATCATTTTATAAGTGGAAGTAGATTTTAACATTTAATAAGCAGCCAGTACTTAATTTACTTTCATTGAAAATTTACCCCACTGTTCTAAATAGACTGAAAATAGTGGTCTTTACTTAGCTACGCATGGTGTATTAGAAGCCAAAGTCCATTAATTAATATTTTTTTAATCCCTTGTTAGCCTGAACTCATTATAATAGACCAGGCTAGCCTGGAACACACACAGATCCATCTGCCTCTCAAGTGCTGAGATTAAAGGCTTCTGCCGCCTGCCCTGCTACTTTTCTTTGTTGTTGTTAGTAATTTTATTATTTGAGAATTATATGCTTGCATATAATTTATTTTGATCAGCTCCTCCCAAATCCAGTGCTTACTCCCATACTGTCTCTGCTCCTTGTTTCTTCCAGGTTCCTACCTTAGGCTCACAGGAAGGTGCCTTTGAGAATGTTCGGATGAATTACAGTGGAGACCAGGGCCAGACTATACGGCAGCTGATCAGCGCCCATGTTCTCAGGCGGGTGGCTATGTGTGTGCTTTCTTCCCCGCATGGGCGCCGCCAGCATTTGGCTGTCAGCCATGAGAAGGGCAAGGTGGGTTTCATGATTCCTTCCCAGTCATTTTAGGTCCTGATTATCTTAAGTGTTACGTGGAGCAGAGAGATGACCATGTTCAGATAGACCCAGTAAGGGGGAACATTGCTGCTTTGGTTGTGAGAATTAATTTCAAGACTTATCTCATCAAAAGAAACCTTTTGATTTGAACCTGAGTCATTTGGTTATCCCTAGAACTGAGATGACTAGGAAAAGGCCCTGGCAGAGGCAGTGATCAGCTGGTGTTGAGGACAGCTTACTTCCCAGTTGTGCCCATTTTGGGGCACTGAAAGGCACAAGCTGAGGGGCAGAAGCCTTCATGGACAGACCCAGTGTTTCTTGTGTAGTCCTTCCTGCTCTTCAGAAATGCAGCGCTGTTAAGTTGGGGAATGCTAGGTGTCTGTTCTCTGTTCTTGCCTCTCCTTGGGGCTGTTGTTTTAACCTTAAGTGAAATTATGGATAGTCCTTAAAACATCTAGCTGACCCAGAAAGTACTTAACAAGATGCTTGAGGACAGTAGTGCATAGGCATTAATTATTTATAGTTATTGTTGTTATTAAATTGGTTTTTCAGTGTAACTGCCCTGGCTGTCCTGGAACTTGCTTTGTAGACCAGGCTGGTCTCAAACTCAGAGATCTGCCTGCTTCTGCCTACTGAATGTTGGAATTAAAAGCATGTGCCACCATGCCATGCTAGAATTAACTATTATGAAAAGATTTAACATAGAAAAGTTGGTTTTGTTATTCATTTCTTTTGCCCTCATTGGGAGAAGGGCATGAATGACCTTCCATGTCTTTCTTTGGGGAGAAATAGAGGCCAGTCTTCATCTAGACATTTTCTAAGTGACTTAATCCATAAAGCAGCCCAGTGACCCACACCCTTTCTGGGGAGCCTTGCTGCTTGTTCTGGACTGTGAGGGATGGCCCTGGTACTAGGGCTAAGCAGGTGACTGTTCCTTTGCAGATTACAGTGCTACAGCTCTCTGCACTCCTGAAACAAGCGGATTCCAGCAAGAGGAAGTTGACTCTGACCCGCTTGGCTTCTGCCCCGGTTCCCTTCACAGTGTTGAGTCTCACTGGAAACCCCTGCAAGGAGGACTACCTGGCAGTGTGTGGGCTGAAGGTAAAATCCAGTACAGGAGTGACTCCCAGAGCTGTGAGCTCTGACCAAGTCTTTCCTGGCCTCAGCTTCACCTTCTTCTCCTCCTCCTTCTCCTCACTGATAGCTGAAAGCATAAAAGCTACTGGAATGCAGAGGTCTTTCTCTGAGCTCAGTCCATGTTTCTTGATTGCTCCGCTCTCTTTGTGTTCTGGAAACCTGAGTGTTTAGGCAGTCTGAGGTGCAATTTGGAGGCAGGGAATGTTAGGAAGGAAAGATGGGAACTCTGGAATGAATTACCCCACTTTACCAGTCACATTTTAATATTATGTTCTTTAACCCATGCCCAGGACTGCCATGTGCTCACCTTCAGTAGCTCGGGCTCTGTTTCGGATCATTTAGTGTTACATCCCCAGTTGGCAACAGGGAACTTCATCATCAAAGCTGTGTGGTTACCTGGTTCACAGACTGAGCTGGCCATTGTCACAGCAGACTTTGTCAAGGTAAATGATGCTGGCTTACTAGTTAGGGACTAGTTCATTTCATTAGAGCGAATGCCCATCACTATGAAGTTGCAGCTATCAGAAGTCACTAAGGTGTTTTGGGGACTGAAAGAGATCACCTTCTTTGTCACCCTGCAGATTTACGACTTGTCTGTTGATGCCTTGAGTCCTACCTACTACTTTCTCCTGCCGAGCTCAAAGATAAGAGATGTTACCTTCCTTTTCAATGAGGAAGGCAAGAACATCATTGTCATCATGTCCTCTGCTGGGTACATGTACACACAGCTCATGGAGGAGGCCAGCAGTGCCCAGCAGGGGCCCTTCTACGTCACTAATGTTCTGGAAATAAATCACGAAGACCTGAAGGTTAGAGGACATCTTGCCACTTCCTTCTGTTCCATATTTGATTTGTTTAGCAACTCCTCTGTTGTCTCCTTTTGGTTTCCTTACTTTTTCTCGTGTGTTCAAGCATGTGTGCTTAGCTTCTTTTTACCTAATACCAAAATCTAAATCACTAAGACCATTCAACTGCAAGGTCCTTGTTTCTTAGGATCTGTAATCAGTTATTATGCATTCCCAGTGACAAGTCACTACAGCACTGAGGGATTACTGAAGAAAAAAAAACCTTTCTAAAAAGTATCATTATTTTATGTGTATGGGTGTTTCCTTGCATGTTGCCACATGCATCTGGCTCTGAAGGCCAGAAGAAGGTATCAGTCCTCTGGACCTGGAATTACAGATCATTAATTATGAGCTGCCATATGGATCTTGGAATTGAACCCAGGTCCCCCGGAAGAGTAACCAGTGTTCTTAACCACTAGAGCCATCTCTCCAGCTAGAAAAATTCTTTAATAATAGCACATGACCAATGGGTACTGCTCAAAAGGGAACTGGCCCTGAACAGAAATCCCCTTCAGCTTAAATAGTTTCAGGGCCCAAGTTACACTTGGAACAATTAAGCATATTTTACAGAGACAGAGGTCCCAAGGTTTGGTTGTTTGGACAGATTTGGAGATTTACTGTGTAGAATATTGTCAGTTCTGAGACAGATCAGGGCTTCTTTTCCCAGGTAGCTGTTCACCAGGGTCATTCTGCCTACCTGCCGGAATTGTGTTCTTCCTGATAGAGGCCCATGTCCACCAGGGTCATCGTCTCTAATCTGCACTGAAGAACCACTGCTCCTTTAGCTAGAATGTACTTTTGTGTGGTGTAATATCTTCTAAGGATGCCAGTTTATTAAAACCATTTCAACCTTCATAGGAAGCTTACTCGTAGAAGTCTCATGCTTAGGGTGTGGAAGTACCTTGTGGTGGTTTAAAGTCCTACCCCAGAACCTGGGTTTCAGCCAGTAAGTGAAATAAATAAATCTGTGCATGTGTTTCTTTTCTCCTGCAGGACAGTAACAGCCAGGTGGCAGGTGGCGGTGTGTCTGTGTACTACTCACATGTGTTGCAGATGCTTTTCTTCAGCTACAGCCAGGGCAAGTCCTTTGCAGCCACCGTCAGCAGGAGCACTCTGGAGGTGCTGCAGCTCTTCCCCATCAACATCAAAAGGTGAGAGCAGTCGTGGAATGGCAGCCTCCTAGACACCCTCCCTTCTCATCCTTACCCCTCGCCTCTCCTAGTGCCTCACATACTGGCTCTAACCAGGCTTGTACTACTCCAGTTGAGTATCTTTAAAGACAAACAGCCATGGTTGGCAAGTTGGGCTACCTGCTTGCTTGTTCTTCACCATGGAGACACCAGGCTGTAAGAGGTAGCCTTTTAGGGGCTGAAGAATTTCACTGTTACACAGAGAGAAAACTTGTAGTCAAGGCAACTGGTGTGATTTTAACAGTGGCCAAGATTCAAGGAGGAGACAGTGCCCGTGAGGCACTGATCTTGGCCCCAAGACCCTTTCATTTTGCCTCCTTGAGAAGCCCCCTCCTTTCCCATAAGTAAATAGTACATCATTCCTGGGGGTGTGGCTAGAACTGGGGCAGGTAAGTCTATTCATCAATTTTCTGGATGTCAGAGGTGTGATTTATATTTAGGGAAGAAGAAGAAGAGGAGGAGGAGGAGATTCAGAGTCTCTTCTACTCCTCATCTGCTACTGAAGAGCTGTTTTAGATCTGTAGGAAATTAACCTGCTTTGGAATGACATCACATGGGCAGAAGAACAGTGTAGGACGCCTTGCCATTCACCTTAGGCAGCCCTATGACCTTGGTAGTTGATAGTCTCAAAAGGTCGCTTACTTCAAGTCGCAATCTCAGTGAGGACTCTTGGGGGCACACACTGGAGTGATGGTAGCACACACATGACTCTTAGTAAACTGACCCATTGCGAATTTGACTCCTTGGCCAGGGATTCTGTTCTGGGTTTCATAGCTACTCATAGGATGATCCTTTTTAAGAAAGGAACTGAAAAATGGGGAGTGGCACCGCATCCGCTTTTGTTCTCTGCAGCTCCAATGGTGGCAGTAAGACTTCTCCTGCCCTTTGCCAGTGGTCTGAAGTGATGAACCACCCTGGCTTGGTCTGTTGTGTCCAGCAAACTACTGGCGTGCCTCTGGTAGTCATGGTGAAACCAGACACTTTCCTCATCCAGGAGATTAAGACTCTTCCCGCCAAAGCAAAGGTCAGTGCTCTTCCCACGTTTCCTAATTAGGAATTTATTCTGTCTCTGACAGCTTGAAAATACTTTCCCATCTCCTATTGTGCCACAAGTCCATGATTCTAGCACTGGAGAGGCTGAAGCAAGGAAATTAAGAGTTTGGAGGTCAGCCTAAGCTACGTATTGAGCCCCATCTCAAGAAACAAACAGATGAAAGATGTCTCTTCTAGCTGCTGCCTCTGCTGCCCTTTTGCACCCTAGCCCACCTGTAGAGCCTGAGGTTTTTGTTCCTTTGTGTGGCTCTTGAGCCACAGATGTGAGGACTAACTCAGTGTACCTCCCACCCTACCCTGGCTCCCCTTTTTTCTTCTCCTCCTAGATCCAAGACATGGTTGCCATTAGGCACACTGCCTGCAATGAGCAGCAGCGGACAACCATGATCCTGCTGTGTGAGGATGGCAGCCTGCGCATTTACATGGCCAATGTAGAGAATACCTCTTATTGGCTCCAGCCCTCCCTGCAGCCCAGCAGCGTCATCAGCATCATGAAGCCTGTGCGAAAGCGCAAAACAGCTACGATCAGTAAGGCCCCTGCAGACCCCATGGGCATGGGTTCAGCAGTCTTTTAGACAGTGCACAGTAGGTCTCTGTTTTAGTCGGAAGAAGAACTGGCTCTCCTGCTTGCACACTTGGTGAGGTCAGAGACCAGTCCTAGCCAATTTAGTGAAACAAAGGCCCATGTGGCAACCACCATTTGCTACCTACTTTGTGCCAGCAGTTCTTGGTGCCCCATAAAGAATGTTATCTTCAGCTTTGGGTTTTCTTTGGGTTATGGAAGGTGGCTTGCCTGTGCATTTGCTCTAATTGAAGGGTAGATCCCTTCAGTTGACTAGTTTCCTGCAGAATACTGTAGATGTTGTAGGTCTTGTTCCTGACTGTGAGAGGACTTTGAAGAAGAGGAAGCGTGATTTTAGGAAGGAATGATCCTAGCAAAGTGAAGTACACTCCAGTCATCATCATGTTTCTTTAAATTTTTTCTAGAGATTCTGTGTTTGAGATGATGTAGCTTATCATCCTGTAAAGAAATAGATTCTGTTGTGTTTTAAACTGTACTCTCTAGGTCAGGGGTGGTATGCTGGAGAGCTGATGGCATCTCATTTGGTTAGAGTAGAGTATGTGAGCATGGGCTCAGTGTTTAGCCTTGGAAGTGAGAGCACAGGTACTAAAACCACACACCAGTGAACTCTGGCAATCTGACTCTGTCCCCACAGCTGCCCGCACATCCAGCCAGGTGACCTTCCCCATCGACTTTTTTGAACACAACCAACAGCTGACAGACGTGGAATTTGGTGGTAATGACCTCCTGCAGGTCTACAATGCACAACAGATAAAGCACAGGCTGAACTCCACTGGCATGTACGTGGCTAACACCAAGGTGAGGAGCACACAGGGCTGATTCACTTTCTGGGTTAGCACTCTTGTGACCATTTTTGTTGAACAACTCGTGTCTGTCTTTTTGGCACTAGGCTTGAACCCAGGTGCTCCTCCATTGAGCAGTTGGACTAGCCTCACATCTTCCTTTAGAATCAGATGTAGAATATGTACTCAGAGTTGCTCACTTCTGGTCAAATGATCCTTGAATAAATCAACATTCTTTCCACTGCTGAAGGTCTTGAATCCCACCAGACTAAATTTTCTCCATTGTTAGCAGGGTTACTATGTACAGGACAACATGGGTTGGTTAATCTTCGGGTGAAGGAAGCCTTACACTGCCTCTCTTCTTCCTTGTTCATGATATGATTAGGATGGAGTTGAAAGAAATGAGGTTTTTGCCTAGTAGCCATTAGGTTGAGGCAGGATTCTGGAGATTTCTGACATGTGCTTTTGTCCTTGCAGCCTGGCGGCTTCACCATTGAGATTAGTAACAACAGCAGCACTATGGTCATGACAGGCATGCGGATCCAGATTGGGACCCAGGCAATAGAACGGGCCCCATCATACATCGAGATCTTTGGCAGGACCATGCAGCTCAATCTGAGCCGTTCCCGCTGGTTTGACTTTCCCTTCACCAGAGAGGAAGCCTTGCAGGCTGACAAGAAGCTGAACCTCTTCAGTAAGTGAGCCACCCAGGGCAGGCTGCAGCCTTCTCATTGTGACTAAAATAGATGGCCACTAGGTGGCCCTCCACTGTTAGGGAATCCCTGCTCCACATAAGTCTCCCTTATTTTTGAGGTGTAAGAGATAGGCTGCCAGGAAAGGAAATTGCTTTTTTTCTTGTTGATGGTACTGGGAATTGAACCCTGGACTTTGTACATATTAGGCAAATATTCTACCACTAAGCTATATCACCCCCCTTTTTTAAACTTTTTATTTTGGAAGAGAGTCTCCCATTCTATAGCCCAAACAGGCCTTGAACTTGGGATCCTCCTGCCTTAGCCTTCTGAGTATCTGGGATTATAGGCCAGTGCCAGCAGGCCTATTAAAGGAATAGATGTGGTGGTAGTGAGAGGGCAGGCTCAGTTAGCTATTTGCTTTGGTGTTACATTGGCCTTATTGATGGACGCTGATAGATGAGATCAGGAAGCATGTGCCCTATCAACTGAACTATATCCCTGGCTCAAAGCTTTTTACGTGTGTAATTCATGCATGCATTTATAGACAAGGTCTTGTGTACTCCAGGCTGTCCTTGAACTCATTGTATAGCTGAGGGTGACTTTGAACCTCTGACCCTCCTGCCTCCACTTCCTGAGTTCTGGAATTAGAAGTGTATGTCATAATGTCAGTTTATGTGGTGTTAGGGATGGAACCCAGCAAGCACTTAAGGGAGCTGCAGCCCTAGCCCGAGGCTTTCTTCACATGTCACATGTTTCTGAGCCTGTGTGTTCTCTAGCACTTCCTGGCCACTTGGCTGAAGTTCTTACTCCTAGAAATAGTTGCTTTTGTGTGTATGGAGATGACCTGTACTCAGAACAAAGAAAGTGCTTAGAGACCACTGGGAGTAAGGGCTGGGAGGCAGAATACCTCCAGCACCAGAGGATCCTTAGAGTGATGCTCATGGTCTCCCCAAGTGGGAGACATCAGACTGTGGTCCATTGGACTGTTCCTTGTACATTCAGCTTGAGTGCTGCCAAGTGTCTCAGCAGACACAGCTTCCAATGCTGAGACGGACGTGATTTACACCTGTGCCTTGGACGGTGGTGTGAGTGCTCTGTAAATATGCTTCCTAAAGGCTTCTCTTGCTTATCGCAGTCGGTGCCTCAGTGGATCCAGCAGGCGTTACCATGATAGATGCTGTAAAAATTTATGGCAAGACTAAGGAACAGTTTGGCTGGCCTGACGAACCCCCAGAAGAATTCCCTTCTGCCTCTGTCAGCAACATCTGTCCTTCCAACCTGAATCAGAGCAATGGCACTGGGGAGAGTGACTCAGTCGCTCCAACTACGACCAGTGGAACTGTCCTGGAGAGGTACCAGTGTTGGCAGGGTTTGACTTTAGTTCTTAACTATTTTGCACTGACTGCAGAGTCCTATGTCTTGAGTCTCCCAAGCCTAATCTGTGATTGTCAAGTTCTCACACAGTCCCCTGAACATTTGGTTTCTTCCTAATATACATACAGAGGCTGGGAAATGGGCTCAGAGGTATCTAATGCTGGATCTCTGTCCAGACAGAAGCTTGGTCATTTACTTAATATTCCATAAGCATTTGGAATAGCCAGAGGCTGCAGGCTAGAAAGTGTTTATACCCATGCTCTAGATTAGAATCCAGACTGCATCAACAGCAAGCATCCTCCCTCTGTGCCAATCGCATCATCTTCTCGTCTTTCTCTGTGGAAGTTGCTACTCTGTGGTAATAACACTGCCAGCAAGAGAGGCTGCTACAGCATCTTGCAGAAGAGTGCAGTGTCCTTAGAGCTCCCTACGGTGGCATTCGTCAGCACATGCTTGGCTTCTTTGTGCTGGGTGGCTGCTGGTTTGCCATGGTAGATGAAGCAAGTCCTGATGTAAGAGTGAGTTTCTTACATTGTAAGCCCTGAGGTAGCCATGCTTGGAGTCGCTGCGTCCCACCAGCAGCCTCCCCACTTCGCCTTTCCTTTTTTCCCCTCGGTTCATATATCGTTTGCTTAGGATGTGTTTCTAGGTTTCTCTGAGCTTCACATTTTTTTTTTCCTTTTTTTTTCCCTTTGCTTCTCCCCCAAGTTCTGAAACTGAGTCCCTAACCAAGCTGGACCGGTTAGTATGCCCTGTTTCTTTTCTCTGCACGAGTGCGTGTGTGTCAGAGAGCAGCGTCCGCATTGGTGTGGCTTTGCGCTGATTCGCTTCTGTTCCAAGTCCTGCTACTTTCTGTTCTGGTCATTGCATGGCTGCAGAGCTCTCCATGTGTAAACTGGAGCCTCCCTGGGACTGTGAGTGCACCCTTGGTGTTGGCCACATCAGCCTCTCGGCTCTGTCTTCCTTAACCCATCCTTGCTGCTCATTCTGTACGACGGATGCAAAGGGATGGGGGTAGAAGGGCAAAATGCCCTACTAGCTCAGAAGCTCCTGGAGCTTGTTATACTTCCCTTTATCCTGTGCTTCCTCCATCTTCCCTCTATCTTTGGCTCCTTCCTTTATCCCTGCCCCTTTTCACTCTGGCGACCTTTTCAGTGCTTTCCTTTCCTGCCCAAACCCCAACTGTCAGGGTGATGGTTGCCCCAACTGTCAGGGTGATGGTTGTTTCACTATGTCACTTAAATTCACAGGAGTAAGCCTAGAGCATGTTATCTGATAGATACTATTTAATGGCTGAACTTACTGCTTCTTCCCTAATGGAGAAGTTCCATGTTCTTCCTTTGAATGTTCCAGTGACATGCATCTAAAAATGATTTGTTTGCTCCTGTACTTAAAACCCATAGGAAATGCCTGTGTGCATTTTTCCTGGCTGTGTAAGCAGAAGCCTAACCTTAACACTGCCAGTGTAAACAGATGGCTTTAACTTCTCCCTTGTGCCCCCCTTTGCCCACTGATCTCTGAGCACCTGAGCTTCGGGCACTGTTGCATCGAGACTTAAGCCCATCTCAGGATCCCTGCCACAGGCAGTAGAAGGAAGCACTTTTATCCTCTTTGAGGAAGAAAAGCCCTGTCTTTGAGTGACGGATTATGAACATGGCCTCAGGTTGATCTCCGAGCAGGAGCCAGGTTTCTTCTGGCCTGTAACACAGGGAGCGATATGCACGGCGCCTGTGGCAGGTTTTATTGTGCTTTGATTTTGTATTTGGCATTCGGTAGCTGTCCCCAAGGTCCTCACAACTACAGCTTGCCGGGCTGACATGAGCAGAGGACGCGTGCTTGTACTCAGGCCAGGCTTTCTGTCTCCCCAGGCTGGTTGTGAGTTCTTTGGAAGCCCTGGAAAGCTGCTTTGCTGTTGGCCCAATCATCGAGAAGGCAAGTTATTTCTTCAAAGCTCACAGGAGCTTTCTGAAGAGGCAGGAAGTGGGGTTGTTGGCTGAGGCCCTGCTGCCTTGGTGCTTAAGAATACTGACAGCACAGTCTTTGATTTTGAAAGCATCCCTGAGCTCTGCACCTGTTTCACAGGAGGGTTGTAGTTTTGAAACCTTTTTTTCTGCTCTTTCTAGTCAGTGGTGGGTAACCTTGGCTGGCCTGAGGGAGGAGAGGGAGAGGGCAGACTAGAGGGCATTCTGCACTGTTGAGGACTGAGTGATAACCCTGCTGCCTTCTACATCAGGAGAGAAACAAGCATGCAGCCCAGGAGCTGGCCACTTTGCTGCTCTCCCTGCCAGCACCTGCCAGTGTCCAACAGCAGTCAAAGAGCCTCCTGGCCAGCCTACACACCAGCCGCTCAGCCTATCACAGCCACAAGGTAATCGTTCCTGCTCTGGGAGGCCTTCTGTAGGAATGGCAATTGTCCTGAGAGGGAGTCAAATAGTTGGCTCTTCGTTTGTAAAGCAGGGCCCTAGTGGAGTAAGCACGAGGAAGGAACTCACACTGAGATTAGAGCCAGTCCCAAGTTTCTCCCAAGAGATGTATACTACTCTGGACCAAGAAAGCAATCTAGTAGGCCACTGGCATGTCACTTTATTTTTCTGTCTCTCTGACAGGATCAGCAAGTTTTAAAAAAGAGAGTATGGGTGACTGCTTCTCCATGGGAGAATGCAAAGGTTAGGAATGTGCCATAGGTGGTTAATATACTGTTATCCCAAGCCCTCAGCCGTGGGCTGGGGTGAGAGGCATGCATATGTGGCAGGGGGTTGTTGCATGAGGGTTATTGTTGGGCCTCAGAGGGTCTCATTATCTGCTGAAGGAAGTAAGCCGGACCTCTTTGGGTAGATGGGAAATAGGACAGTGCAGACCAGTAGGAGGAAAGGTACTGGGGCACAGCCAGCCTGGTGTTTGTGCCTCTGTCCTTTAACATCAAGAGCTGAGTTCAGCTTCCCAAGGAAAGGTTGTTTTAGCTGCATCATCCATGGATAAAGACCCTGCTGAGGGATGACTGCTGCCAGAGAAAGTGATGGGCTACTGTAGTTCTGTTGATTGAGTAGATGTTACTTTCCTGGTACACTGTGAAGCCATTAATGTGCTTGTTGACTTTGTTTGTTTGTCTTTTGTTTTTCAAGACAGGGTTTCTCTGTGTATCAGCTCTGGATGTCCTAAAACTCACTTTGTAGACCAGGCTGGCCTTGAACTCAGATCCATCTGCCTCTGACTCCAGAGTGCTGGGATTAAAGGCATGCGCCGCCACCACTTGGCCAATTGTTGACTTTTTAAGACTGTTGATTTTCTATCAAGCAGTTGAGCATTGGGTAGCCTAAAGATGGGTTTTGATAGCTGGTGACAGCTCTTGAGAGAAGTTTCCATTCCTCCATGTGATTTACTGTCCTGCCTTTGCTTACAGTTGACCCTCTGTGACCCTGTGTTTTATAGGACCAGGCCTTGCTGAGCAAAGCTGTGCAGTGTCTCAACACATCCAGCAAAGAAGGCAAGGACTTGGACCCTGAGGTGTTCCAGCGGCTAGTGATCACAGCTCGCTCGATTGCCATCATGCGTCCTAGCAACCTTGTGCACTTTACGGAGTCCAAGCTGCCCCAGATGGAAACAGGTGAACTTGGCCTATGTGGCCGTGGTCCTGAGACCTGCTTAATGCACCTTCTTTGCCCTCTGTGGTGCTCTTCCTGCTCTTATTGGTTCTGATGACAGATAATCTGTTCCCTGTGTTTTAACTTTGTAGGGTCTCTGACATTGTCCCATTTTAACTAACCTGACCATCCTTAAATTTGCTTTTAGTGTTCTGTACCTCAGCTAGTCTGTTGTGAAGTTAGTTATTCCAGGGTGAACTGAGCTTAGTTTCACCCTGGTGCCACAGGCAGGACTGGAATTTTCTTTCACTGTATCTCTTTGTATAGAGGGGTGCAGAAGGTTATGCTTTTTGGGTGAAGCTGAGCTTGGTTTTGCCTTGTACCTGGAGGTAGTGTGCTGTGTGCTGTGGTGCTGTTCTGGCAGTAGTACTTTGTGTGCAGTGGCTTCTCAGTGCTTCTTCTGGCATCTCTCCTCACACTGGCTGGCTATGGCTCAGTCCCAAACCTGACTTGACATCATTAGAAAGAGCTTGTTGATGCCTCTGCCATCCCCCATCACCTGCGTGTTCCTGTATGCCATTGCTTTCCTGTCTGTCCTTCTAATGGTACAATCTTGCAATCAATCTAGAGGAATCTCAGACATTCCCCTAGGTTTAGTCAAACAGTTGGAACAGGCATCTTTGACTCTGCTGTAAAGATCCGAATGCTCCCCTCTCTGTCTAATTCTAACACACAATGTTTTCTGTGATGTTCCTTTCCCAGACTGTTTTTTTCCCAGATGTGCCTGCTGGAATCTAGGGATAGTTGGCATATTGATTGGGGCCCCACTTGAAACTCCCTCCGCAGGCAAGCTTCCTTGACCTGAGTTAACCTTAAAACAAATTAAATTCTGTCTTAGATTTACCATCGTTAATAATTTCCTTTCTCCTGCGTAGAAGGAGCAGATGAGGGGAAAGAACCACAGAAGCAGGTGGAAGGAGATGGCTGTAGTTTCATCACTCAGCTTGTGAACCACTTCTGGAAACTCCATGCTTCTAAGCCCAAGAATGCCTTCCTGGCACCTGCCTGCCTGCCAGGTATCATGTTAGCAGGGTAACAGGGATTCTTGGATCTTGATACTAGTGAACTAGCTGTAAGCCCTTCAACAGTGTGACCTCCTCTTCCAGAGCAGTAGCACAGAGTCATGTGTGAACTCAGTGCATTGCTACCCATGGGAAATAGCAGTGTGGTAGGCAGGTGTGTGTGTGTGTGCCTTGTATATATCCTCTTTTCTTGTGGGATTATGTTGTTGACATGGGGAACAATGGTCATGACAACTCTCTGATTGTTATTTAAAAACAAAGCATTCTAAAGACATGAGCCAGTCATGGTAGTGCATGCTTTTTATATTAGCACAGGCAGAAGCAGGTGGATCTCAGTGAGTTAAGGGTCAGCCTGGTCTACAAAGTAAAGTTCCAGGATAGTCAGGGCTGTTACACAGAGAAATCCTGTTTTTTGTTTTGTTTAAAAAAAAAAAAAAAAAGAATAAGACACTTGGGAGGCAGAGGCAGGCGGATCTCTGTGAGTTCGAGACCAGCCTGGTCTACAAGAGCTAGTTCCAGGACAGGCTCCAAAACCACAGAGAAACCCTGTCTCGAAAAAAAAAAAAAAAAAAGAAAGAAAGACAGTTCAGAAGGCAGGAATGTAGTAGAAACAGCCATGAAAAGTGTTTTTATTCCCATGCTATTGTTGCTTTGGTTCTCTTACTTCCTCAAAGTTGGGGGAAGAGGTAGGACCCTATAGTCTAAGAGAAGAGTAGATACCCCCATTGTTGCTTGAAGATCACTTGAGACCTACACCCTCAAAGGCGCCTGTCAGAGACCTACTTTGTCAGTACCTCAGGTTTAGGGGAGCATAAGGGTGTTGTTATCTGCCCACCTTGAGGTTCCCTGCCTTGTCTGTGACTGTCCGCGTTGATCCCCACTTCTTCTGTACAGGGTCTGAAAGGGCTTTTGAGGACTTTCATAGAATTGGCAGACTTAATAAAAGTAGCCCAGCCACAGTCGGGCTACACCACAGCGTGTTTGATTGGTTTGCTTTGCTGTGTGTATGCCTGATTTTGTCTAGCTGCCCTCAATGTGATGAGGATTTGTGCTTTTGTCTCAAGCTTTCAAGGTCTGGGGTTGTTTTTGTTAACAGATTTTCAGATGATCCTTTTCTTCCATTTAGGCCTCACTCATATTGAAGCTACTGTTAATGCACTGGTAGACATTATCCATGGCTATTGTACCTGCGAGCTGGACTGTATCAACACAGCATCCAAGATCTACATGCAGATGCTGTTGTGTCCTGTACGTATCAGCACAACCCCGGGTGCCTCTGCTCAGCCTGGGAGTATGTGGAAAATAGCCTGAAGTATCCAACATAATGAAATCAGATAAACTTAAAATCTGCTGGGAGAGGCTGGTGAGGTGGAGGGGCTCAGTTTCCAGAAACCACATGACAAGTAACAACTGCCTGTGACTCTTACTCTCTTCTGGCCTCTTTGGGCATTGTATACACATAGGTGCACAAACCTACATGCAAGCAAAACACCACACACACACACAAATAAATCTTTTTAAAAAAATTAATGGGAGTCAGTAATTGCTAACAGCAATAAAAGCTGTAGAGAGTGAGGCTGGGAAGGGAGGTCCTTCTTTAGTTCTTTCTTCCCAGTGACACCTGCTGTAGGGTTACTGCTGAGTAAGTACTGCTGAAATGAATGCACGAATGACTGTGTTACTGTGCCTGTTCCTGAAGATAAGTGTAAAAAGTGCTGTTTATGGCATGGAGCAAAGAGGAACGTCAGGGCTTGATTATCTGATGAAAAGTCAAAGCTCATTTGTAGAGAGCCAAAGTGGCTTCAGGATCAAATGGCCCAGCAGCTAAAAGACAGAAAGGTGGTGAATGGTCTTACCATGTCAGGTCTGGAGAGGCTGGCCTGCTCCATCCTGCTGCATTTGGCCAGGAGGACGCAGGTGAGAGTAGACAGACTTCTGCCTTATGTAAGTGGCTGACAGTAGAAGAAGGTGGAGTCACTGCTCATGTTGATGGAATACCTGAGCTTGACACTTTCCTTTCAAACCCTAGGACCCTGCAGTGAGCTTCTCCTGCAAACAAGCTCTAATTCGAGTCCTAAGGCCCAGGAACAAGCGGAGACACGTGACTTTGCCCTCCTCTCCTCGAAGCAACACACCAATGGGTAATGTGAAGTCTTGGCTTTAGGTTGTACTCCGGGTGGGCCAGTGGGCTCAGAAAGAAGGTACAGCTTTGGGATATGCACTCATGTTGACCAGGGTCTTTTCAGTTTTCTGTTCCTTTAATATTCTATACAGTAGGGTGGCATATAAAAATGCATTAAATAGAATAAAATAAGGCCAAAGCCATGGGAACATAAAGGTGCTATGATAACATGTCCAGGACACAGCGTCTGATTCCCAGTTTCCACGTGGTTAAATGAAGAGCTTGCATTTGGGTGAAACATCCTAGAACCATAGGAAAAACATGTAAAAGACATTTTAAAAATCATTGTGGCAGGTTGGAGAGATGGCTCAGAGGTTAAGAGCACTGGCTGTTCTTCCAGAGGTCCTGAGTTCAGTTTCCAGCAACTGCGTGGTATCTGATGCCCTCTTCTGACATGCAGACATAGTACTTACACGCATTAAATTAAAAACAAACAAATAAATAAATATTTTTAAAGATTACTGTGATGTTGAGGTTGTGGGAGTAGGCTGAGGGTACAGAGACTAAATTTAAGGCTAGCATGGTCTATGTGGCAAGCAAGACCCTGTCTTTACAATCAAGAAACCAAAGGTCTTGTATGTAATTGTTAATAATTAAAACAAAAAGCATTGCTATTGAGTATGCTATTGAGCCTGTATTCTTGGCCCTCAGAAGGATGATAAAGCAGAAGGGTTCGGTGCTCAAGGCTAGCCTGGGCTATCAAGTGGAGTTACAAGGTTCAGTAGTCATTGAAGAGTCTGAGCTGCTTTGTGGGACTTGTGGTAGGAGAGAGGACTGATGACTGTAGTGGTCCTCTGATCTCTACATGTGAGCTGTGACACACCCCACAGAAAATAGATAGATAGTAGTCACAATGACTAAACATTAAATATATTTTACTTTTTATTTAGAATGAAACTGCTTTTCATAACAATCTCATTAAAGGTCCGATGTGTTGCTTACAAGCAGAGCCCTGAGTGGACTTATTATATGACTATGCTAATGATAGGCAGCAAATGTCAGACTTCCTTCATGATGTGCTTGCATGGCTAAGTGCCACACTTGTGAAGAATACAGAGATATAAGTTACAATAAGTTTAGAGATCATGTGGTATATTGCTGTTGTAACTAGGAGTTAGTATAAAAACTTAAGAAATGCTTTACATTTTGTGGTGCTGTCTTTGAAATCCAGTGTCTGGCTCCCCCTGGGAGTTTGTCAACTTGGACTAGTTATGTCTCAGGTGCTCAGTAGCTGGTCCCTAATACGGAACAATCCTGTCTTCTTTTGCAGTACTGGAAATTGAATTAGGCCTCATGCATGTTAGACAAGCGCACTACCATTGAACTGTATTTCTATCCCACAGTGCATATCTTGAAGAATGTATATGTCTGTAACTTTCAGGCACTCTTTCAGAATTAAGATTTATTGTGTGAGGGACTAGGAGGTGGCTCATCTGGTAAAAGTGCTTGCCTTGTAAGCACAAGGACTTGGTGTCTAGACCCCTAGCATTGGGAAAGTGGAGATGGGCGGGTGCTTGGGCTGACTGGCAGCCAGTCACCCTGAGTCAGTGAGTGCTGGGTTTAGCAAGTGACAGGGAGGGCAGCTGACATCTACCTGGCCTCCACACCCACAGTATGGGAAATTAGAATTTCTAAGAAAGGACTTGCTTTAGCAACTCAGCAAGTGGAAGACAGCCCTCCATCCTTTTCTAACAGCCTGAAATCTCACCGGGGCCTCCTGCTTGGTAGAGGGCTTTCCATAGCCTTACCCCAGACAAGGAATCTTTTAGGACCTGTCACAATGGCCTCAGTTTCCAATCTATAGCTTCAGATTTCAGTCCTGGTTTTGGCTTTTCTCATGGTGATTGTGTAGTTTGAATTGCACAGACCTGTTTAGAGAATGAAGTTCTAGGCTGCAGTGACAGGGACGACAACATTCTTTTGAGTTATTCCCTGTCCTGTCAAAGCTCTGTCTTCTGAGAATGGAGCCTGTAGGGCCTGTGGTGGTTTAGTTTCTGTTTTTCTGTTTGTTCTTTTTTTTTTTTTTAAATCCTTTCTCGTCTATAAGAGTCTTTTCCTGTCGGGCAGATGGGGGAAGGAGGATGGGTTGTTACTGCCAACGGCCATCTTCTCTAGACCCTGCTAGTTGCAAGGAAGAAGAAAAATAGGCCTCCAGTGCAGTGCCTACAAGTTTGCCCTCACAAGTGGAGGGTGCCAGCTGGGGCCTTCTTTAGGCTCCCGTGCTATATGACCAGTCACATTATATGTCACTGAAGGAGTGCCTTTAGATGACTGGGATTTCTTTGACTCAGGAGACAAGGATGATGACGATGATGATGACGCAGATGAGAAAATGCAGTCATCAGGCATCCCCGATGGTGGTCACATTCGTCAGGAAAGCCAGGAACAGAGTGAGGTGGACCACGGAGATTTTGATATGGTGGTGAGTCTGGTGGCAGAAGAGGGGAGGAGGAGCCTCTAGCTCCTCTCTGGTTCCTACTCAACAGCTTTACTGTGTGCTGGGGGACACTGATGAAATTTTCTCTCTGCAGTCTGAGTCGATGGTTCTGGAAACAGCTGAAAATGTCAACAATGGCAACCCCTCTCCCCTGGAGGCCCTGCTGGCAGGTGCTGAGGGCTTTCCTCCCATGCTGGACATCCCACCTGATGCAGATGACGAGACCATGGTTGAACTAGCCATTGCCCTGAGCCTGCAGCAGGACCAGCAAGGTAGAAGGCAATGCCAGGAACACAGCAACCTTGCACAGGAAAGAGGGCGTGGCAGTTACTGATACCCTGCTGACGTAGCTTGTCCCCAATTGGGGGAGAGGTTGATCTGGGTGAGAGCTGCTCAGAGGTACAGGTGGAGAGTGAGGGATGGCTCTGACATTTCAAGACTGGAAGCCAGTCTCATAGTTACTGCTGGTTTGATTTTGGATGGGTACATCTTGAATCTATAACTAAACTTGGCGGGTAGACAGCAGTGGCCAAGACAGGTCATATGCTGGTGTTTGGACTCCTGAGGGCAGCAGATGGCCAAAGCAGTGCTGTGGATGGGGCTGACAGGATGCTGTGCTCACTCTCCACTTGTTTCCCAGGCAGCAGCAGCAGTGCCCTGGGCCTGCAGAGCCTGGGACTATCCGGCCAGGCACCCAGCTCTTCCTCTCTGGACGCAGGAACCCTCTCTGACACCACAGCATCAGGTAACTGTCCACAGCAAGGAACTTGGCTCAGGGCCTCAAGACCCTGCAGCCCTGTTCAGTGCTGTGAGAGTGTGACGGGCAGCTGCTTTGACAGGCCATCCTGGACTTCCTGCTTCTGCCTCGGCTTTAGCCATGTGCTGTGGAAGGCATAGTGCTGTAACTTGGCATCAGTGCTTGTGACCCCACTTCCTCACACTTTGCATGCTGCCTGGCTTTGGCTGATACTGAGAGATCCAGGGAACATCATATTGGCTTTACAGTGTTGTGCTGGAGTTCTAACATGTTAGACAGTATGGAAAGAGATGAGAAATAAAGCTACACTTTTAGCTCTAAGCCTTCATTTGCAAATCAATTAAAACCATAAGCAGTCAGCAGTGACATGTGAGCTTGGGAGAGAGTTTTTTTGGTCCATTCGGTCTCTAGGAAACCTTCACTTATGTTGTCTTTGTTTTGAGTCTCTTTCCTAGCCTGATAAAATTCCAGATAAAGAGTTGGACCAAACTGTGGGTGGCAGCAGCACATGGGAGAGATCCTTTGAAAATCAACCCAGACATGAAGGGATGGATTCTTGTTCAGACTGCTGCATCCCTGCATTTGCTTGTTTTCTTTTGGGAAGGTTAGCCTGCTTAGATCTGAAACAAAAAGCAAACCAAAACAAAAAACAGAGTGGCTGTCCCTGCCTGCTGTCATGGCTTTTTGCTTCTCTGAGGTCCCTTCAGTTGCTCTCACTTCAGGCTTTAAGGGTCGTGGTTGTGGTCATGGTGTTGTGTTGGTCATGTCTATCATGCTCTCTGGCTGTCTTGGCTTTCCTCCCCTGTGTATCTCATCCAGCATTTTCCTCCTGTCTCAGCTCAGCCCTGATCCTGGATGCTGTGGCTGTCTCTGGGGAATTTCCTTGCTTCATTATTAGCATCTGAGGAGGAGGATGAAGAGGTGTGAAATTTTCTAATGAGCTCTCCTCTGGGCCATTTAATTAAAAAAACAAAAACAAAAGACAAAAATCAAACAGTTGACTTGAGCTCATGACTTGTGATTTCATAACAGCAGTTGGATTGCTGAGCACGCCTCGTTGAATTCTGTGCTCTGAATGGCAATGTCTAGTTTGGATCTCTCAGTAGGTGTCAGGGACACCTCGACAATGGTGACCATGAAGCATTCAGCTAGAAAACTCATTGTCCATGTCACAGAATCTTACAGAATCTGCACATGCTATAACAGTGAAGGAAATGCCCAGTATACTGGGCTTTCACTTCTTTCTGAGAGCTGTTGGCAGTGCACCCTGTAGAGTGTCTGTTCCTTTTGTTGATCAATTGGCAAAGCAGATCTTGCCCTTTTTTCTGTAACCTCAGGACACTCAAACTGCCTTGTGTCCTCTGCAGTATGCTGTGATGCTTTCGCCCCAAGGAGGGGTCTGTACCTGTAACAGCTCTCGTTACTCTCTCAGCTCCAGCCTCAGATGATGAGGGCAGCACCGCAGCGACTGATGGCTCCACCCTGCGGACCTCGCCCGCTGACCATGGCGGGAGTGTGGGCTCAGAGAGCGGGGGAAGTGCAGTGGACTCTGTGGCTGGCGAGCACAGTGGTAATGTGCCCGGGTGTCTTGATCTCTTTGGGCTTGGGGAGTGGGGGTGGCAAACAAGGTAGGAAGGTCCTGTGATTGCTTTCTGCAGAATTGTGGGGACTCACAGAGTCTGGTGGAGTTCATTTGACCTCAGCCATGGAATGTCAAGTGTTCTGTGGCTAAAGCTCAAATTCTGTGGCTAATATGGAAGCCTCATTATTAAACAAGCCATTCTCCTACAGTACACCTACTGTGAGGTTTGTACACGCTAGCAGTTTCTGAGCTGAGGCCAAGGGCATTTTTGCAAGTTGCACAGGTAAAATCTGAAAGGTTTCAGGTGGGACTAGGACCACACCAGGGTTCTGCCATCCTTCATGAAGCTGGAAACGGTCGAGAGCTAACATTTTCCCATTACGGCCGACCTTGGAAACTGATGTGCTTCTAATATCATTTCCTTCCAGTGTCTGGCCGGAGCAGTGCATATGGTGATGCCACAGCTGAGGGGCACCCAGCTGGACCAGGGAGCGTCAGCTCAAGCACAGGCGCCATCAGCACCACCACTGGGCACCAGGAGGGAGATGGCTCTGAGGGAGAAGGTGAAGGGGAAGCTGAAGGAGATGTGCACACTAGCAACAGGTCAGGACCAGCCTGTCACTGACACCAGGCCTGCTTGACCATTCAGAACTGGGAGATGGAGTGGTGGGTGCTAATACTCCCAAGTATTAAAGGAAATGAAAGCTGCTGGTTTCCTCCCAGCCACTGCTGACTTGAGGGTGCTGTGCCTCCCAGAATGCTTTGGGAGTTGGACTGTGCTGCTTTGGCTAATGTCTGGCTGGAGCAGCTTTTGAGGGCTTGTGGAAGGCACCCAGCTGAGTGTGTTTTTTTGTAGTACTGTATTTCTTTTTCGGTGTTAAGTCAAAACCCACACTGCAGTTTCAGAGTATGAGTTGTAGTAGTCTTGCTGTACTAAGCAAAGCTGTGGGGATGCCTGGTCATAAGTTAACCCTTCCTATCTCTGGGCTTGATTTGCTAATGTTTGTTAAGGTCTGGAATTTTTCTTTGAAATGTCTGTGTCACGATCTTTTGGCCTCATAAAATGAGTTTGGGCTGGTTTCAGTTTTCTTATGTCTCTCACAGATTTTTAGAAAAACAGTCTAGGCATTTTGTGTCTTATGTAGAATCTGTTTATTATGTTAAAGCTGTTGGGCATAAAGTTGTTCATAATACTTTGAATAATAATAACTTCTATTATTATTTTGATAGTAATCATAATTTCTATTATTATTATTGTTTTACTCTTGGACGAGAGGACCTCTCTAAGTACCCACAAGTGGTGGCCTGTAGCTCCCTCAGAGCCCAGGCTGGTCTCCCACTCAGATTCTTCTGCTTTAGTCTCCTATGTCCCGGGATAGATTACAGGGATATGTCACTGTGCCCAGCCTTAGTTGCTTACCATGCTAGGCTTATTTCTAAGTATCCAGCTCCTCATTGGCTCCAGTGGCAGAGGCAGGAGCTGTATTCTGCTGGATCTTGTTTATATGCCATTTCATGTTCCCTGTTTCCTCGGCTTTTCAGACTGCACATGGTTCGTCTGATGCTGTTGGAGAGATTACTGCAGACACTACCCCAGTTACGAAATGTTGGGGGTGTCCGAGCCATCCCATACATGCAGGTATTTCTCAATTCTCCTGGATCAGCTGTGTTACTGTTAGGCTACCCTGGGACAGTGCACTTTTTCAGAGGCCTCAGAAGGCTGGTGTTAAAGTTACAAAAAGGATGGAATGCAGCCTGAGCTGCAAGTTGCAGCCCTTCAGGTTATAGCTGTGGTTAGGGGATGTCCAAGGTCGTCCAGCTAGGTAACTGACAGAACTAGAGCACAAGGCTTTTCCTGACACACAGTCTGTGTTTCTCTCTATCCTCAGTACTAGAGTACACTGTTCTCTAATTCTCAGATGAACACAGTATCCTCTTTCAAACCTCTTTGATTGGCGTGTTACTCGATAGTTTTATAAAGTTATAAAGTCTTTTCAACGATGCCCCAAATGGCACAGGTTAAAATTTGATTTTTACAACTCTGAGCACTTAAACTTGGGCAGACCTTAGAATCTAGAATTATCCCCTGCATCTCAGGCTGGTCAGAGAAGTCAGCAAGGTCAAGATTGCTTCATGACACACATGCTCTACCATTCTGCCTTGGGAAATTGACTCTCTGTGTTCACTCTCTGCTTGCTAGGTCATTCTGATGCTCACAACAGATCTGGATGGAGAAGATGAGAAAGACAAGGGGGCCCTGGACAACCTGCTCTCCCAGCTCATTGCTGAGCTTGGCATGGACAAAAAGGTAAAACTTGAAAGGTATGAAGAGCAGGGATTAGCCAGGAGTCTTTTTTAGGTTCTTCCTTTCCTAGGGGAACTTCCTCTGGATTCTAGTTTGATTTCTGCTGCTGTGACAGAAGCAGCATTAAAGGAGGGAGGATTTATTCAGCTTACTGATCAGGTTATAGTCATCATTACAGGAAAGATGGGAATGGACACATGGTAGTGCTCAGTTAGCTTTCTGTGTGTCTATAGATAGATGGAAAGAGGGAGGGAAGGATGAATGGTAGAGGGATGGATGGAAAGAGGGAGGGAGAGATAGAGGGATGGATGGATGGATGGAGGGATAGGTAGATGGAGGAATGGATAGATAGAGATAGAGGGAGGGATGGATAGATAGAGAGATAGATGGATAGATAGGGAGGTGGTCAGACAGATAGACACACACACACCCCAGGCATGGTTTCTCTTCATAGCCTTGACTGCCTTGACCTCTTAGGCCAGGTGGGCCTCTGTTGCCTCCCTGCTGGGATTAAAAAAATACTCTCTCAGTGCCCAACTGCTTTTTCTATTCTATATAGTCCTGAGCACAGATTCTAGGAATGGTGTCTGATACCTGCTTTCAGCCTATGTTTTTCTACATTAATTAATCAGGGCAGTCCCTCACAGACATTTGCACATGACAGCTTGATCCATAAATCTCTCATTAAAACTCTTCCCAGGTTACTCTAGATTATATCAAGTTGGCATTTAGAGTAACCATCACAAGGGGTAAATGCCTACTGTAGCCTCTAGTTCAGGGGACTCAAAATAGTGAGTGCAGTACCTCCCTTAGCAAAGTAAAAGTAAAAGCATGAAGGTTGTTGTTTAGATCTTCCCATGGCCTCTGAGTGCAGCGGCCTCTATTGCCCCAGGCGTGGGGGATCTTGTAGGAGCTTAGAGGAGGCATATGCATCTGAACTTCTGTTTCTGCTGCAGGATGTCTCCAAGAAGAACGAGCGCAGTGCCTTGAACGAAGTCCATTTGGTTGTAATGAGACTCCTGAGTGTCTTCATGTCCCGCACCAAGTCTGGTTCCAAGTCTTCCATCTGTGAGGTATTTGTGCTTTGCGCTTACAGGTTGGAGGCAAGGTAAGAGGATGGAGTGGTTAGTGCAGGGCTGCAGGCAGAGGTGACAGTCCTCTGCTAACCATTGTCACTTAAGGAAGAAAGTATGAGTCTGTCCCTCTTCAGGAGCAGAACTTCTCCCCTTTTCACAGTCTCTTCCAAGCCCAGGTCTTTACCAACAATCCCTCCAGTGGAGGGGTTAAAGGGCTTCCACTATTGAAAAGCAAGGGCCTGTTCTGCACAGCACAGAGTAGCTAAGAGGATTCCTCAGTGTCTGTTGCTATAAGGTATGGTAATAGAGCAGAGAGAAAGCCAAGTGTGTGTGCTCAAAGGAGATTAGCACAAAGCAGAGACGGTGGAAATCGAGGCTGAACTGCATCCAATCTTAATGAGCTTATGGCTGTGTGGTTTGCTGGGATTTTAAGGCTCTTCTAATGGTCTTATGTACAGTAGCTTTGCTCCTTCCTGCTGCTTATGCATGCGCTCACTCACCCCATCTCCATCTGAGCCTGGCTTTCTGGAAGCACCCTGCTGGGAGGGAGAGGTTGCCAAGAAGGACCTAGAGTGGAACTTTTGTCTCTCCTTCAAAATAGCTGCTGTTTGCTTTGCTTCAGGAGAAAGGGAAAGTCTAGCTCTGGAGAGAAAGGTGATCATGGTTTCGCCTCCCTGGCACAGAGGTGTTGTGAGGCCAGGTTGAGAATTAGCATTTATTTTCTCTTAGATATAGTTGTTGAAAGAGCTGGGAGAGTGATTAAAGCAGTCGAGAAACTTGTTATGCAACAGACTGGTGAATGCGTGTCTGTAAGGACTGATCCTAAGACTGCTGTGTGCTGAGTGCATTGCCTGGCTGATGCTGATTCAGTTTTTACACCACACCCTTGCCTGCTCTGTGTTTTTTTCCTTTCAGTCATCTTCCCTCATCTCCAGTGCTACGGCAGCAGCCCTGCTGAGCTCGGGGGCTGTGGACTATTGTCTCCATGTGCTCAAGTCTCTGCTGGAATACTGGAAGAGCCAGCAGAATGATGAGGAGCCCGTGGCCACCAGCCAGTTGTTGAAACCACACACAACGTCATCCCCACCAGATATGAGTCCATTCTTTCTCCGCCAGTATGTGAAGGTAAGGCCTCTCCTCAGAGCTGTGTGTTCTGCCCTCCCTAAGCTAGGAAGACTACATTGGAAGCCACACAGGAAGGTGGGTTCTAATCTCGAAATGACTTAACCGATGGGCAGTCCTCCCAACCACTTCTGGGGGGGATTCTGATTCCTCCCTCTTTTTGTAAGCCCGAGGAAGCAAGTAAAACGAGTCATTTCATTTCCTATGAAGCTCCTTGGGAAAACGTGAGGGTGTAACATGACCCAAGCAGCAGCAATGGGTCATGTTCCCATTTGTATGTCACATACTCTACATACTTCATGAGAGGCTCATGAATATTCTAGTTATGATGGGCCTCCAGTTAGATGAGCACAGGATAAAGATAATCTCATGGACTCTTACCTACCAGCCAGGAAGAATGGAGAAATTCAACCCCGCCTCAGTAAGCCTCAGCTACTGCACCTGGAGAATAAGGATACAAATCTTACTCCTCCTAGGGTCATGAGCACTGCCAGCTCAATATTTACTTATTTATATTTATTTTGACTATTTTGAGACAGCATTTCTTTGTGTAGCCCTGACTGTCCTGGAACTAGCTCTGTAGACCAAGCCAGCCTTGAACTCACAGAGATCTGCCTGCCTCTGCCTCCCCAAGTGCTAGGAATAAAGACGTGTACCACCACTGCCCAGCTCAGCTTAATATTTATAAAGGACTTAGTGCCTGGCATCCACCAGAATGTTATCGTTATCAGTAGTAACGATTGTTACACTTTACTCTCTTTGAGTCCAGTTAGTAGACTCAGGAGAGTAGACCAGTGCTTGTTTTGAATAAGCAGGGATATGTTAGGCAAAAAAATGTCAGTATGGCCATGTGCTTCTGTTTTTCTGTCTTTTTAAATAACTGATAGATTTGTATAACTTTTACTTATTAAATTTATTTTATGTGTATAGATTTTTGTCTGCATGTAGTGTACCATGTTCATGCCTGGTGCCCATAGGGACAGAAGAGGGTGTTAAATTACCTAGGACTAGAGTTACAGATATTTATAAGCTGCCTTGTAGGTACTGGAAATTGAACATGGACCTCTGTTAATCACTGAGTAGCTGTCTCTCCAGGTCTATAATATCTTTTGGGGGAGTACTTATTGGGGACTGAAGAGATGGCCCAGCAGTGAAGAGCACTTGCTGCTCTTGCAGGACATGAATTTTGTTCTCATTCCCAGCATTGAGGCTGTTTACAGTCGCCTGTAACCCTCAGTTCCCAGGGATCTGGTACCCTCTTCTGGCATCTGTAGGCAACTAAATATATGTGACATTTACACAGACACACAATTTTAAAAAATAAGTTGTTTTTGCTTTTGTTTTTAATTGGGGACTGGAGAGATGGCCCACTGGTTAAGACATTTGCTGTTCTTACAGAGGACCTGGGTTTGATTCCTGCCATCCACATAGTGGCTTACCACCATCTGTAATCCTATTCCAGGGGATCCAACAGGCATACATGTTTTGCACATATATGGATGCAGGCAAAACATTCAAACACAAAATAAAATAAATCCTAAATGAAAAAATTTATTGCAGTTGAAAAAAATGTATATATGGGTATACACCTGTACCCCCCCCCCCCCCGTGTGTGTATATGTGTATACAACTTTTGAAAGTCAGTTTTCCTTCTATTGTGTTGATCCAAGGGATCAAACTCAGATCGTCAGACTCTGGCAGGAACCTTTACTTACTGAGCCATCTTGTTGTACAAATCCCAGAGCTTTCAAGAACCATATGCTCTGTCTCCTCAGTCATTCTGTATGCACTAAGGCTCCAGCTTTGAAAGGCATCTTAATGCTTAGTGGTTAACCAGCTTTCTTCCTGGTTGTGAGCATGGAAGACTGGTGAGCCCAGGTTCTTACAGAGATGTTCTTATAAGGGTCATGCTGCTGACGTGTTTGAAGCCTACACCCAGCTGCTCACAGAAATGGTCCTGCGGCTTCCCTACCAAATCAAAAAGATTGCAGACACCAGCTCTCGAATTCCTCCTCCTGTCTTTGATCACTCCTGGTTCTACTTTCTCTCTGAGGTGAGTGAAGCCTTGAACAGTGTCCTGTTCCTACAGTGATAAATTCCACTTTCCCCTTTCTTCTAATTTTCACTCTGTGTCCTGCACAGAGCCCTCCCATTCACTTAGGCCGCGCCCTTGCCCCTCAGGAATGTGTTGTGAAGTGATGCTGGAGTACATGGATCAGAGCACCTGTTTGCTCTTGTGTTCATGTAATGTCCCTCTAGGGTTGGCTGCCACTTCAGTCTTTGAGTTCAGTCAGGAAGACAGAATACCCTACTTTCCATCCCCCAGGGATATAGTGACAGACTGGTGACTGGTGAAATAGTTCACAGAGAAACCACACCCAGAAGCATCCCTAGCAGGAACAGGAAGCCAGCATCTTGCTCATAGCTCTGTGGGAGGGTGAGCTGCTCCTGGTGCCCTGGAGATCTCAGGAGATGCACTGTAGACCAGGCAGGGAGGAGAGCTGCTATGAGCGCTCTAGCTCTTCTGTGAATGGCTGCTGCTGAGTCTTGGACATACAAGGGGCTGAGCCAGCCCACACCTCCTGCCTTCAGCTTCCCTAAGGCTCCCCAATTGCAGGCATTAAGCAGGCACTAAGAAGCACCAAGAGGCAGTTGAGGCTGCCTGATTCTAGCCAGGCCTCACAGCAGAGTATAGTGAGGTGATCTGAAGCTGAGATGTTAGTTGAATCAGTACAGTAATCCAAGATCAACTCTGGGAAGACACTGAGAGTTGCTTGGAGGTGCGTGCTGTGCCTCCCTGCCCCATCTCCAGTTCCTTACCTGAAAGGCAGAGTTGGGGTTTGAGAAGAGAAACATGACTATTGCCCCTCACCCCAGGTTAAAATTTTTCTTTCTGTGTTACTTCCTCTTGGTCCCTTTAAGGAATTCTTAAGTTCCTCAGAGGCCAGTATGGCTGGGAGTTGACTCACTTGACCATTGGTATCCATGTGTCCTGTACCTACAGATATAACCAATTAAATATGTACCAAAAAAAGACATCTGTGCTGAGCATTTACAGACTTTTCTTGCCAGCATTCCCTGAATAGCATAGTGTAATCACTTAGAGAGCCCTTAAGTAACCTAGAGATCATTATTGCAAGAAAGATGTGTGAGGTTATCTGCAAATACAACACCATCTTACATAAGGGATCAGCACCCCCACCCAGTTCCCTGTGGATAACTGTGGCTTGGTTTGTATTCTCCTATGTTTATAGTAACAGTTTGTTTTCCAAACAAAACAGGGTATTGTAGCCACAGTGGTGCTTACAGTCCTTGAATCATTAACTGTGTTGTTTATCCCTCAAGTACTTAATGATCCAGCAGACCCCTTTTGTGCGTCGCCAAGTTCGAAAACTTCTGCTCTTCATCTGTGGATCAAAGGAGAAGTACCGACAGCTCCGAGATCTGCACACCCTGGACTCCCATGTGCGTGGGATCAAGAAGCTGCTGGAAGAGCAGGGCATCTTCCTCCGGGCCAGTGTGGTCACAGCCAGCTCTGGCTCTGCTTTGCAGTATGACACGCTCATCAGCCTGGTATGAGGGTTGGGATGATAGGGCCAAGGGCGGGCATGTGATAAGGCTCAGCCAAAGAGGTCATAGCATGGGTCAGTGCAAGGTTTTTAAATATTTCAGAAAATGCCGTGTCTTGAGTCAAGTGCCAGGTAAGTCACTGACATTGAGTAGTTGACTTGAGGGTCTGGAATTCCTACCCAGACCATCAGGGGTTCTGTACCTGTAAAGTGGGTGCATTGAGTATCTTACCCAGTGTCATTTGTTCACAAATAGGGTCAACCTAAGATTGGTACACCTCCACCTCTGCTTTTGCCCTTAAATACTAAAGAAGAGATGGGTTTAGTATAAATATGTTCTGTTGCCTAAAGAGAGACTGAACTTGATAGTGAATGGAATGTTTTTCATTTGAGCATCTCATCTTTGGTGTTAAGGATAGCCTAGCTTCCTCATTCAGTGTCCCTTTGATAGAGGGAATAGGGAAGTGAGTTGTAGCTTCTCAGGCTATGGCTTGCATTTGCCTTAGTAACGAACCTGAAGCTTCCCAGGAAACTGAAGACTGGGCTTGGGGTTGTGCAGGAGAAGATGGGGTGGTAGATGGAAGCAGAACAGGGACATTGCCTATAAGCTGCAGGAGAGTGTGGGCCCTGCTTCCAGGTCCACCAGCCAATCCAGAGGACACCTGCCTCAGGGTTACTTTGTGGTCCCAAGCCAGGACCAGCACACACAGCAGCTGGTGTTATTTCATGGCCTGATGGCAATACTCACCTGTGATTGGCTCTTGTTTCAGATGGAGCATCTGAAGGCCTGTGCAGAGATTGCCGCCCAGCGAACCATCAACTGGCAGAAGTTCTGCATCAAAGATGACTGTAAGCCGTCCTCCCTGGGTTGCCACTGTTCATCCCTGCAGAGACCATCTGTGGAGAATGCTCTGTATTAAGCTGTGAGCTGGGCTGGAGATAGACCTGTTAACAGAACACAAACCAGAACTTCAGTGATGGGGTTGCTTGTGTAAACTTGGGCTGCTGCAGCAGCACAGAGCAGGAGTGACTGGTTTCCAGGCCATAGCAGTAAAGTCTCAGAAAACAGAAGTGTAGAGCTTGTTTACTCGTCAAGGCAGTAGGGGCTGGCTCCCCTCTGTAGTCCCTCCATCCCTTTCTGATCACTCCACTGCTCCTGGTAGCATCTGGCAGAGAGAATTGGAGGAGAAAAAGCCTTCTGCCATCTACAGTTCTAATCAAGTCCCATCTCTTGCTCATGTTCTAAGCAGTTCAGTCATTCCAGAGCTGACTCCCATCTTTCTCCTCTCAGCTGTCCTCTACTTCCTCCTGCAAGTGAGTTTCCTGGTGGACGAGGGGGTGTCCCCCGTGCTGCTGCAGCTGCTTTCCTGTGCCCTGTGTGGCAGCAGAGTGCTCGCAGCCCTGGCGGCCTCCACAGGGTCCTCCAGTGGGGCTTCCTCATCAGCCCCTGCTGCGACCAGTTCTGGACAAGCAACAACTCAGTCCAAATCTTCTACCAAAAAGAGCAAGAAAGAAGAAAAGGAAAAAGAAAAAGAAGGTAAGAGTCACTGTGTGGTCCTGTGATGGGTGACATGCTAACCCCTCAGTGTACACTGTTTAACTGCAGGTTCTGAATGGTTTTACCCTGGCTTGTCCAAATGCTCCCTGTGTCTCCTGCTTACATGTTCTGTCATGGTGAAAGGGACACCTTAACTGTGGCTCTCTGTGCCAAGCGATAGAAACAGGAAAGAACAGGGTGCACTGAACGCTGTTAGCACTAAGACTGTATAATCCCCTGCACACGCTGAGCACCTGCTCTGTTGGCCAGCCCTCCCCTTGGCTTCTTCACTTTTCATGGTCCTCAAAGGCCTGAGATAGGAAACAGTGAATTAAGTTGTCATCTCTGTGTGAATACAGAGCAGTTCTTCCTGTTGAGACACCAGACTTCTTTGGGACACTCCTCCGCTGTAGTTGTTGGCTCAGTGCCATTGGTATCCTATGCATGGGGGCTGGGGTGGGCTGTGTATCAGGTGGGGCCAAACCATTTGTCCCCAAAATAACTTGAAATCATTTGGCAAATTGCTACTATTTAGCAGACATTTTTCTAAAAGATAGATTTCCTACTTTTCCACCTGGTCGTAAGACTCTGGGCCCCTGGGTGAGTTGGTCCTGCCCTGGTGTTGCAGGTGAGAGCTCGGGCAGCCAGGAGGACCAGTTGTGCACAGCTCTAGTGAACCAGCTGAACAGATTTGCAGACAAGGAGACTCTGATCCAGTTCCTGCGCTGCTTCTTGTTGGAGTCCAACTCTTCCTCAGTGCGCTGGCAGGCCCACTGCCTGACCCTGCACATCTACAGGTGGGCCAGGGCATGATTGTGGTTACTGTGTCAGTGTCTGTGCCCTTACCAAGCTCTTGGGGGTCTTTTTGTTGAGCTATATGCTTTATAGCTAATAAGCTAATGTCCTTGGCGGGAGACAGTTTCCAAACCCAAGCTCCTAAAATTTTTAGGGAGCTCCTAAAAATGATGGTTGGCTAGAGAAGCTCAGCCTGTGCTCTGGAATAAGCTTGGATGAAGCCAGTAAATTGATGTGGTACCACATCTGCTAGGATTGTCAGGGGCCACAAGACCCTGGCAGCCTGACCCATGACTGTATGTGGGAAGAGACAGTGCAAGCACAGTCTTGAGGCCTTGGTGGTAAGTGAGAGGCCTCACTCGTGGCTCCCTGCTAACCAGAGCTGCTCTCTACCACAGAAACTCCAACAAGGCTCAGCAGGAGCTCTTGCTAGATCTCATGTGGTCTATTTGGCCAGAACTCCCAGCATACGGTCGAAAGGCTGCCCAGTTTGTGGATCTTCTGGGCTATTTCTCCCTGAAAACTGCACAGACAGAGAAGAAGGTAAGAGAGAAGCCCCTCCACACACACACACTTGGAGTCATTTTTCTCTAGAAAGAGTGTCTACACCTGAAATCTTTTTTGAATCTTTCTAGTGTTATATTTGCTACTGTTGAATACAGTTTACCTTTCTCTAGTCTAAATGTCCTATAGATAGCTGGTGGAGAAGTAGGTCACGTGGGGGAGGGAAAGGTAGCTGGTTCAGCTTGGAAAGGAAGTGCTACTCACTGAGCTGGGAGGCCTGCTTGGGAGCCAGGAATGCCACTACAATGAGACAGCCACTTGCCGACTTCTATAAGAGCTTAATAGTCTTTCTCTAGATGGCAAAGGCTGCCTAGTGAGGAAGGTAGAATCTGTTAACGGGTTATGAGTTAGGACCATAGCCAGAAATACAAGAGCAAGTCTTTTTCCAATAGGATTTAGATTTTAAAATGCCTTTAATGAGTTTATTGTTTGATTGATGTTTGGGTATTGGGGACGCTGCATGTCTTGATGTACACAGGGAGGTCAGAGGTCACTTGCTATCCTATCATGTGGGTCCTGAGGATCAAACTCAGATCACTAGGTTTGGTAGCAACAGTTCTACCCCAGAGACATCTTGCAAGCTCAGGACTCGGGTTTTTAACCAGCGTGTTTCTTTCCTGAATTCTGTTCTCAGTTGAAGGAGTATTCACAGAAGGCCGTGGAGATTCTGAGGACTCAAAACCACATTCTCACCAACCATCCCAACTCCAACATATACAAGTGAGCCCTCTTTCTCCCTGCCATTTGAAGAGCAGTCACAGTTTGAAGTAGTTGTTTGCACATTGAAATTGCTTGTGCATGACCTGAGTGCCCTTTAGGTGTGGTCCCCCCAGGTAGTTGACCTTCATCTCCTGTGGAGCCCAGATCTTTGGACTCTAGAAGGCACATAGATATTAATACCAAATTCACTTTTGTGAGCAGTACAGAACTTAACCTAACCATATAAAACAAGTTTACAGAAATGTCTACCTTTTTTATTAAAAGAAAAAAGAAGTATCCCTGCACATGTGTGCCTGTGATATCTTAGGGCTTGCATGCCATGACACATGTGGAAGTCAGAGGTCAGCCTTGTGGAGTCAGTTTTATCCCCTCCTCTTACATTTATGTGGGTTCTGGGGATTGAACTCAGATTGTCAGGCTTGCTCAACAAGCCCCTTTCCCCTCTAACCTATCTTGTCAGCCTCACAGAAACTTAAAAGAACTTAAACTTAAACTTAAAAGAAGAGAGCATTAAGTTTATGTTTCTTTATTATGTTGGCTTTGTAATGACATTTTAAACGTATACATGTATATGGTATGTGTCTGTGTTCTTGTCTGTGGGCACACACGTGTACAGCGTGTAGAGTCCTGGTGCTCTAAGTTGCTTTCCATCTTATTTAAGGCAAGGTCCCTCATTTGAGCCAAGAGCTTGCTGTTGTGGATACTCTGGCCAGCTTGCTTTAGATCCCCTGTCCCTGTTCCCCAAGTGCTGGAATTGTAGACAAGCTACCATACACAGCTGGCTGGTATTGATGTGGGGTCTGGGATCTGAACTCCAGTCCTCATGCTTACATGTCAAGTACTGTGTATACTGAGCCATCTTCCTGGCTCCTTAAGTTTTAGAAAACAACTTTATTAAGTATTATTTATATAACACAAACATTTTTAACATAATTTAGGATTTTTTTTCTATAAATAGTAAATTTAATTATGACTCTGAGATTTTAATTCCTTTCTGGATTCAGACATCAGCTTAAAAGTTAGGAAACACCCCAGGTGGATTAGTTGACCTTTCTTCCTGTGCCTACTAAGACCTCTGAGCTGTAATCCCTTTCCTTCCCCTCACAGGGGGAGTGGGGAGTGGGGATGGCTTTGGCATGGTCCTGGAGGACTCTGCTGATGCTGAGACTGCTTTCTTCCCTAGCACCTTGTCTGGCTTAGTGGAGTTTGATGGCTATTACCTGGAGAGTGACCCCTGCCTGGTGTGTAATAACCCCGAGGTGCCATTCTGTGTAAGTAATACTTTGAGCAGGACAGTCTAGAGGTTTTCTGGCTCTGTGGTTCTTATTTCCAAAGACTGGTTACTGTTACTTAGGGGTTCCTCTCAGGTTGCTGCCTGGCACTGTGGATTCTTGCCCACCACAGTTGCTACCTTGAGTAGAAACTTCATCTGTGGTTGGAAAGGGGGCTGTGTTGATCAGCTTTGATGAAGATCAATGGTCTAGTGCTCATTGTGTTGTTTTGTGTGCTCTTGTATTTAGTACATCAAGCTATCTTCCATTAAAGTGGACACACGGTACACCACGACCCAGCAAGTTGTAAAGCTCATTGGCAGTCACACCATCAGTAAGGTGACAGTGAAAATTGGGGACCTGAAGCGGACCAAGATGGTGCGGACTATCAACCTGTACTACAACAACCGAACTGTGCAGGCCATTGTGGAGCTGAAAAACAAGTAAGGGCTTTGCAGGCATCACCAGGTGCAGCTGTGTCCTGCGGGTGCAGAGCAGATATGTGCAGTGGATCTGCATCCTCTCAGCCACAGTAGCGCTGGCAGAGGGACTGTAGTGAAGTGATGGCTTCTGAGGCTGTTGACATTGAGTGGCTCCCTAGGGGACCATGACAGTTCCTCACAGCCTGCCTAGGGTGGGGGCTCATTGAAAAGGGACTCCAGGTTCTCTTGCCTTGTGGAAAACTTTGTGCATTAGACAAAACAGCCCTGCATCTGCTCATAGAACAGGAAGCATTCCTCCGAGTCTTTTCCACTGCATGTTCTTCCATTTCAATGTGTTGCCCCCTCCCCCCACAAGCCAGCTTCTGGAGTAGGCATGCCATAGGTCTATGTGCTGCATGTTTTGGCTCCCCAGGGAGTCTTGGGTATTACTGAGCAGAGGTAGATGTGACTGGTCTGTTAAAGCTCAAGCGCTGCTGTGCACACAAAAGGAGAAGGCAGCTAACAGTAACCAGTGACTCAGGGCGTTGCCTAAATCTGCTCTTTGGAGAAGTCCTTGACCTTGAAAGGGCTGTTGCCTGTTAGCGTAGGCTCTCCCCTAGAGAGTAAGCATAGCCACTGGTCATTACCAGTTTCAGGGCTGCCCCTTGATACTGGATAGCCAATTGGTGTGCTCTTCCCTGAGGAAGACTGTTTCTCCTGCTCTTAGCATTCTTTAGTTGCCTGTAGTTCTGCTACAGTTAAGGCCTTGTGAGCTTTCTCCCGTCCACATTAGCATATCAGTCATTGTTGTCTGTTCAGGTAGTGTGTAGGTAGCCATGGTAGAGAAGTGTAGCTTCTCTGATGTGTCTAAGAGATAACAGTCTCCCAGCAAACTTCCTGGTCCTCTGGCACTTAGGATCCTTCTGAAATGACCCCTGAGCCTTAGGTGCAGGGCTTGTATTGTAGATGTATCAGTTGGGACTGGGCTCCACAACTCTGCATTTTGATCCATTACGGTTTTCTGCATTGGTCTCTGTCTGTTGCAAAGAGAAGTCCCTTGATGGTGGCATGAGGATTACACTTACCTGACTACCTTGGAGAATGATCCATCTTATACTTTTTTCAGAGGAAACCATAAAGGAAAAGTTTTTTCTTTGAATAGTCACTTAATTTCCTTAGAGGAATATGCAGGCTGGCCTTTCTCACACTGTCAGTCTTTTGTCACTGAGCTTTTGTCGTCTCTCCTAGGCCAGCTCGCTGGCACAAAGCCAAGAAAGTTCAGCTGACTCCTGGACAGACAGAAGTCAAGATTGACCTGCCGCTGCCTATTGTGGCCTCTAACCTGATGATCGAGTTTGCAGACTTCTATGAGAACTACCAGGCCTCCACAGAGACCCTTCAGTGTCCTCGCTGCAGTGCCTCCGTTCCCGCCAACCCAGGCGTCTGTGGCAACTGTGGCGAGAATGTATACCAGTGTCACAAGTGCAGGTAACTTGTCCTGCACATCCAGGGCAAGCATGTGCTGTCATCTCTCCTTTTACTCACCTTTTCTCCCAAACCTCTGCTCCCATTGACCTGAGCACTGTGGTTCTTCAGGTCCATCAACTATGATGAGAAGGATCCCTTCCTCTGCAATGCCTGTGGCTTCTGTAAATACGCCCGCTTTGACTTCATGCTTTACGCCAAGCCTTGCTGCGCTGTGGATCCCATCGAGAACGAAGAAGATCGAAAGAAGGTAAGGCCGCATCTGTCTTAGCCCCAGGTCATGGCTTGGCTCTGAGCTTTGGGGATAGGAGCCAGGTGACAAATGTCAGCCTCATCTGGGTCTGGAAGTAAAGGGCACTGGAGAGAGGGGGTGCCTGTTCAGGGAGACAGTGGGGCATTTGCCGTTGGAGTCGGGACAACAGCTCTCACAGCACTTGTGCTGTTTGTGTCTATGACCTGCTGTGAGTTACTTTTCAGCAAGAAATTCTTTGAATCTAGTCCATTTACATTGCACACTGCTTGCCATAAAGACTAGCATGCCACCTTGTAGGGTTGTCGTGAAGGACAGATTGTGTGGAGCCATGTACCTGGTCTGTGTAGAGGACATGTTTCAGTAGGTGACTAGTACTTAGGGCCACTAAGGGAAAATGAAGCTGAAAAGTCCCCCTCAAGTACCTGTCTCTTTGCTCTAGGCTGTTTCCAACATTAACACACTTCTGGACAAAGCTGACCGGGTTTACCATCAGCTCATGGGACATCGGCCACAGCTGGAGAACCTACTCTGCAAAGTGAATGAAGCAGCTCCAGAAAAGCCACAGGTGGTCCCAGACCAGAGGGTATTTGGGTCTGGAGTGGAAGGCTGCCCTTGGTGAGGTCATCCCTAGGGCAGAAGTCTCACACGTGATCTCTTGGGATTGTAGGAAGACTCCGGAACGGCAGGGGGCATCAGCTCCACTTCAGCCAGTGTGAATCGCTACATTCTGCAGCTGGCTCAGGAGTATTGTGGAGACTGCAAGAACTCATTTGATGAGCTCTCCAAAATCATCCAGGTAGGGTATGGGAGTAGCTTGCAGAGGGCTTTATGCTTTCAGAACAACTGTTCCCCTAGCCAGGCTCCCATTCTTAAGTGTTGTCTTTGCCTAGCAGTCGATGCTGGCTCAGCAGCTGCACCAATGGTTCCTCCCTCTCTGGGGGTGAGGCCCACTTGTCAGAGCTATTTGCGGTCAGAATCATCAGGCACGGTGGTGGGACATTAGTAGACAACACATCTTTGTTTAGTAGAGGGGGTTCCTGGTTTCTAAAAGTGAGTGCTGAGATTCTACTCCCTGTTCTTGGCTGCTGTGTTCTCAGGCTGGAGGGTCAGGGCACTCCAGCTGCAGGTGGGCCATGTTTTCCTTTAATGTTTCCACATGGTTTCCGTGGGTAGGATGCTATCCATCAGCAGTGGATCCTCGTCCCAGAAGAGTAGCCAGTTGTCCTGTCTCTCTAAGTTGCTGGTGACCTTTGCCAAATGATCTGGCTTTCTAACCCTTTAAAAGACAGTGTTTGTAGTAGTGAAGAGTTCAAGCCCGTGATCAGTCTGATTTTCAGTTCTGCCCTTGACCTTGGTCAAGCCAGTCATTCTCTGTTGAATGAGGATAAAATAAATAAGTGGTAGGATTATTGAGAAGAATAAGTTATATCATACACGTAAATTCATAGCAAACCAATTTTCCTCTTTCTCATTTATTTGTCAATTTTTTTTCTTATCTTTCCATTCTTAGAAAGTTTTTGCTTCACGCAAAGAGCTCTTAGAATATGATCTGCAGCAAAGGGAAGCAGCCACAAAGTCATCCCGAACATCCGTGCAGCCCACGTTCACTGCCAGCCAGTACCGTGCTTTGTCTGTCTTAGGCTGTGGCCACACCTCGTCCACCAAGTGCTATGGCTGTGCCTCAGCTGTCACAGAGCACTGCATCACACTACTGAGGGCCCTGGCCACCAATCCAGCTCTGAGGCACATCCTCGTCTCCCAGGGCCTCATCCGAGAGCTCTTTGATTACAACCTCCGCAGAGGAGCTTCAGCCATTCGTGAAGAGGTCCGCCAGCTCATGTGCCTCCTGACTAGGTCAGAACTTGCTCCTTGACCCAGGGGTGGTGGCAACAGCAATGCTAGCACTAGGAGTGCAAAGTTGAGCCAAGCGGTGCCTAGTTTATCCCAGAGGAAGTGAGGGAAGATGGGAGGTGAGTGGATGGGGGAAGCACCACAGTCAGCTCTTTGAGTGTGCTGCTTGGTGGTGCTTTGTTGGTTCAGGTGGTGTGTCCTGTGAGTGGCATGTTGGTTCAGGTGGTGGTGTGTCCTGAGGGAACTTCCTTGGTGGGAGAGGATAAGAGAATAAAGTAACACTTGAACTCAAAAAATTTGCAGAAAAAAAAAAATCAAGAAAAAGAAGCCAGAGGGGGTTTAGGGATGAGTACTTAGACTCTAGTCAGAAAGGACTGGGTTTAAGATCTGGCACTGTGCACTGCCTTGGACAAAAGACTCATCTGAGAAATATCAGTAATAGCAAATACCTTAAAGATGGTGATGTCAGGGGTGAAAATTCAGTAAGTGGTGGCTGGAGAGAAGGCTCGGCCTGGAATTCCGTTCCCGGCTGGGATAGGCCTATTCCAGGATGCCGAGAGTGGCAGAGGCCTGCAGAGCTGGAGAGCACAAGGATACAGGTGGTGTAGAGAGAAAGGAGTATTAGCGCTGGAAACAGCTGTGCTATTTGAGCATTTGGGTTCCTGTGTAGTGTATTTTGTTGATAATAATAGTAGAGATGTTATTAAGGACTAACATAGAAGGGAAATGGGGTGCTGTGTAGGAAGTGATACGGAGTCCACACTGAGCGTGGACTCAGGTTTTGGAGATGGACACCACCTACAGCATGACCCTCCTTGCTAACGCGTGCTTCCTTCTGTCGCTGCCCTTAGGAAAAGGGGCTGTACTCATCCCCTCCCACCATAGGCCCAGTAGTTCAAAGATGTAGTCTTGCTCCTGGGAAGAAGGTAGAAAAGTCGGGGCCAGATAGCCCTTGCCATCCATGCATCCATTTTTTTCTGGGCTCTGCTGTGAAGATGGCCATGGCGTGCATGCTCACTGTGACAAACAAGACTCTTTGCTTCCCCAGAGACAACCCAGAGGCCACCCAGCAAATGAACGACCTGATCATTAGCAAAGTCTCCACAGCCCTGAAAGGCCACTGGGCCAATCCTGACCTGGTAAGTAGAGCAGCTGTCCTTTCTGACCTCTTCCTTGCAGTCCTTCTTTGTCGCTGACCGCTTCTCCAGGCCAGTGTTGGAGACCAAAGTGGGAGGGACCAGACTGTGTGTAGAGAGTTTATTGTCAGCTAGAGCCTGTAGCATGGGGTCTCCGATGTCTCCTTGTCCTAGTAGGCCTCCCCTGGCTAGAGATTTTAATAGGAGACCTGTAATTAGAGTTTAGATCCTGACTCCCCTCATCCTGTTGTCCTTCCAGGCAAGCAGTCTTCAGTATGAGATGTTGCTGCTGACGGATTCCATCTCCAAGGAGGACAACTGCTGGGAGCTCCGCTTACGCTGTGGTGAGCTTGGGGACCATCTGGGTGGGTGCTTTTCAGAAAACAGAAAGGTGCAGTCCTGGTACCCAGGCAAGAGGTAGGGGGAAGATGACTCGGGCAGCCTTGTTGGGGCAGGTAACCCATGTGTACTGATTGTGGCTTCTTCTCATCACCAGCACTCAGTCTTTTCCTTATGGCCGTGAACATCAAAACACCAGTGGTTGTTGAGAACATCACCCTTATGTGCCTGCGGATCTTACAGAAGCTGATTAAGCCACCTGCCCCAACCAGCAAGAAAAACAAGGTGATGTGCCATTGGGCATGAGCGGGGTGGGGGAAGGTGATGGAGCTTGAAGAGTTACACAGCCTCTGAGCACTGAGCACTGTACCCTGCTTCCTCAAGGTCACTTCTCTGACTGATGTGATCACCAGGCTGTCTTTGCTTTAGTTCAGCAGAGGTGGGTTGGGATTTTTGAGGAGTATAGTGTAATACAAACTATACAGTATAAAAGCTAGAGCAGAGCGAGGCCTTTGAAATACTGAGACAGATGGCCTGTGACTCCCTTTACTACATCTGCACCTTTGTATATGCTTTATGAATATGGGTGGAAATCCATGACCCTAAAATAGACTTGAGGTCAAATCCCAGCTCTGCTGTTTACTGACATCAAGACTGAGCAGGCTAGTTGTATTCTTCAGTTTGCTCATCTCTGAGATGTAAAGTAGTGACCACCTCGAAACTTAGAAAAAATAAATGATGTAATGAATTCTTTGAGTCTAAGAATGGTTTGACTTAATTTGTGTCTAATACTTAGGATCTAGTGTGGTATCCAGCATTCAATAGCTGCTCAGTAAGTCTTCATTAAGTGGAGAGTAAAACTCTTAACCGCAGTCACATGTGTGCAGCTGTACGAAGCCAGCACTCCAAAGTCTGTGGCCTCAGCGTCAGCATGGAGATGGCCCTCCTCACGTGGGTGCAGACCTCACGTGGGTGCAGACCTCACGTGGGTGCAGACCTCACGTGGGTGCAGACCTCACGTGGGTGCAGATAGTATTAGCAAGATCTGGGGCAGCAGAGCTGCATGTTGTTTTTCATGAAGTTTCTGGAGTGTCGGTGCCATTCCACGCTGGGGCCTAGGTGTGCAGGTTACATCTCACCTTGTTCTGCTCTCTCATTCAGGATGTCCCTGTTGAGGCCCTCACCACGGTGAAGCCATACTGCAACGAGATCCATGCCCAGGCCCAGCTGTGGCTCAAGAGAGATCCCAAGGCATCTTACGAAGCCTGGAAGAAGTGTCTGCCCACCCGAGGTGGGTCTCTTCCCTCCAGCCATTCAGCAGCCCCTGTTTTTGCTGTGCTTTCCTGCTTACCCCTGTCTTTGCCTTGCAGGGGTAGATGGCAATGGGAAGTCCCCCAGCAAGTCAGAGCTCCACCGTCTCTACTTGACTGAGAAGTATGTGTGGAGATGGAAACAGTTCCTGAGCCGTCGGGGGAAGAGGACCACCCCTCTCGACCTCAAGCTGGGCCACAACAACTGGCTGCGGCAGGTGAGTACCCTCCACCTGCCGTTCTCTGCCCTGCTTTCTCGCTCTCCATTTACTGTTGTTCGCCTTCTTTCAGTGGAAGTTCTTGAGTGCAGCCCCCAGTAGGGACAGGTCAGTACAGCTGGCCTCTGCTGCTTGTGCCCCCTGACATGCCACCCAGTTCCCCCAGAGAGGCAAACCAGTGCCTGTATTCATTTCCCTTGCTGCCTTCTGTTATTGAGCTCCACTATTCTTTCCCTCCTTCAAGCTAAGTTTTCAAGAATTAACTTTAGCCAGGCACTTGATCCCAGCACCCGGGAGGCACCTGGTCTGCTTATCAAGTTTCAGGCCAGCCAAGGCTACATAGTGAGACCTTGTCTCAAACCACCCCCATTCCTACCCTCCCCTCAAGAAAGTCTTTCTTTGTTTTCTGTTGCTAAGCAAGAGATGTTCAGCTTACGCTCAACTAGAGTTAGCCCACTAACAGGTATCCCCAAGAAAGAACTCTCGAGGGCTTGGCAACGTGAATGCTCATTGGATTTCTCCTCCCTCATTGACGCTTGGTACTATTCTGATTCCCCTTGTGTTGATCTGGTAAAATACCAACCAAAAGCAACTTGAGAAGGAATTGAGTTATTGGATTGTTCATCAAAGACGCAGGCCATCATTGACGGAAGGGCAGGAACTTGAAGCAGAAACTATGGCTTGCTTGCTCACGGTTCATCCTTAGCCAGCTTTATTATATATAGCTCAGGACCACCTGCTGGGGGATGGTGCCACCTGCAACGTGTTGGGCCCTCCTGAATCAATTAACAATCAAGACAGTATCTCACAGGCATGCTTACAGTCCAATCAGATAGTTACTCAGTTGGGGCTCTTTTGAGGTAATTCTGCACTTTGTCAAGTTAACAGTTAATGCTAACTAGGAGCAGTGTGTTCTCCAAGTTGCTTGGAGAATTTTCTATGAAGCAAGAAGCTCTCTAGCAGCCTTTCTCAAGTCTGCAGCCACTGGGTACTGGGTTAACTGGTGGTGTGGACCCTTCACTGTGCCCAGAGAAATAGTCAGAATTCTGAGTGTGTGGAAGTCAGCTCATGTTCTGGGCCTAGAAAAACAGGGTGGCCTCTGAGCCGGCCCTATTTTCTCTCCTGTGTCTGGCAGGTACTCTTTACCCCAGCGACACAGGCAGCACGGCAAGCAGCATGTACCATCGTGGAAGCTCTTGCTACTGTCCCCAGCCGCAAGCAACAGGTCCTTGACCTTCTCACCAGGTACCATGTGGGGGTAGGGTAGGTTGGGACAGTGGCTAGCGTGGTCGAGCCTTTTCCTCGTGCTCTGGTGAATACATAGGTCAGGGTTGGGAGGCACCCCTGAGTGGTATATAACCATCTTGGTCCCTGCCACAGAAACCACACAGAGCTTTAGGAATATTAGTGGTAAAACAGCAGTGGGTATTCATTGAGCGCCTCTGAGCACAGGCATAATTGTCACTCATTGTCCTCTGCAGTCCTCGAGCAGCGAGCATGGATGCTCAGAGGCTTGGCAGCCATTCCCTGAAGTGTTGTGAATCCTTTCAGCAAGGAAAGTGTGAGGTTTCTCAGATGACCTCCATCCACCTCAAGAAGGAGGGAAGAGAGGCTGAGCAGTAGATACAAAGGAGGGAGCTGCTGGGCTCTGCGATGTTAGTCCCTAAAGGTGCCTTGCCCTGTCTCTGGTACAGTTACCTGGACGAGCTGAGTGTAGCTGGGGAGTGTGCTGCAGAGTACCTGGCTCTCTACCAGAAACTCATCGCCTCATGTCACTGGAAAGTCTACCTGGCTGCTCGGGGAGTCCTGCCCTATGTGGGCAACCTCATCACCAAGGTGATCTATCCCTTCCCCAGCTCCTCCTCTGCTTTGGAAGGCTCTTTTGTCAGATTCTTGTTTTCTGAGAAGCATTTGTTGAAAATAATTATTTTCTAGACTTTACTGTAACTAGAAGGCCCATGGCAGACTGTTGGGGGAATTTCAGCTGTTTCAGGGTTAAGCAGTTCCTCGGCAGTATTCCAGCCATCTTTGGCTTCTTGGAAAGGCATTTTTCAAGGATTAGAATGAACGCGTGACTTTTGAGCACCTTTGGTTGGTGCTACATCATGGGATGGCGGTGGAGGCGGGCCCTATCACACTGTGCTTGTCATCCTGTTTAGGAAATCGCCCGCTTGCTGGCCCTGGAGGAGGCCACCCTGAGCACAGATCTGCAGCAGGGCTATGCCCTCAAAAGTCTCACAGGTAGAGAGCCACCCAGCCCTTCCCTTGGGTGTCTTGGGTATGCTTTAGTCCTGAGCCATTGCTCCTTGGTGCTGGTCAACTTCTCTCTGGGACTTTTTTCCTCGTAGATGGGCCTGCACTTCTGAGTCCTCACTGCTGGCCGTTTGGCTTATTGAGCGTCTGTGCAAAGGAAGACACTTGCACAGTCCTTGCTTTTTTCTTTTCTCCTTTCTTTGGATAGCCCAGGCCTTCCGTATTCTCTTCCCAAGATCTCACAGCAGGTTTTCCGTGTCCCTGCAGGCCTTCTCTCCTCCTTTGTAGAGGTGGAGTCCATCAAAAGGCATTTTAAGAGCCGCCTGGTGGGCACTGTGCTGAATGGGTACCTGTGCTTGCGGAAGCTAGTGCTGCAGAGGACCAAGCTCATCGATGAGACTCAGGACATGCTGTTGGAGATGCTAGAGGACATGACTACAGGTAATGCCCCCTGGCAGCTTGGAGCTGCAGAGGTGCACATGTGCACTGTCTCTGAGTGCCGCAGTACTAGAGAATGGGTTACGAATCTCACACTTGGGGAGAGAAGCCTATCTCAAGAGCACTGTGGTGCTCAGTGTTACAGTCCTAGGGCTGAACTCACGTGTACTTTTCCTGGGTTGCGCTCATAGGAAGGAAGGGGTTGGAGGTCTCAGGCTGGTATCTTCAGTCATCTGGAATGTCAGTGGCCTTGCTGTGTTCTTGCTACCTTTTCCTTATATAACTCCACCCTGTCTGTTCGTCACTATTTATCCTGTTACTCTACTGTTGATTTCTTAGAACTCTAGATTTTGTAGTCAAGAGACTCCTTCCTTCCTTCCTTCCTTCCTTCCTTCCTTCCTTCCTTCCTTCCTTTTTCTTTTCTTTTCTTTTCTTTTCTTTTCTTTTCTTTTCTTTTCTTTTTTTGAGGAGGGAGTGGTTAAGACAGGGTTTCTCTGTGTAGCCCCGGCTGGTTGAACTCAGAGACCTGCAGAGTGTTGGGATTAAAGGCATGTACTGACACCTCTCTGCTGAGACTTCTCATTTCTTAACTTTCTCATAATCTATGAAATGTATTTGTGCTTGATCACTCTTTTTAAATTTCCTGTGGCCTGTTCTACTGTTTGTCTTTCTGCTTCTTAGGTGGTGTTCTCAAACTGGTGTTTTATGATTTGGATGGTGATTTGACTTCTTATTTCTAAAGTTTATTGTAGAAATTCTTTATGGCAGCTGCCTATTATCTAACACTTGGGAGGCTGAGGCAGGAGGATTTGTGTGGGCTACATGACAAAACCCTGCCTCATAGAACTAAGAGAACACGTGCAGTGGTGGTACACACCTTTAGTCCCAGCACAAGGGAAGCAGAGACAGGTGGATCTCTTGAGTTCAAGACCAGTCTGGTCTGCAGAGCAAGTTTTGGGACAGCTAAGGCTACACAGAGATCTTGGGGGGGAAAACAACAAAAACAAAAACCCACTAAGAGAAGAGCTGGAGAATGCTGAGTGCTTCAGAGCTCTTGCTGCTCTTGCAGGGAGTCTGAACTTGGTTCCAGCACAGCTTACAACCACCTATGACTCCACTCCCAAGGAATCCAACACCCTTCTCTGGCCTCCTTCAAACACATGCATGCACAGACCCACAGACCCCCACACATAGACATTAGTGAAAATCAAAAGCAGAGGAAAAGAACATTCTTCAGGCCCTGTGCAAGCTGGTCTTCTCCAGGTGGGTCTGTGACTGCTGTCTCTGTGAGGACCCCTAGACTGTCCCTGGCATGCCTTCATCCAACTTTCTCAGACTTTGGTAGTGTAAAGTTTGGGCGTCACACGTGTGGGAGGGGATGTCTTGTTAGCTCTCGTATTTGTCCCCCGGCTCGCTGCCATTATTGTAAAGAACAGTTTGCTTTCAGTTGTGTGGATGGAGAAAAGAGAAAGTGGTTCCTAGTTGATCTTCATACCGAGAGTTTAGCTATGCTGCTAAGGTACCAGATGTGGGATGGCTAGAGGGTACGCAGTCTCCTGGACACTAAAGCTTAAGACCTAAACTGCTGTGATTGCTTCTCTCTGGGCCCAAACTACTTCTGTAGGCTTTGTTCCTCACTAGTGTAATAGTTCACTGTCAATTTGAAGTTGTTTTCAAGTACTGGGTGTGGAGAGTTCAGCTAGTGACCCTCATCTGCCTGAATACCCAAGAGGGAAGTCCTTAGATGTTTGGGGGAGCCTGTTTGGGGGAAAGGAAGTGTGGTCCTTCTCCTTAAGGGAAGTTGTGCTCCCAGAGAGAGCAGAAAAGCACACAGCTAGCTGTGATGTAGGGGATTGATTTGGGATGTAGGATTATCACAACAGGACTACTGATATTCCCGTGTAGGGCACTCAGAATCTGAAAAATGGTGTTTCATTGTCTCAGCTCAGTTCATGTGGCTGAAGCATTTTCCTAACTCATGGCTCCTTTGCTCTCTGGCAGGAACAGAGTCTGAAACCAAAGCCTTCATGGCTGTGTGCATTGAGACAGCCAAGCGCTACAATCTGGATGACTACCGGACTCCTGTGTTCATCTTTGAGAGACTGTGCAGCATCATCTACCCTGTAAGCAGTGTGCTTGTTGTAATAATATCATTATCACCAGACCCACTGACAAAAAGTAGAAGTAGCTTCTTACGGTGGGCCAAGATTAGCCTTTGTCTGTTTGTTTTTAGGACAGGGTTTCTCTGTAGCTTTGGAGCCTGTCCTGGAACTACCTCTGTAGAACAGGCTGGTGTCAAAGTCACAGAGATCCTCCTGTCTCTGCCTCCTGAGTGCTGGGATTAAAAGGTGTGCGCCACCACAGTCTGGCATAATTTGCCTTTTTAAAAATTAGATCTCACAGCCCATTGCAGGTGCAGCAGCAGTTTTGGAATACAGTTGGGTATACCGTCATGTCTTCCTCCTCTTCTATACCTTGGGATATGCATGCTAGTTACATATGTGTCTTTCCTATGGTCTGGTCCAGAGACTTTTCTTATTGTTGAAACACCAACATCCTCAGTTACTGATGAAAGAGCATTGGGGTCGACGTGCCTGAGTGTATCACTGAGAGAAACCCCTTCTCTACTCCAAGTCTCCAGTGACTCTTGCCCAGCCTCCGGCTGGTCTGCCTCTCACCAGACAGCACCTTGTTCCATTAGGCTGTCTCTCCTCGAGGAGTGTATGATGCTTCAGGTGCTCACATCATGTTTAGAATGACCTTGGGGCCGTTGTCTCCAAGTGTGCAAGTGTAAGGTGTGCTGCACTTGCTGTGTTTTCCTCCTGGTGCCCACAGAACAGTCAGTGCTGTAACTCTTCTCTGCTGTCCTTTCTGACATGTTCTTCTTTTCCTTTAGGAGGAGAATGAAGTCACTGAGTTCTTTGTGACCCTGGAGAAGGATCCCCAGCAAGAGGACTTTCTACAGGGCAGGATGCCTGGAAACCCGTATAGCAGCAATGAGCCAGGCATTGGGCCTCTTATGAGGGACATAAAGAACAAGATTTGCCAGGACTGTGACTTGGTGGCTCTTCTGGAGGATGACAGTGGGATGGAGGTAAGAGACTGCACTGGTCACTCACCACCAGTGTGGGCTGGGTCGCACCTGGATGTTTCTTGTAGGTCATTGGTTAACCAGATAGATAGTCTGTAAAGTGGGGCAGATCCCATCTTCTGCCTCTGCTGCTGGTAAGGTCAGTGACCCATGGAAGGCTCTGACAAGTTCCTGGCATGACACAGGAGGAAACTTGGTAGTTATTGCTTGGAGTAGTGGTAGGATTTTGTTACTGTTGCTTCTGGAGGAGTTTTCTAGAGGTTCCAGGTTAATGGAGCCCCAGGGATCTTGGTGCTTTGACTCTGGTACATGGGTCATAGCTCCTGTTAACACCTTGAGCCTTATGCTTCTGGCAGATGACTTCCCAGGTCTGGTGTTACCATCTCTGTGACTAAAGGCAAAGGTGGATTTTCTGGTGCTGAGCCCAAAATGGGCTCAAGGTAAAAAGTCTTCAGTTGGATCAGAGCTGGAATCCATGGTGGGTTAAGGGTCTTTCACACAAAATGCTGGGTGTAGTGCACACGCATTTTCTCCAGAGCTAAGTGTTGACAGAGCCCTGTGATGGGTGGCAAGTGTAGCCCATGAACCCTTGCCTAGGCACCTTCAGTCTTTATATGGAGTCATAAGCAGTCACGTTAGTAATCCCCTCCTCCACTTTTCAGCTCCTAGTGAACAATAAGATCATCAGCCTGGACCTGCCTGTGGCGGAGGTTTACAAGAAGGTCTGGTGTACCACGAATGAGGTATGTGCTTGCTTTCTCTCCAGGATCTGGGGTGTGCTGCCTTTTCTGCCTTAAGGACTGATTTAATGGAACTGATGTTAATCATGACCTACGTGTGGCCACTGTAACTCTACTTCCTTTCTGTGTGTGAAGCAAATCCATCATCTTGTCAGCTTGGGAGGCATTTAGCTAATGTGGGTCAGGTAGACTTCAAGGAATCTTTAGTGACCTTTGCTTCTCACCTCTGAACTGAGGCTGGACCTCTAGGGTCCCCAGGATGGTGCTGGCACAGACAGACTATCCCAGCAGCTCCTTGACAATCCCAGGCTGTGGGTGTCAGTTTGGTAATTGGGATGAACCTTCCGTATTGTGTGCCGTAAATGAAGACCGTGGTCGTCCATAAGAAAGACTGATGTGCCTGCTCTCTGTTCCTGAACCTTGAACCACACACTTTGGTCCAGATACACTTGTTTGTCCTGATGGGCACAGGCTTAGAATTGGGCCTCGACTTCTAGCCTAGGCAAGCATGCAGTCCAACCTTGTCTAACAGGTTTGATCAGCACAGGACTCAGCACGGAGTAAAACATTTGGGGACTAGTTGTCAGAGTGCTTACCTTAGCGTCTTAATGACACCAGCTAGAATTGCATCTCTGCAGTGCTTCACAGTGCCAGGCCTACAGCAGACACTGAACCAAGTGAAACTTAGGCTGCTTTACATCTCCACTGTTATATTACCACAGCATTGAGCAAGTTCAAGGGTGACTTTGTTTTTTAAGTCTACCTCTCCAAATTTCTCTGCTTAGGGAGAACCCATGAGGATTGTTTATCGAATGCGGGGGCTGCTGGGTGATGCCACTGAGGAGTTCATTGAGTCCCTGGACTCCACCACAGGTACGGCGCTCCACATAGACAGTGCTGCATATTGAACTTTGGGCCAGAGCAGCCATGTCCCAAAGATGGTAGCCTGTGCTCTGCATCATAATTGTAGCGAAGAAAGACAGGCATCCGTGGCCTGATTTGGATACCTGATTGGGATAAAAACATTCAAGCTGCAGTTAGCAGACTTGAGATCAGATTTCTTCCTGCCTTAGCTCTCTGTTCCATTGAAGTAGTTGAAAAAGTTTTTGCCTGTACTTTGTTGTAATAGCAGAAAACATTAATTATCTTACACTTGGAGCAGGGCTCCTATGGCAGTGAGAGCATATAGGTCAGAGTAATGACCCTGTAGACCGGGAAAGAGCCGTGTTCTCAGTCTAGGGAAGGGTTGTGTGTTTTGATCCTTTTACTTTGATTTTCAATTTCTCTCCTCTTCATTTCCCTTTCCTCCCAGATGAAGAAGAAGATGAGGAAGAAGTGTACAAGATGGCCAATGTGATGGCCCAGTGTGGGGGTCTAGAATGCATGCTTAACAGACTAGCAGGAATCAAAGATTTTAAGCAAGGACGCCACCTTCTAACAGTGAGTTGTGGGCAGTCTGGTGGGGGCTCTCTCTACACAAAGCTGTGATCATTGAGCCACTTGTCACTAGAGGGCAGTGTGGTGCAGCAGAGACCAGTGCAAGCCAGTGAAGGACCTGGCGTTATCCCAGACTTTTGACATCTAAGTCTCCCACTGCTTTCTTCCTGGCCTACTCCACTTAAAAACCAGGGCGGTGGCAGTCTTCTCCAATCTCTCTTTAGGTATCAGAGGAACCGATAACTGTTTCCCCTAAAAACTGCTCTTGTGCTAGTCATCGTTGTTGTTTTATAATTGCCTCTTAAATAGATTTTTATTTCTCCTGGAGGGTCCTCTGTCTCACTAGTCAGGGGATTCTAGTGGAACCACAGAGATTTCACTAATATCTTTACCTTCCAGGGTGTTCAATAACTCTTGTGTCATTTCAGTGGCCCTACCTGGCTCTTGGCCTCCATAGGCTACGTGTGTTGGGGTGTTCTGTCTGCTACTAGTTCAGAGTCTTGGGTACTTGATTTCCCCAGAATGGTGGGACACCAACTAATGTATGAGGAACCCCTGTCACTGCTATCATGTAGAGAGAAATCTAGAGAGTGCTGGCACTTGCTGCCAACCTTGTATGGGATCCCAGCCACCTGACCCCGCCATTTAAGGGTCACCCTGCACTGCAGGAAGAGTATCTACTGTTTGGGACGTCTTCTTAGGCACGTTTGACACTCATGCTTGCACATTTTACGGACGTGGGTGCTCTCGTGGTTCTGAGCTGGCCTCTCCTCACAGGTGCTGCTGAAGCTGTTTAGTTACTGCGTAAAGGTGAAAGTCAACCGGCAACAGCTGGTTAAGCTGGAAATGAACACTCTGAATGTCATGCTGGGGACTTTAAACTTGGTAAGAGTGCGGGCCACAGATGATGAAGACTGGCTTTGGCAGTCCTGAATGAGAGCTCTCGGCTCTCAGCCTGGTTCTTCAGTTCTCTTCTCCTGGTGACTCACACTCATGCTGCTCTCGTGGCATCTCAGAGCTTCCTGTCCCTTTGCTGAGTGCAGAGTCGAGACCAGAAGCAGAAGTCTATAGAACAGACCCAACACTGCAAGGGCGTAGTGCCTCTCTTTCCTCAGGGCACCCAAGAATGAGGCCCAGAACATCCCATTTCCACTGTCTCCCTCTCAGATATGCATTGCACACATATACACTTTCACGCATGCACACACACGCACACATACACACACACACACACACACACACACACACAGAGGGCTTTAAAACCATGAAAGGCAGCGGAGGTCACCAGCAGGGAGTGGCTGTGGTTGTGTCCTGAGAGTCACTGGGTCTCTTCCTTCAGGCTCTGGTAGCTGAACAAGAGAGCAAGGACAGTGGAGGAGCTGCTGTGGCTGAGCAGGTGCTGAGCATCATGGAGATCATTCTAGATGAGTCCAATGCAGAGCCCCTGAGTGAGGACAAGGTGAGTGGGGGCCTGGTCCCTCTGCCCATAGACACTGGGAACCAACAATGGGCTTGTTTGAAGGTAGCTGAACTCAACTCAAAATGGCTGAACTCATGTTAGGAGTGATCAGGGCTCTAATCAGAGTGATGTCATTGTACTGAGTCTGAGACCTTTGCATTCAGGGGGAACAAAGCTGCCAAGGATGTTCTTTCAGTCTGAAGGTGCGCATTCATGGAACCCAGGCATGACCTGAATAGGCAGTATGTAGTTCAGCCCTTCACTTTAGAGTTGAGAGGGGTTGTGACTGGTACAGCCCTACACTGCAGTCTCTCCCGTCTGCACCTGGACTTCCTGCCTTCTGGGGTTGGTGATTAGGGGGCCTGTGACCCCAGGAGTGTCTAGCAGTCTCCATTCTCCTGGGGAGCAGGATGTTGCATTGGTCATCTCAGCAGCTTGGAAATTCAGCAGTGGAAATCCAGGCAGCTTATTGTTCTAGCAAGTACTAAATAAAGAACAGAACAGTTCTGTCTGGTGAGAGTGGCTGACTTTGGGGTCAGTTCTTAGCTACAGCCACCATCCTGACTTCCATCCTCTTTTGTTGCAGGGCAACCTCCTCCTCACAGGTGACAAGGATCAACTGGTGATGCTCTTGGACCAGATCAACAGCACCTTTGTTCGCTCCAACCCTAGTGTGCTTCAGGGTCTGCTGCGTATCATCCCATACCTGTCCTTTGGAGAGGTGGAGAAGATGCAGATTCTGGTGGAGCGGTTCAAGCCTTACTGCAGCTTTGATAAGTATGAGCCTGGAGTTGATATAACAAGCCTGGGGGTGGGGGATGCCCACAGAAATTCCAAGCTAGCTTTGTGAGACTGAGTGAGTAACCTGGGTTTTTGTTGAGTTTTTTGTGTGTGTGATTTGGAATTTAAGGGACTTTGTCTAGTGGAGTGGCAGTCACCAAATCACATTATATTAAAACAGCACTGAAAGGGTATGATGGGGGAAAGACCTGACTAGGTGGGGGGAGCTACACTTGCAAAAGCCTGTAGATGAAAAAGAACAATGCAGGCTTGGGCACAGGGTAGGTGAAGGGAAAGTGGCAGGGTCCTGGTCTGGAGGTCTCCTTTCCCTGTAGGAGTTTAGACTAGATCCTCTAGGTGGTTCACGTAGTTTTTGCCTAAGAGGGTGATGTGAGCTCTGCCTTCATGCTGGGACCTTTTATGCTCTTTAGGTACGATGAAGACCACAGTGGGGATGACAAAGTCTTCCTGGATTGTTTCTGCAAAATTGCTGCTGGTATCAAGAACAACAGCAACGGACACCAGCTGAAGGATCTCATCCTGCAGAAGGGAATCACCCAGAATGCTCTGGACTACATGAAAAAACATATCCCCAGTGCCAAGAAGTAAGGCGCCCTTCCTGGGGCTCTGTGCCCCCTTCTCATACATGACCGTTTTTCTCAACATCTGAGTGTGGTGCTTCCTGTGTGCCCTGTGTCCCACCCCCTTCAGGGACCTGTCTAGTGCCACTCAGGCACTGTAGAGTCCTGGGACTTTTTCTGCTTCTGTTCAAGTGCTCATCTTCATCTGACTTCTCAGCTGGATTTACCCTTACTGATCTCTTAGAACATTCATGAAAGATCCTGTTTGAACAAGCCAGACTCGGCAGCAGATTTTCAGCTTTGCTTCCTGGCTGCTCATGTGCTCTTGTCTGTTTGCAGTTTGGATGCTGACATCTGGAAAAAGTTTTTGTCTCGCCCTGCTCTGCCTTTTATTTTGAGACTTCTTCGGGGATTGGCCATGCAGCACCCTGCCACTCAGGTGAGTGGACAGATAACAAGAGAAAGTCATAAACCACCTGTGTACAACCAGCAAGTCACTCATGATGTGGCTTACCCGTGGCCTGAGGCTTCTAGGGCAGCACCCTCGGCTGCTCTAGTTCTCTGTGTGCAGTGAATCTGACAGTGTGAGGGCTCGGCATGCTGCAGTTGAATCAAGTGTTCTGGCTGACACTATAGATGGCTGACCGTTCAGTCACTGGATGTTTGAAACATCATCACCACTGTTTCCTGCTCTGCCTCAGGCAGCTGACAGCTTTGTGGCCCACTCCTGACCTCTCAGCCTGTTGTCCCATGTGTTGTCCCATGCGGATGATGTGGGCTCCAAGTTTTCTTTCCACCCCATTTTAGATAGCTATAAGTGGTTCAATAAGTAGTAAAAACACTTGCCATGCCAGCCTGACCTTCTGACCAGAATCCATACAAGAGTGGAGGAATAGAACTGGCTTGGACAGTTTTCCTCTGCCCCCTACACACGTGTCTACGCTCACATTGACATATCACACACGGCAGTTATAAAAAGAAGCTGCCAGACTCTCCTGAAGTAGCAGGCCCGTTTTACATTTCTGGCAGCAGTGCATAAGTGGCCCAGTTCTCTTGTCTTTGCTGCACTTGCTGGCTATTTTTACCCTGGCTGTGCTGCTGAGTGCAGTGCTGCTTGGCTGTGGTTTTGACTTGCATTTCCCCGATGGCTAATGATGCTACACTGCCTTCCTGTGCTTCATCTGTACAGGTCTTTTGCATGAAATGGCTCTTGTGTCTCGCCATTTTCTAGGTAGATGGTATAAGGTTTAATGCTGAGTTTTGAGAATCCATAAAGTTAATTATTTTGCTTTCATAATGTTCTGCATTGAATATAGGGTGCATTCTTGTTTGGCAGCCTGTTCTGTTAACTCACCTCAAGTGTAGTGACTCAGTCATATACAGTGAAGGTCTTACTCAAATCTCTGTCATTGCTAGCCTTTGTCTCAGTCCAGCAGATAGCCACAGATGATAGGCCTTTATTTGCACACATTGTTTCCACTTCTTTGGAACAGCTGTATTTTGTGTAGTGTACCAAGGAACAGCTGTGATTTGACCAAAGGCAAAATGTGCTGGCTTTTCATGCATCTTACTACTGTCAGTGCTAGCTGGCCCTGTCTTCCCTGTGAAGCTCAGCCTAGCCTCAAATGCCCAGCCGTTTTCCTGCCTTAGCTCCTAAGTGCTCTGATTACAGATGTGCACCACCATACTCGGCTTAGGAATATGGAGCTCCCTCCAAGGCAGTGCCATGTTTGCTGCAAGAAGTTAGAAAGATGATGACCGTATGGTGGGCTTTTGTCTTGGTCCAGTGGTAGCTCGAGCAACTTAGTGAATGGGCTCAGCAGAGACCTGGGAATTGTTTAACTAGGATTTGGAAAGAGAAAGGGCTTGGCAACTTTAGAACTCTGCCCAGTCCTTTGGTTCAGTGATGGAGAGAATGGTTGTTCCATCAGAGGAGATGGACAAGGTTGAGGGTGAGAGAAGAGGGATGGTGAACAAGTCCTACACAGATGAGCCACCCTTCCTGTTTGTCTGTGAGTTTTGTGTGGACAAGGCCTTGTGGTTTCCCTACTCCTGCTTCGCACATGTCTGCCATGCACGCACGTGCATGCTCACAGTAAACACTTAGGGTGTTGAGTTTGGGGTGTGGGTGCCTGTGGAAAAGTTTGCTAGGTCTTAAACATGGGCTCACTCAGCATTTAGGAGCACGAGGCATGAGATAACATGCAGTTTTGCTGAGGTGTGAGTTTGCGGTGTCCTATAGGAAGGGCAGGTTTACGAGTTACTGAATGATCTGAGGCAGATAGCTCAGGTTTCTCCTCAAGCTGGCACTGTTGTTTTCCGTTTTTCATCACACAGAGAACCCCACCACTAACTAACAACGTGTGATGCCTTGGTGAGACTACCCACCGAGCTCACCTGGAAGCCTTTCCCCCTGCACCTGTCTCATGGTGCCATGGGGCCCTGAAGCCAGCTTTACCACTCCCGCGTGCTGGCGTTTTGCCTCTAGTATCTTGTAGACTGGGAGGACTGCCGCCTGCTTGATGGCTTCAGGCACCCATTTGCAGAACTATGGGAGTTCCTGCGACTTCAGGCTTCTGCCCCAGGGTGCTCCTGCATAGGCCCTGCCAGGTGCCCCACTGTTTTTAGCAGGAGCAGCTCTTTTTCCCTTCCCAGACATAGTCCACAGTGCTTCAGAAGGTGCTGCCTCTCCTTCCATCCTTACAGCCGCCTTGACACTGTCCCTGTTTTGTGTGTGAGAATGTTGGACCTAATGAGTAGAGTAGCTAGCTAGAGGTCCCTGGCAGCCAAACCTCCCAGTTGCATCTTTTGCAGTAGAGAATCTCAGGCTCTGACTTCTGTGAAGCCAGTGACACAAACTTGTGCACTTGGACTGATCGTGAAGTATTGACTGGGCCTGGATAACAGGCTCCCGCAGTAACTGGACAGATCGTGCACGCCAGCTGATGGTCAAAGGCTCTGAGTCTTGGTGGAAGGCTGCCTGTATAACTAGATACATACATCTCACTGGTTCTCTTTGCAGGTTCTGATTGGAACGGACTCCATCACAAACCTGCATAAACTAGAGCAGGTATCCAGTGATGAGGGCATTGGGACCCTGGCTGAGAACCTGCTGGAGGCCCTGCGAGAACACCCTGATGTGAACAAGAAGATTGATGCTGCCCGCAGGGAGACCCGAGCAGAGAAGAAGCGCATGGCCATGGCCATGAGGCAGAAGGCTCTCGGCACTCTGGGCATGACGGTAAAGCTCCCTCTCTAACTGGACAAGGAACCCCGCAGGCAGACGAATGTGCATCCCAGGAGAGCTGGGCACGATGGTGGGAGGGCTGCACAGAGGAGAGGCAGAGGTAGCTGTGCTGGGTTCTTCCAGATGTGGCTACGGCCATACTACATTTGGAGACTCGAAGAAAACTGACCTGGCAGGTTTATGCAAACAGTAAAAGTAAAGATACTAATTACTATATATTCAGGATTTGCTGCATGCCAGACACTACCAGAACCTCATATATATATATATGATATATTTAAACCCTCAAGTGGTCCTGTGACTTGACATCATTACACCCATTTCCAGATAAAGAAAGTGAAGCACATTGGCCATGGCACATAGCTACTAACTTTGGACAGGACTTTGAACAAGGACTGATCCAGAGGGCTCTGTTGTTCTACTTTAGAGGAAATGGTGGCCCTGGAAGAGCCTTGTCTTAACAAGCAAACTCGTGTGTTAGCAGTTTGATCCTTGCTGGGGACAGTAAATGATCAGAACACAGCGGCCCTTGGCAGCCGAGTCGTGGTGGGGCTGGCACACACCAAAGGGGCTTTGTGGTAGCAAATGGCAACGTGGCAACGTGCCAGCTTCCCAATGCTTGGTGTCCTCTGCTTTGATGGCTCCTGAACGAATCCCAGGGCTTTCCCTCAATAAAAGTCAGTGGAGACAGCAGATGCGTAGCTTAGAGGTAGAGCGCTTGCCACTTGCTGAGGCTGTCAAGGCCCCAGTTCCACCCCTCTCAGCACAGTAGAAGGGCTCTTCTCTCCACACTCTCCTTTATGTCTGTGTGTGGTTATCTCAAGCCAGGGTGAGAGGCATGTGGGAATCCTCTTGTGGCATGCCGCCTGTGTTCCCTTCTAGACAAATGAAAAGGGCCAAGTGGTGACCAAGACTGCGCTCCTGAAGCAGATGGAAGAGCTGATAGAGGAGCCAGGCCTCACGTGCTGCATCTGCAGGGAGGGATACAAGTTCCAGGTAAGGCTGCTGGGCAGCGCATGGCTGCACATGCTCTGGCTGTTAGTAGCACAGCCTGGCTCTATGTCTAGACATGCTAGTTTCCTGCAAGCCATTTTGTACTAAGATAAGCTTGTGCTTTGGGGGACTGACACCAATGCCAGCTGCTAGCTAGCCTTGTAGGCAGGAAGGCAAATGATCTAAGCATGAGCATCCTTGGCACCTGAAGAGACCACCTTTTGGCATCCTCTATCAGTGCCAGGGCACTTGTCTTTAAACCCTGTTAAAGGCCCCAGCTGATGGGTAGGACATGTGGCAAAGCCAGAATTCCAGTTGAGGTTCTGTTAATCCCAGGCCTGGGGACTTCAGGTCTTACTGTGTTGCTTCTGTTCAGGACAACTGTGAGCGATTAGAGCCCCACTTTCTATGTGTCCAAGTGAGGCGACACCTGGAAGGAGCAGTAGAGAGGCGGCCTGTTTGCTTTCTGACAGTACCAAGAGAGACCTCTTCCTCTTTAGCCCTGCTTTGCTCCTAGACTGTGGAAGAGCCAGTGTCCCGGTTGATGTAAAGTTGTGGCCATGGAAACTCAGTGTATTCCCTTCTAGATAGATGAAGCACAGGCAGAGATGGCATAGGCTGGGATCTCTGCACACACACCCCCCCCCCCGAATTATTTTTATAAGAACAGAGGTTTGGTGCTGGGAGTGTAGTTCAGTGATAGGATGCTTGCCTGCCATACACAAGGCCCTAACTTCCATTCCTAGAACTACAGAGAGAGAGAGAGAGAGAGAGAGAGAGAGAGAGAGAGAGAGAGAGAGAGAAAGAAAGAGAGAAAGAAAGAGAGAAAGAAAGAGAGAGGAGAGAGAAGTTTATTTAGCTCACAGTACTGGAAGTTCAAGAGTAGGATACTGGGGTCTCCTAGGTTTCTGTTAAATTCACAATGGGGCTTTCATGACATCCCTGAAAAATTGAGCCTCACATAAGTTTATGGCAGCAAATGATGCTTGCACACAGAGTGACCACTTTCCCATCTGAAAGGAGATGCTCAGTTCTCCACACCTTGTCACTTCCTTGCATAGGTTGGCTGGGAATTTCTCCTCACCCCCCCCCCCCATTCTGTGTTGTCCTTGCAGCCCACAAAGGTCTTAGGCATTTATACCTTCACCAAGCGGGTAGCTTTGGAAGAGATGGAGAACAAGCCCCGGAAACAGCAGGGCTACAGTACTGTGTCCCATTTCAACATTGTGCACTACGATTGTCACCTAGCTGCCGTCAGGTAGGTGTTGGCTCTTGCAGAATGGCTTTAGCCAGCCTGGACTTGTATTGCTTCAAATGAGTGGGCCATGGCTCAGGTCCTGGGCTGCTGGGCTGGAGTTACTAGCTCTGAGGCTGAAGCCTGCTTTTCTTCTCTCCAAGCAGTAGGGTGTCTACCTTAGCTCCCATAGACCCATGAACTGTACTCACCCTGTGAGAAACTGCGTTTGACTTTGGATGTTTGGCCTTGGCCAAGGCTGGTAGAAGCAATCCTGCTTGCCTGAATTAATGAAGCAATTTTTTACCCATGGAGTTCACAAATGGCTAATTCTCTCCCTAGGGCCAGGGCTAGTGTTAGCAAGCCCTCGGCACCCAGGTGTCTCATTACCAGAGTAATCCCAGCAGTTACTTGTCCCTGCTCTCCTCCCTGTCCCCATCCAGATTGGCTAGAGGCCGGGAAGAGTGGGAGAGTGCTGCCCTGCAGAATGCCAACACAAAGTGCAATGGGCTCCTTCCGGTCTGGGGCCCCCACGTCCCTGAATCAGCTTTTGCCACTTGTTTAGCAAGGTGAGTGTTGAATGTTTTCATCACAGAAAGGGGCAGTTTCCTGGGCACTTCAGTGGATGTCCATGTCTGTCTGTGCTAACAGACCACAGAATTGCTCTGAGCAGATAGGGCTGAGTAAAATGACCTGCTGAAACAAAACCAGCCTCCTTGGTTTCCTGGGTTCCATGCAAGATTTTTTCATTAGCTCTCCTGTAACACCCAGGACCTCTAACTTAGTCCTCGGGACCAGAATTTCCAAAGTTCACTTCTCTGGTCAATGACTCTAGTGTTTTAAATTATGAAAGCTCCTGGGTGTGGGGTGGGGTGGGAGTTCCTTCTAAGGCCTCTCTGTTCCCACATACTAGACTGCAATAGCTGAAGCTTCTCTGGGGTCCTTGTATGTTTGTGAGGCCATGTGGAGTTCTAGTTTAAAGCCCAGGGGTATGCAGTACTTAGTACATGAGACTTGGCTGCAGTATTGACAGTGATGGTAGATCGCATACTCAGCTGTGTACTGTGTTACTGCTGCACACATGAATAATCTGGGCCATACGGGGAGTCATTTACCCAGGGCCATTCAGTTAATAAGAGGCAGAATCAAATGGATATTGATTTAGGAAGAAAAAAAAAGCACAACATATTGGAGGGTGAAAAGATCCTTCTTAAGGATAAATTATCTTGTCACCAGAATGAGTAAGTTCACATTTCTCCATAATGTGTCATGGCATCTGTCAGTTAAGAAATGAGCCTCTTACCCACATTGAGAGATAGCAGCAGCAGCAGCAGCAGTGTCCTGAGGACTGTTCTGACAGCCCCCGTTTGACCTCTGCAGTCAGCGGGTCAGAGTGACCAGAAAGAGAGCTCTGCACTCCATCCCAGGGTTTTTCTAGGAGTCTGGCTTCCATGACACGTTGGCTCTGCTTCTCCCTAGGCACAACACTTACCTCCAAGAATGTACGGGCCAGCGGGAACCCACGTACCAGCTCAACATCCATGACATTAAACTACTATTCCTGCGTTTCGCCATGGAGCAGTCGTTCAGTGCAGACACCGGTGGGGGCGGCCGGGAGAGCAACATCCACCTGATCCCATACATCATTCACACCGTGCTTTACGTCCTGAACACGTACGTCAGCACCTTGTGGCCCCAGATGCTACCTTGGCTGACACTCCTTGTCCCTCTCTGCTTAGCTAGATTCCCCCAGCCTTTACTGAGGAAGGGTTTTTAATTCACTGTTTTGAGGGTCACATCATGTCATTAGTCAGAGCACACGGGTATAACGATAGGCTTCCAGTGGGGTGGAGGCTGCCACACCAATGGAACACTAGCTTTCTTAGCCCATCAGTAATGCTTCTGACAAGGATGGGGCTGGAGGGGGTTGAATATTGGGAAAGCAACTGAACAGTAATGAGGCCGGGAAGAAAGAACTGTTTGTGTCTGTGGTGCTGGAAATGGGGTGTCAAAGAGGCCCTCCAAGGGGGCAGAAGCCCTCCCACTCGCGGCCGGGCTTAGAAGCACATTAAGGTATTTCTGTGCCTGCACTTGGAGTATTTGGCTGAGTGCAGACTTGCCTGCAGACCTTTCTTCCTGAGATCCATGACTTTAGTAGGCAGAGCTGGTAGCCATGGAAAGGCTGGGCACAGTCCTCCCACACTACTACCATACTACTGAGGTAGGTACCAAGGCAGTCAGTCGGCTCTTGTCCTTTCCCCTCAGACAGTTTGTTTTCCCTTCTTCCCATTTTCTTGTGAGATAAAGTCTGACCTTGAGACTGCAGGCTTCTTTGTTAAATCGCAGGGCAGGGCACATGACATCATCTATCAAATGCCCAGGCTGTCAAGAGAGACACCTGGCATTGCCAGCAGCACAGGCATTCTACTGTCTGGACCCTGCTGTAGGCCCCATCTGTGCTAATTGCCAGTGTTCTTGGGGCCCTGACAAAGGCTGTGGGTTTTGCAGAGACATGCCTCTTGGCAGCCATAAGCTAGAGTGGACTTCTCAGGCAGAGACCCAGGGAAGAAAACACTTCCCAGGATTGACCCAGCCAGATGGAATTGGTGACTTCAGGTGTCAGCTCTGTTGTTGTCTCCTTGGGCAGACAGGGCCTCCTCAGCCATAGGCTGCTTCATTGGATAGTGGCATGAGCTTGGTCATAAGGCAGTTGGGCCTCTGATGGGACGTTTACACACAAGAGCAAGTGTGCTATACTAGTGAGCCAAACCTGAACCTCAGAAGAACCTGCCGTGGCCAGAAGTCTGAGCTTCCCCACAGGGGTGGAGAGTTAGTTGGGGTTCCAGTTGGTTCTGGGCATGCCCATTTTGTAGGCGTGAAAGGACATGGTGTACCTTTGCCCCATCCTCCTGCATCCCTATGGCTCGCTGCCTGCAGCCTGGACATGGGGTTTTTGTTGTTTTATATATGATCATCAGTAGGTTATAGGGACACTACTGGAGAGTCTTAGCCTCTTTGTGTGGGTCCTGCCACTGGCAAGACTTCTTCATGAAAAGGGGGTAGAGTTGATGACAGACTCTAGAACCAGGCCTGGGGCCTCAGTCTATTCTTTGCTTAGCATGGTGCTTAGATCCTACCTAGTATTGTAGCTTACTCTCCTGTACATTTGGACAGGCAGCTCTTGTCTCACAGGCTATTTATGCCTGTTAAATGAGTTAAGTCACGTGCAGAACTGAGAACCATGCCTGGTAGTCAATGTGCTGTGGTCATTGGCACACAGCTGCCCACCCAGAAGAAATTGCTGGTGACAGGGAGGGAGGACATGCTGCAAGTAAACAGCCCAGCTGGGAGCCTGAATGCCGGGGGACTCATAGTGGGGTTCATGGAACTTACTCTTCCACTCTGTTATAGCTTACTGGTTTGGTGACTTTGGTAAGTCACCTTCCTTCCCTGAGCTTCCAGAAAAATTATGACAAGTCCACAGTGGAGAGTTGGTAGCCATGCCCTGTCCAAGAGCCAGGAGATGTTGGGATCTGTGTTGAAGTGACAATCAGGGACCTGAAAGGGTAGAAGGCTTGTGCTGCTAGAGGGGAGGAAGTACAAACCCACAAGATTGTTCAGGGCCATCTTGGTTGGCCCTGCTCCTTCCTTGCTGCCATCTGAATTCTTTTCCTCCAGAACCCGAGCGACATCCCGAGAGGAGAAGAACCTACAAGGCTTCCTGGAGCAGCCCAAAGAGAAGTGGGTGGAGAGCGCCTTCGAGGTAGACGGGCCCCACTACTTCACCATCCTGGCTCTGCACGTCATACCCCCTGAGCAGTGGAGAGCCATGCGTGTGGAGATCCTTCGCAGGCTGCTGGTGGCCTCACATGCCCGTGCAGTGGCTCCAGGAGGAGCTACCAGGTCAGTGCTTGCTTTGGGAAGCTGCAGCATTTAGTGTCTTCCCGTGTGTTTCCAGGCTGTCTATGTCACATGATGTGTGTCTGTTGAAAGTGTGCTCATTTGACTTGGCTCTCAACTCTGGCTCCAGCTGGCACCGTAAGAGTCTAGACTGGTGTTTGACAGTTGCTTGAGCCCCTCTGCTGGGTCTTGTGTTGAGCCACTGAAAAGGTGGATTTAGGTTTCCATCTGTAGAAAATTCAGAAAGGAAGATAGCCAGGAGTCAAGGGATATGGCTGGTGAGGCAATTAGACCTAGCAGCAAGCCTAAGCCAGGGAGCCAGACTTTCTGGCTCTTGCTGGCTTTGGTGTAAACTAGGGAGGTTTCAGTGTGGCTGTGGCTGGGGATTTCTTGTCCAGTGACTAAAGATTGTCCTCCTTCCTTCCTGTCTCATCTGCCACACCTTCCTCAGGCTTTCTAGATCTCTTCACAATCGTGTGTGCACCAATCAAGGAGTGCATGCAGGAGTTCTTTGCATTGTTTGTTTGAGTCAGTTGAGGGTTATCTGAAAGAGCCATCTGCAATGAAATCAGAGCCTTCATCTCAAGCTCTTTGACAATACCCAGTGGTTACAGCACACAGAATAGACCCAGCCACTTCATGGGTTTTTAGTGGCCCTGGATAGTCCCTACTCCCCACCCCCCACCCTCACCCTCCAGGAGCTGCACCACAGTGTGTGGCCTGGTAGCTTATTTCTGCTAGTGGAATACCTGGTGTCCCTGTGTGGTCCTGCTGTTGTCTCTGAACTCGTAAGTTTAGACTCTGGGATCATTTTCACACTTAGAAGCCAGGAAGGGAGCAGAAGGAGGCTCCCTTCCAGCCATGGTGATGGCATGCCCTATGGGACAGCAGTACCTGAACTGGCTACTGAGGCTTTTCCTCTTTTAGCTCTGCTACTTCATGCCCCTAGAGTGACCAGTTTGCTGCTCTCCTCTTGATTCCAGCCAATAGAAGCCTATTTGAGCCAAGTGTGAAGCAGTAGAGTTAGATTCCTGCCCCATTCCAAACATATCACATCCATGATATCCCAAGAGCCCTAGTTAATAGTTAACTAGCTGCTTGAAATCAGAAGTTAGGTCTTCAGATGCTGAAGTTGTTAAGTGAAACAGAAATTGCATTCGTAGCACACAGGATGGATGGCCGCTTATCAGGCAGGCTTCCGCAGCGGAGTAGAGGCTGAGCCCACCCGAGCTGTTCTATCGGCCAAGAGTGGAACTCATTTCTGTCCCTACAGTTGAGGAAAAGCTGATTTGGTCATGGCTTAATTAGGAAATCCAGCTTGGGCTACATTCAAGCATTGCCATTCTGTGTAACAGTTCAGTCACCTTTCCTAATTAGCTGTAAGTAATTAAGCTGGGCAGGGTCACCCAAGACTCATGTTCACCAAAGCAGGACAGCCACAGAGGGCCAAGCCCGGCTGTGGTCCAGCTCCTAAGCCTGCTGTTTGCCAGACAGATTATAAAAGGTGCTGCGGGCTTACCCGGGATTGAGACACCCTTGAAGGAGAGGCCTTTCAGCCAAGGGCATGGGGAAGATGGCTCTCCTGTGGCGTTGGATGCTATTGCTAGCAGCAGGTTCTGTTTGAAGTCCTGTACATTTTGGTTGGGGTAGGAGGCAGTAGCAGATACACAAAACTATAGTTTAAAGGGCCAGGGTTATAACTCAGTGATGAGCACTTGCCTAGCATGTGTGAGACTCCAAGTTCAGTTTCCAACAACAACACACACCGAGGAGGGGAGTATAGACTACAGCCCAAGAGAAGCTAATGACTCTGCATGTCTAACATTCAGCAAAATAGACTCAGCGGGTATTTTAGCCTAGAAATTGTCTGCCTGGAATCTTACGTGGTATCTGGACAGTTGTTCTTACCCTTAGTCCCATCTTATAGCTGTGCCACCCGCCACCTCTCAAGCAGGTGGGCAGGAGGAAACACGGCAGAGGCTACAGGAAGCACATGCCATTAGGCTTGACTTTGTGAGTTAAACAGCTGCTGCAGGCAGTTGTGGCTGGGCCTCTCGTGGTAGGTAAGCCCTAAACTAAATTAGCCGATGCTGAGCACTCTGCTCTTGTCTTTTGGTCCTAGGATATGTACCAGAGCGTTGTGAGATGTAGACGATGACCTTAAATCACGACAGGGGCTCATCTGGCCTTTACTTTCCACAGCCATGAATGAGCTCTCCCCTTGTGCTGGAGCATTCTGATCCTTCAGAGCCCAGTGGGATCACCCCTTACAAGAGGGATATCTACTGCAGACTGAACCTTGACAGAGGTGCCCCCCATGTTCTAAGTGCTAAGACTCTCAGATGAGTTCATGCAGCACTTGCTGGCTTTCAAGCCTGTGCCAGGTACTCGGGTGTTCGTGACACTTGTAGAGATAAAGGGGTGTCTGAGCAGCTCCGAGATTACCCTAGGATTTGGGAAGTATTGGGTGGTTGCCTGGGCAGTCCTAGATATCATGGTTGCTCAATGTGAATTTTCTATCAGCTTGCTGGGTTTCTGCAGAGTGCGTCTTTGATGCATTTGGCTGTCTAGTAGATTTCTCCTGGTGGCAGGTATAGCCTGAGTTAGAACCTTGTTTTTTCTTCTTCACTGTTAGACATCGTTACATTTGGGAGCTTGTGAGGGGCAGAGTACAAGGGAGCAGGGAATCCTTGTGTTTGCTTAGGTTAGAGCTTTTGGGTGCCATGTCTACCTGTGTCTACCTGTTCCTGATAGCCCAGTTTAGGAAAGTGCTTAGACTGTCAGATGAGCTCCTGAAGCAGCCCTGGGAGCCAGGGCATCCACATTCCCTGCCCACAGCTGCTTTTTGTTCAGGCCATGTGCAGCAGCTTCTGGGTACCATCAGTCCCCAAGTACAGTGTCCCGTCTCTGCAGGGCCCTTACAGATGTTTTTGCTCTGCTTTTCCAGGCTAACAGATAAGGCAGTGAAGGACTATTCTGCCTACCGTTCTTCCCTGCTCTTCTGGGCTCTTGTTGATCTCATTTACAACATGTTTAAGGTAAGGAAACATCCAGAGCCCAGCCAGTTCCAAGAGGTATGGGATGTGTGCATCCTTGCCTAAACCCCATTGGTGGCCACATTCCAAAGCTCCTCACTAACTTTGGGTGCTTTGCCCTTGGATAGCTACTTGGGGAGAGGTATGCACCCTCAGCTCAGACCTGCACATCCAGCTGTTCACAGCTGAGACCACTTTGTCATGCATACTCCAAGCAGTGAGCTCTGAGCACATTGACAGCCTTCTCACCCTTGTCCTTGCCTATGCATAACACTTTGCTCTTTGTGAATCTGCCTGACATAGCCTCACTTAAAGTAGAATGTCCTGTTTTCTATCTGCTTGGGCCCACGTGTCTTAGGAGGGTTGGTGTATGGGGTGAGCCCTGTGATAATGAGTGGAATGGTCCAGCCAGAGATGCTAGTCGTCTTAGTTTTGGAAATGCAGATGTGGGAAAGTCCCATGTTGAAATTACGGGTTCAAACGGAACATTGCGTAAACAAAGAGGGTCTTGTGGAGAGTAACTAAGGCCGGTAGGCCCTGGAGGTCGGGCCTCCTTAGTCTAGGAAGGCTCTGGTCCGTGTAGGGTGGACTCAACACAGTGCTGAGATGGAGGCAGAGAGCTGGCTGCATTCAGTTACTCACTAGCCCCGTGGCCTACTGTCCTTGTAGAAGGTGCCCACCAGTAACACGGAGGGCGGCTGGTCCTGCTCTCTGGCCGAGTACATCCGCCACAATGACATGCCCATCTACGAAGCTGCCGACAAAGCCCTGAAAACCTTCCAGGAGGAGTTCATGCCAGTGGAGACCTTCTCAGAGTTCCTCGATGCAGCAGGTCAGTGCACAGTTTTCTCTGGGGCAAAGCCCAAGTCTGACTCAGTAGACCTGCAGTTAAATAGGCCTACAGTAGCCACTTCCAGTCATAGGAGAGGTGTTCATTCAAGCAGCCCACTTGCTGAGTGTCGTGGCACTTGCCTTTAATATTCCAGTACTCAGACAGAGGCAAGCAGATCTCTTAAGTTTGAGGCCAGCCTGAAGTTTTAGGACAGTCAGTTAGGAGACATAGAGAAACCCTGTCTGCAAAAAAATCGGACTGACAGGTGAAAGCGCTTCGGTTCCCCAGCTCCACCTCTGCCTGTGGTACATGAGCTCAGTGGTCTGGGCTACTCTGCTTAGCCTCCCTCTGTCGCTGCTGTCATGGAGGCTGTGGAGGTTAAGCGGATATGGGTAGCACAGAAGAGACAAGCTCTTTCAGGTTCTGACTTTTAGTGACAGCTCAGGCTTAACAGGAGAAAGGGCGCTTGTCTTCCTTGCCTCCCAGCAGCTGCAGATGTTAAGTAGATAGAGACAGTCAGCATGGAGCGCCTTGAGGATGCACACGGAGGGCAGCGTCTGAGCTCAAGTCCGTTCTCTCCTATCCACAAATCATCTGTACAGATTGGCCACTTACTTGGAAATACTTTGAAACTTACTTGGATTTCATATCTGAAAAGGGCGTGACTCGGGCTCAGGCCTGGGAAAAACAACCGAGGGTTACAGATGACCCCTCTCAGTTCCTAACTTTGGTGGCACAGCCTCTCCTGGTGCTGTCTTAGAAGGGAGGGCTGCTAAGCAAAGCAAAGGAGCCGGACCAGGCCAGCTCCTGCCTCTCGACCTTCTGGTGTTCACTGTGGGGACTGTATACAGACACAGGGGACAGTCCCCCAGGCCCTGTTGCCGAGTGACCATTTCTGTTAACACCCCCTCTTCCCTTTCTGTCCTCTGGGAAGGAGACCCACTAAAACCCTGGGATCTTGTCTGCAGACGCTCTTCTGTTTGCCTAGCTCTGGACACTCTGAGAACAAATGTTCTTCATGGCCCAGTGGGGGTTCTGCCCTGGGATGGTGTTTCCAGCCCAGCTGTTTAAGCAGCAGCTCACCGTTTTCCTCAGAGTTAATCCGGACCAAGAGCAGCTCAGAGCTGAGTCCTCAGGTCCTGTGCTTGTCACCTGAGACTGTCAGAGCCAGTGAGAAGAGGTGGGCAGGGGCAAAGGACTCAGCTGCCTCCAGGCCTAGCACCTGGGCATGCTCTGGCAGCAGTAAGCCTCTAGCCTTTTTGCAAAGCCAGGCTTTTGCACATACTTCAGACCTTTAAACTGCCAGAATACCAGACATGCCTGTTCAACTTCAAGAACAAAACAACTTCCAGGACCAAGAGAAGCAGCCTGGCTGCTTTGCCTCCATTATTGCAGATGCTGGGAGGTGACTTGTTTGGACGTTCGTGTTTAACTTGAGGCTTCGTGTCTCCTCTGCGCTGTTGATGAGATCAGGTGCCTGGCTGGGACTTGGTATAGAGGATGCCTGGGTTCTTCCACTGAGAAGGCTCCTGTTAGTCTCCATGGCAGGCAGGGAGGGCTCCCTACCTTCTCTTTCTGAGAACTGAAGAAAGGGAGCCCCTGTGCTCTGGCATCTTGCTTAAGGAATCCAGGGGTATGGTGAGATTGAAGCCCAGAAGAAGCCAGAGGCCTCTGCCTGTTCTGCCCTTCCAGCCCACAAGACCATTTCTTGGTATTTGCCTCTTTGGTCAATTTAAGATGATGACAGAGGACAAGGAGACGGCTCAGCTATGGTCTGCCATGCAAACATGTGGACCTGAGTTTTGATCCCCAGCACCCATAAAAACCAGGTGTGGATAGGTGCTCCAGTGGTAGGATTCCCTGCGGAGCTTACTGGTCTGCCAGTCTAGCCAGCCAGCAAACTCTAAAACCCTGTCTTAGAAAATAAGGTAGGGGCAGTGAGGAAAGACACTCGATGTTCACACACACCGGTCACCGCTCTGGGGCGGGAGTGTGGCTAAACTTAAAGAGTGCTTGCCTGGCTTGCAGAAAGCTCTGGATTCAGTCCCCAACATTGACTATGTCAGGCGTGGTAGCACAGAAGTTCAGAGGAGGGCCTCAGCTGCATAGTGAGTTTGAGGCCAGTCTGGGGTCGGGAGCCCACCAAGAATAAACAACCTTAGAGTTGTGATTTGCGGCCTCTCCAGTCACCTCCAAGCCCCTGCACTGGTTGAGATATCCTCTGCTCCAGGGAATTGAGACTGGCACCCCTTCTGGATCACTGTGTGCATTTGCCACACTGCTCACCTCCCTGCCATTGCTGGAACCCAGCAAGTGGTTACATCGGAGCATGCTGCCCTCAGTGTGTTCTGTGTGTGAAGGAGGTGCCTGTGACGTGGTGGGGCTGGGGGCACTGTGTACCACTTACACTCCCACTCTGCCTCTGTTTTCCAGGTCTTCTGTCAGAAGTCACCGATCCAGAGGGCTTCCTAAAGGACCTGTTGAACTCAATTCCCTGACAATCCCCACGGAAATGAGATCACGGAAATGAAGCTCGCTTGCCTTCCTCCCTCGTTCGCCCCTCCGTGTGCATTCACTTCCCCCACGGATGCTGCATTAGCACCCCCTCTCCTCCCTCATTTTTCTCGGAGTGGCTTGGGGTTTGTAGACTTCCTGTTCTATCGCGTGTGTGTGCTACGTTGGCTATGAAGTTGTTTGTAGCCCAAGCCGTTGAAGGACCTATACATACCTAGGAGCTGTGAGCTGTCCCAGCCAGCTTGAGTGTGCACATCTTGAAATAAATGAATGACTTGGTACACATTGGAAAGGGGGTTTGGCTGCTGCTTGCCTAGTGCTCTCCAGTGAGCTCTCAGCCTTGTGGTGATGCGCCAGGAAGACTGCTGAATTTGAATTGCTATCTTGAGGGAGGGATTGGGGGGGGAGATGGTTTTCTAGTCCTTAGCCAAAAGAGGGCTCAGCAAAGCAGGCCCTGGTCAGCATCTGCTTCAGAAGCCTTGAAAACATTTGACAGTCTCCTGCTGACTGCCCTGCAGAGAAGAGAGACCCCAGGAAGACTCAAGATGGCGAGAATAGCTATTCCCACTGCTAGGCCTCTTCTGCCTGCCCTCCCTAGCAGCTGCGTGAAGAAAGAGCTTGTGCATCACCCAGCACCCCAAGTCCCCAACTGGGACCTCAGTTGACCAGTGTGGTGCCTCTGAGACCTGCTCCCCACCTCCTGGACTTCCCAGAGCCTTTCCCAGACTTCAGCAAAAGGCTGAATCATAGCCCTGTGGGGAAGGAGAGCTGGCTAGCTCTCATCTCCTTTGTTCTAGAGGGTCACTCAACCAAAGGCTCTGGGTGACATCAGCGCCTCTGAATGTCTGCTTCACAAGGCTCACTCCCTGGACCAGACCATGTGGACCTGTGGTGCCTCAGTTCCATTTGGAAGCCTTGCACAGCAAAGGCATCATGTCACTCCCCCAGAGCCTTTGCAGCCACAAGGCGGAAGTACTGTGCTCAGACCTAACAGTGAGACAAAGGTGATTGGTTTGGGTACTGTTCCGAGGCCCTGGCAGACCAGACAAGCACACTGAGGGATGAGTTAGCTCTGGGACAGCTGGATCTGGCTTCCTTGCCTGCTTCTAACACCTGGGTGCCTCTGTAGGCATCTCACCTATGAAAGAGGAATGGCAGCCATCCAGAGCTGGGAAGATTACCTGCCTGTCCTGGAAGAACAACACAGTAGCTCCCCTTGGAAGAGGGCCTGTTCACTAGCTGCTTAGATTCTGTAGCCCTCTTCTTTGTGCCTCCATGCCTGGGTGGGCTCAGCAAGGAGGATGGAGACCTTGTCTTTGAGTGTTGGGGTTTCCCCCTTAGACACGCTTGTCTGCCCTGCTGGACTCCAGAGACTCGGTTCAGGCATTGGGGGGAGGGGACAGCCACCATCCTGTCACTTGATAGGAAACAAATTGGAGCAACTTCATTTGGGATAAGGGCTGCCAGTGCAGATGGGGACTTGCTGTAGGCCAAGCCCCATTTCTGATCACACCTCATAGTAATGCAGCACCTTCAGAAGGTTAACCAAAGCCCGCAGAGAGGGAAAGAGCCACCAATACGCTTTACAAGGTCCCTCCCGCTTTTTACTGTTCCTTGCGAAGACCTGTTCTGTCCCGTCTGGAGAAAAACCTAGGGTAGCCATGCTTGTGGTTTTAAGTGAGCTTTTGAAGTAGCAAGTAGCCGATAAAGAGCAAGGCAATACAAATCAATTAGCACTCACAATGTCCCACAGAGAGCTGGAACAGGCCAGTGGATAGCCAACAAAACAGCGTAGCTCATGGCTGTCAGACAGAGACATGGGAAGCCTCACTGGGGCAACTGAGTCCCCAGCTGAGGAGCCAGGCAGAGCAGAGTTCTCAGAGCTGAGCATCGCGTTCCTTCTCACGGGTGTTTCTGACATGGGTCAACAGTAGGGACTTCTGTTGGAAACAGTTTCTCTTCTCGATGACGTTCTCAAAGACTGCTTTAACAGCCTCAGCTGTTGGCTGGTCTGTCCTTATTACAGAATCAAGAGCCAGCCTGAGCCAGGGACCAGGCCTTCGACATCTGACACACATGCTTGGGTCTACAGTGCAGCCTCCACCCTTACTCAAGCCTGCTCTTGGCTTAAGTAGCATGTCATCACTTACCACAGAATGCATATTACAAGGCCTCCGAGGATTCTGGGCCCAGCCCATTTGTCTTGATTTCACCGTGCAGCTTTTCTAGGTGTCTGCTCATGGGCACTTCCCAGCGGTTCTGCACCATCCCAGACAAGCTGCTGACACGGCAGTCCTGCAGGTCCGTGCCAGGTTCCAGGGCCAGGCCTTGGCTGTGCCTACACAGTAGTGGAAATCAGGCTGCCTTCCCACACCTGCATCCCATAGCAGGAACAATGAAGGACGCCAGATGAGCCGGTCCTCCTTCCTGGGGCCATGGTGCTCCGCTACAGGTTCTAGGGAATTGAGGCCAGTTGTTAGGCCGAGCGAGGTCTGAAGCCTTAAGTCCCCAAAGTCATTCAGCAGGAAGGCCATCGGCTCTTCTCACTGCTCAAGCCCATTACCATCACCCCCACAGCCCTTTTGGCTTCTAGCTCTCCAAGTATACTACCCTGTTTGAGATTGGGAGAGGGCTGTGTGACCCCCATCCCACTAGGCCTGGGCCGGGCTCTGCCTTCATTCTGACACCAGTTGGGCAGTGGTGTCTCAGAGGACATTTGCCTGCTGGGGACATGAGAGCTAAGGGAGTCATTACTCCACATCCCTATATTCATTCCAGGATTCCAGTCCTCATCTATTACACTAGGTTCCCAGGCCCAATACACATCGCTGCTCTTCCAGCCTCCTTTGAACCCAGGCTGCTGTGGGAACCATGACTTCCTGCTGCAGGAGGGTGGAGCTGTCCCCTTCAGGAGCTTCCTGGGACAGAGTCAGAGAGGACAGAGATGAGGTCCCAGGACATGGGGAACTCAAGGAAACATCTGTAGGAAAGTGACCACCACCTTGTGGGATGGGGGTGGGGTCTGTGCTTGTTGCTGTCTGGGCTTCATCCCTCTACCTCCTGTTCCTGTGCCCTTGTCGTTCCAACCACTCTTGCTGTCCTCATCTGTCTCTGCAAGTCCGGACACCATCAGACTGTTAATGGCTTTAGGAATCTGAGGACCTTGCAGTATTCTAAGCCCTGCGCCTGAGATGATCTTGAATCCTTAGGTTTTCTTTGCTCCTGGTTCGAGGAGAAGCCCGAGGCTCAGAGAACCCAGCTCACTTGCCCAAGGCAGCACAGCTTGTCAGTGAGATTCAGCTCTCTGCCGCCTGTCTGGGCCCAGCTCCTTGTCTGTCTAGGCACAGATGTAGATCGTCCCAGTTCCCAGTGGTTTCAGGAGCCAGGGCTTGGCCAAGAGCCTGGCGGGCAGGTGTGGCAGCCACAGCCAAAGGTTAACTGACCTCACGCTGGGAATCAGGCTTCTGGCCGGAGAGCGGATGAGATGCAAGACCACAAGAGCCAGCTGGGAGCTAGGATGACAGGTTCTGGGCAGTCAGTGCAATTAGAAGGTAGCTTTTGTTGGGTAGACCCTGAGGGCTGAGCCCCAACCACTCAGCCTCTCAGCCCCAGCCCTTCGTGTGGCAGTAATCTGCTTGTCTGTGGAAACGGGCACAGTCCTGTTGCCTGGCAACGCTGTGTCCTCTTCTGGCTACAGAAGCAATTGTCCCCAGACTGGTCATTCTCCCAGTGAATCTCGCTTGATGCCAGCTATTCTGCCCCTGCTCTCAAAGGCACTTTCTCAAATGGGACCTCACCCGTGGACGTGTCCAAGCTGCTGGCACACAAGCCCTTCCTTGCCAGTTCTGCGTCAGAGGCGCTCATCTCATCCTGAGGCCTCGCCACTGATGTGTCCAGCAACCAGTGTGCGGTTCTCTTGTGCCCACACTAGCTGTAGGAGACTCTGCTGGTTCCATTAGCACAGAGGCCTTGGGGAAGTCAGGGAGCGGAGTGAAAACGGAACTTCAGACATTAGTATAAGCCCCCCAAGTACCTGAAGTGGGGACACTGGGGCCCATCGGGCTCATGATTCCTCATGAGAAAACCCCTTAGTCACATCCTGGCTCCAGGGGCCTAGGGCACGGCCATGCCTGCCTGGAATCTCCGGTGAACATGGTGTGGTAGACAGGCCTGGAGCGTTGGGGATGGGATGACGAGGGGCTGAGGTTTATGCTAGGCCTAGGAACCCTGATCTGTGAGTAGGGGTCGGGAGGGCGGACGTGCTTCAGCAGCCATCCTGTTACATGGCCACACTGAGACCCCAGGTTCTTGCTCCATCCACACTTTCGCTCAGCCACGTGTGGGCCCTGAAGGTCAGGGCTGCAGGGCTGGAAGACAAAGTTTCTGGGGTCACAGTCTGGAGTCATATCTTAATTCTGGGTGTGTCCTTAGACCAAGACTTTCACCTCTCTGGGCTGTTTCTGCACGCATGAACTGGGCATGCCTCAGCTCTAGTTTAAATGACTTCACCCTGGGAGGGGCTTGACTTCTAAGGAAAACTCAGCAAGAACCAGGGATCCTGAAGTGGTTATGAGCTGTGTAAAGAGACACGTCTGTCACAAGAGGCATCCAGGCCAGGCCAGTCGGATAAACCCTGTGGAGCGATGATGTCAAAGGTCATGAAGGTCACGCCCGTTGTAAGGCTTCCTAGCAAATGGGTAGCCCCTGGGCTTTGGTGTCAGCCCTGAGTCCTAATCCTGGCTGTAACGCCTCTGCCTCGCCCCCTGTGACCCCTGCTTTTCTATCAGCTGCACCAGCAGTTCTGAGTAGATGGAGTCACAGGTTCTTGGAGGTGTCTCCCTGGGGTCAGAAGAGAGATCTTTGTGGGGCCACTGAGACACCAGGTCTCTAGGTTACTCTGCAGAGCTGCCCAGTGAGTCAGAGTGTCCATCAGGATCCCCAGTGCCAAGAGGGAACCTGGAGAGGACCTGGGTCAGGGAACACTGCCACCTCCAGGGCTGAGCTCTGTGGCTTTCCCTGCCAGGGCAGATGAGCAGGGCTGTGCCTACTCTGGCAGTGTGGACAGCAGGGGTCCCTGTTTGCATCTTAGTAACTCCAAAAGGACACAAGAGCCTCGGCGATGTAGCCCAGTCAAGGACTTTTAGAAAAAGGAAACTGGGAGGAACCCTAGGGGAAGGGAGCTTCAGAACCCAGCTTCGTCAGAAAGCTGGTGGACTTGCTGCTCAGAGGCTCCCACCCAGCCGAGAGGCACAGTGCTTCCCAGGGCACAGTCACTGGCTGCTGAGA